ATGTCATCCACAGAATCAAATCCCTCAAGTGGCAATGGGCAGGACACCTGGCAAGAAAAACGGACAACAGCTGGACCACAAAAATTACAGCATGGTACCCACAAGGAATTAAGAGACCCAGAAGACCAAACCTGAGATGGGACCTGAATATTAGAAAAAAAAAGACCAAAAACCTGAATATTAGGAAATTAGTAGGGATATCTTGGGCCCGCATAGCCAATAAACAACAATGGGCCCAACTACAAAGAGAGTATCTAAATATGCGAGGGATCATAATTGGAAATGATTGAATAAGCTGAAAATGATGATGATATCACATGATATCGACAGCAAACAGAACTTCTCAAAGAATATAAGGCTTTGTATCATTACATTTATTGTCCCTCCTTATTGACATTTTTCACCACTGTGCGTTATACGCCCTACAGGAAACCCGGTGAAGGGCGGGAACTATTCAGATCTAATATTACAGTTTATTAGTAAATATTAGCTCTAATATGATACAGACGAAATTATAATATGGTTAGTTTTATAGAATATTTCTATAAATTGAATAAAATTTATATCTACATAGTACACAAAAACTACTTCCAAGTTAAAATCCAAAAGCTGTTTCATCTAAATTATAGTAATTAACCGACAGTTATCATGCTGAGACACACAGAAGTTCATAATTTTGGTTAATTATAACTGCTAATCTAAATAATTCACATCATTAATTATGCAATAAATAGGTATTAGACAATAATTAAAAAAATGCATTGTTTTTATTTAAAGAAATATTACGTTCTCCGTGGCTTCATGTATTTTTTATTGACTGCATAATAATTTTAATACGTTTTTCCTGTTCCAAGCCATTGAAAATTTTAACCATTGCCATTGATTTTTACTTAGAATAGATAGAATATAGGTATTCCCATGTTTGTATGTTAAAGATAAAAGATAAAAGTACCTACATAAAAAATAAGCATTAATAAGTATAAATAACTCTTATTAATAACTCTTTTTATTCATTTTTAAAATAATACCTGGTATTTATTGTTTAAAAACAATTATTTTGGTAAATGAATATATTAGTTTGATTGTTTGATTTTACATATTCACATAAGAATACCTTTTATAGTTCAAAAATATAAAATTAAGAGTCCATTTCACATAAAAGTAGCAAAATAAGCGTTCGGCATTTAACATTTTATGTAAAACTGGCTAGGTTTTTTTACACAAATGAAGAAGGAAATTAAATATAAAGGCTTATACTATCTCCGTATTGTAGCACGGTAGCACATTTTTAAATAACTTCTTTATTTTTAAGATTTTTATCTTTAAACATCAACAAAATATTCCTTATGTTTGGACTAAATTTTCTCGAAAATAAAAACATAATTTAAAATTCCGTTACAATACGGAAATAGATTGAAGTTTTGTGATTACAGTGATATATAATTTATATGGTTTTGTAACAAATTGTTCGCTATTTTATGGCAAATGCTGAAGCTCTGCAAACCTTAATCAAAGCACGTGTGTTTGGAATTTTGGGTGTGACTTAACACGACAGGATCGGGCTAAGTCTTAGGCAGATTTCTGAAATATAATATATATTTCTTTCGGCCATACACCCGAAAGTACAGCGTAATAGGCTCTTAAGGCAATATTCTTACACCGATAGAATTATTCGATATAATATAATAAATATAAAAACAGTTCTATTAGTAAGAGATGTGCAGTTAAGAAAATACAATCTGTGAGAATGGGTAATATCTTTGGCAGGTAAAAAATTGGATAAAAATTATTGAAACCATTGCATTATTTTCGCAGTAAAAATTTTTCAGATGATAGTTTATATTATAATTACATAGCTGCAAATATGTCTGGCTAATGTGGAACATCCCGAAATCCTTGTTAAAGTCGTCCAACGCTCGTCAGGCGCGCTAAATTTGGCATTTTCAATTATACCGGTGATTGTTGTCATCTTTACACGTTTTTACTTTTCATAATTTATCATAAGAGAAATATTTGTTTAGGCCGAAATTTGACTATGCCTAAAAACACATTTCTCAACGTTTTGAGACCCCAGGAATCAGGGGCGCCGACTGCGTGGGTGCTCGGGTGCCCAAGCACCCACGAAAGAAAATTAGTGGATGCGGAGCACCCACGAGCCTAAGCATCAAAACTGTTCAGTTTAGCAACTTTAAGACACTCGCATCTCATCCCGCCCAACTCCCAATTCCCGACGTCTATTTCAGTAGTTCTAATGAAGTTTCCTCGTTCATTCTAGGTAGTTAAATCAATCCTGTTTTTCAACTGTTAAAACAGCAAGCAAATTAACATGGCATTACTTATTTCCTTTAAGCAACCGTTATTTTTATGCTTTTTTTACTTATTCCATAAGCGAATAAAATCCAAGACAGATGTGTATTTCGGGAGGCCATTTTTACTTAGAAAAAATGTGCCGAAGTGAGTCCGTAACTCAGCTTCATCAAGTTCATTAAAGATAGAACTGTACTATAAAATTGCGAGTGTGCGACAGGCTGTAATACAGGTTAAACTGCGTAGACTGGCCTGTTTTTAATAATAAAAACAAAAATAAATAACTGTGCGTTTGTGAGGGCTCTAAAAGTGTTTAGAGAGCTCATAAATTTATACAAGGTGAGTCTTAAATTAGTACAAATATTTTAGGGGTGGTATATTTCGACCCCAGAAACATGTCTATAAGGTTTGTTTCGTTTTTTTTAATTTGGTATTTGTCGAAAAAAATGGATTTTTAGTCAAAAAATACAATATCTTAATATTATGGCAACATAGGTAGTAGATTATGTTTACAAAACAGAAAAAAACAGTCGTTCTCAAAACATGGGCATAAAATATACATTTTTTTATTTTTATTAAGTAAAATAACTCGGTTTATTTGGGGGTTATCTGAAAAACGATAAAGAGAAAACATGTGTTTCTTTTATCGAGATCTACCAGCCCTGAAAATATTTGTACTTATTTAAGACTCATATTAATTATAATTATTCTAAATTGGAAGCGAATTGTAAACTACCTTAGGAATGTGTGTTCATATCCACGATAGCTCACTGTCAATCTATTTAGCTGGCCAAGTATATGAAATGTGCTATGTGATGCGAAAGCTTGTTGTGTATGATTATATTGTGTTTATCTTTGAGAATTTTTAGTCTTGACGGATAAATTTGTTTATATAAAAACCCTAAGCTGTCCCCCTCCCAATCTCGGATATCTCTCCACTAGTAGCTCTTCTCAGCAACTTTTAGCTTCGTTTATTTTGTATCTCTTTATAAAATACAGTTACACTATCTGTCTGTTTTTTTTAATGCCTACCCGTACACGATTGTAATGGGTAGAATTAATATTTTCACAAATTGGTATCTGTACTAAAAAAAATTATTTCTGCACAACTAAAATTATACTCAATAAAATTGTAAAAATGACAAATTGATATGGTATTTTTCTAATATTGTTATGTATGTTACATATGTAAAAAAGTGTAATAAATACGACAAATGTAACAATCTGGAAATTTGTTACATTTACTCATATTTGATGAGCACCCATGAGGTTTCATAAAAGTCGGCGCACCTACCAGGAATCCAAAAAACATGGTTTTAGCAAAATGTCAGTCCGTCATCAAAAAACTTCATTCGCAATTGTAACTTCCTCTCCTCATTTAGCTACCTGACTTGTGAGTATGGTGGGGCTTTCGTGATTGTAAATGATGGACAAACGTGTATTTTCTATGAAATTATAGTACTATTTATCATGTGACAAATTTTCAAATCCGGGAAAATAAGAGCAAAATTTTGTAATTTTTGCAATTTTCAAGATGCCGCCAGACCCATTTTCGTAAATCGGCCAGACTTGCTTTTGATTACAGTTTATGATGGTATAAAATAATACGTCAAATTTCAAGCGTGGGAAAATAAGGATTACGGATTTCAAAAATCTGTCGAATTTTTGCATCCGCAAATTTTTAGCCTCTCTGACTTTCCAATTCATTCATTTGGGATGTGCCAAACTGTTTTATTTCCATTAATTCAATTATTCACTTATAATAAAAAGGGAAAATAAGAGAACTTGCCTTTTTTATCTAGTGAACCCATCCGAAAATTTTAGCTGGACTCGTTCAATTGTCATTTTATATCACCATACAAACAAAGTATTTCATATTCACCCACTGGGAAAATAAGTACAAACACAATTCACTGCCTCCTGGACTATAGAGACTGTTTTCTTATTATTAAGAATTGTGTGTTCCATAGGCTTGACTCCCTATTTTGATGCGCTACAAACTGATAATGAGTAGAAAAAAATATAATTTGACCACAAACTGAACATTTACTGAAACCCATAAGTATGGGTTCTTTAGTAAATTACCTTTTTACCCCCTTTTATATTCTCATTTCATATTGTTTGTTAAACTTTAACTGTTTATTGTGTCGAATTATAAGACGAACATTATTTTAACTTTTTCAGCGACTGACCTAATGATAACTAAAGGTTCCATAATCTAGTTGTTAATTTACTTCATTTTTACCTCTGATTATGAATAGACAATGCTACTTAGTAGGAATTTGGTCTTTGTTTTTCACAATAGACTCACAATATCTACAATTCAAAACTTATCTATTTTTATTAAGGATGATATCTAAAGTATTCTAAATATAGACACTTTACTATTATTTAAGAAGTTTTAAAGCAATATTTGTACTGTGAATATTTGGAATATTCCCTGGGTTAACTCGCAACTTAGGAATTAGGAATAAGTAATAACTTCGAAATTAGGAATAATTATTTGTTATTAAAAATTGGCGGCAAAGGTGAATTCCTAATTTCAAAAAATTACTTTTATAAAATGGTATTGTTTCATTTCCCATACCTTGCTTGTTTTCGAGCGGTATTCATGAGAAGTTAATTATAAATATTCGAGTGTTTTATTATTCTTAATTAGGGCCTGAAAGATATTTTTTAATTAACTCGCTTACCGGGTCCAAGTCAGATTCCCACAGTTCTTTCAAGTCGTCAGCCGAGCCGATGTCGTAGAACTTATCCACCTCAAAACAAGTTTCCATGGCGTTCGTGTGTGAGTATGTATACGTGCGTGTGTATCGGGCTTAAGCGAATCGAAGAAGGGAAGAATTCAGCTCCGCGCTCTGTTTCCGTCAATAGTTTAGATTTCTTTCTCCTAATTCCAACGATTTTCCGCAGCTAAATTTTCCATATGGACAGCTTATAATATTTTCCACACAGTCGAGCGCGAACACAAAAATTCGAAACAAACGCGAAAGTAAGGCACGATTCGGAAGGATTCCCACGGCGGAAACGGCCTTCGTATCGAATTTGCCGGTAACCTGTTGATGGATGGGTCGAGGAACAAACAACAGGTGAACGTGCGTTCGGTATCTGCGGTGCGCGTTCGTTCACTAGGCACGGCGTGGCGCGGCGAACAGCGACTCTCTCGACTGGAGTGAAGAGAGAGAAAAGAGGGCCCGATGCGGTCTCGCGGGGCACCAGCTCGACGTCGAACGGTAAATTGAAAGGAGGCGGCCGCGGCCCGGCCGGTGCCCCGAAATCACGTTCGGCGCACTACGTGTGCGCGCCGTGCCATACTTAACCCCTTAAGCAAAGGCCTTTTTCCCAAAGTAGTATGGCTTGTAGATTGTTGATTGTGTGGGAGGGGGGGACCGACTGCAACCTTATAGATCTATTGTGTTCCCCCTTCTTGAGTTATAACTCATCATACAGTCTCAGGACTTTGACAAGAGGCAGTATCTGACACGGTTTTAACCCTAAAATGTTTTACGTGTTGTTTCATCACAGAATATTAACTATATTAATTAAACTGTGGTTTTACTGAAGTTAGTTCTCCATCTCCGATATCAGTCGTACCAAAGTTTATGGCACGAATGGTTGTCGCCTCGGCGCACTTAGTGATGTGATCTTCTGGTGTTTCCCCACCGACAGAATTTGCATTCGCCGTTTTTTCTTAGCTTCAATCTACTGATGTCTTCTTCTTTATGTGCCTCGAAGAACGTTGGCTACCATCAATGACACTTGTATTTTATTCGCAGCTCTTCTAAACAGCGTGTTGGTTTTTACTCCGTACCACTCACGTTCTTGAGCCAGGACGTCCTTCTTCTTTCAGCTAAGCGTCACCCTTCTATTTTGATGTCCAAAATATGCCAGTTTTCTGGTTTTTATGCTTTTTCTAAACACGGTACTCGTATTCAGAATCTCCAACATCTCTGACATTACTGATTTTGTCTACCCGAGATATCCTTAAAATTCTCCTGTAACACCATATTTCGAAGGCTTCTATTTGTCCCTATTCAAGGTCCAAGACTCCATTCCATACAGCAAGGACGAAAATACATAACATGTTAATAAACGAATTCTCAGAGGTAGGGGGAGGGTTGGAGTTGGTTGGAGTCAATGACTAAAGGATATGAGGACATGTAACGCCCCTATACGGGCTGCAGCAGAATTTGTGACCTTTTTTTTTGTTTTGGTGGCAAACAATGAGTCATCATTTGGTCGCCAGCGACAATTTTAGCGATTTTTAATAGTTTGTGTGTAGTAAACTTTGTATAAACTTTATTACAATGGTGATTAGGTGTTCAGCTTTCAAGTGTAAAAGCAGCAGCGATAAGAAAGAGCCAGGAGTTACGTTTCATAGGTAAATAAACAGTCCACTCCAACTTTTTAGCGTTTTCTTATTGAATTCGATAATTATTCTTCAATTTCAATTAACATCTATATGTACTTGATATGTGCTATACGTCGATACTAGTTTTGTACCTTTTGTTAACATTTTAATACGTTTTTTTCGTAATTACTTAGGATGATACACCATAGGCGTAGTCAAAACAATTATCAAAAAATATAAATATTGCTTCAAACAGCTAGATTAAGAAAAATATGTGCCACGGCACTGTTTGGTGACATCGTCACAATTTGCTCTCGGGTGTTATTTGTCCTTGGATTCTTTAGTCATTGGTTGGAGTTCTTTACCGGGTAAAGCACTGTACTCGTCTTTCTGAACTCAACCTTACTATTAGCCCTAGCCCAGCCTCTACTGAGGCACTGAGGTGGTCATTGATTAACAGACAGTGTCCTGTTAAAAATTCCAAGACAATCCGAAGACTGTTCTTACTTAAATTGAGGAAAATCTTTTGGATTTTCCTTAATTTTGGAGTTTTTTCGGTTGTAAGTCCTGATAAATTTCTTCGATTATCTTACACAGTTGGAGATTTCTCATTACAGTTACGCATGGAGTCTTTCAAGTTCTTGAGCTCTACTTTAAAAAAGACATAGTACAGAGCAAGATTCCAGCAAAAATTCCTCCCGATGGATAGACTAGCTCTCAAAACTCACAGACAAACCTTGTGCACATGCTGGTACATGGCACACGAACTACAAGACAGAGAACTATGGAAGCAAACTACATACATCACTTTAACCTGGCCAGTTGTCTTGCGGGGGCAATGTCCAAGAAGGCACAAATTGATGTTTCTTTGCTATCCAGGCTTGCCTGTATTAGCTCCGTTAGTTGGTACAAAGCAGTTTTTGTGAAAATCTGCCCTGCCTATATGCATGCTGACTATAGTGTAGTTAACCAAATACGTTTCTAAAATTTATTTGGATTTAACCTTTAGATAATTTTCTCCAATATGGTTGTCCACTACTTTCTCCACCGTTTTTAGTATGAACGATGTGACACTAATAATAGGCCTAAATGATTTCGCGTTGGCCCAATGACTTGACCTTATTTTGGGATATGATTTTTTGCTCTTCTCCAGCTCTTTTGCTCTTCTCCAGATGGTTTATAAGGCTGAAAGATACCAATAGCCCATTTCAGTTTTTGTTCTGTTATATTTTTTGCGATATCTCAAACTAGTATTTGACAACTGGAATACTAATCTGACGTGCCAATTCCTTCGATACCTTCACAAAATTAAGTAATCAGTTCGTAAAGGGTGTAAATAGAAAGAAGAGACCGCTCAATATCTGTTATGTCGAATGTGAATAATAATGTTGTCAGGACATTACGTTCAATTAAATTTCTAAATTAGGTTGAATGGCGGAGTTAACCTATGTATGGGTTTTCTGGCCAAGTATGCATAAAGGAATCCAATGAGGCCTAATGCCTAACTGCCACACACTACACACCTTTTGGATTTAATTCCCTCCATCGATAATATCACTTGCCTAGCTCCACAAAGTCAAATCACTGTATTAAACTCTTGAAATTGTTTTAGACATTGGCCTAATAATATCATAGTAGAAGGAAAAGAGTAGTCACACTCTCCCAAATATGTTCTGCCAGTTTTTACAATCTGTCGAATATCGGCAGATTGCAGAGCGTTTCACCTGAGTTCCGTCCGTCGACCTGCGACGTTCGAGCATTGCGTCCCGGCACAGAGACGAATTGACAAAAATGAGTGCCTTACTGTGTGCTGCTATTGGTTGTATTAATAATTCAAAAAATTGTGATTTGAGTTTTTTTGAGAGACATTTGTATTCAGGTAAATTTTCTCATGACTGATTACTATTTAATAATTTGATATTATTTTCATTTAAACCTCAATTTTTTATCAATTTTACTTTTGACAACCATCCCTTGCTTGTTTAACGAACTGCACCATCACTGAACAAATATTTGCTGGTACCGAAAAAAACTGGAAATCCCGGTTCCTTAGAGGCATGTTACCGCAATTACCGGTTCCGAAAAACAGCTCCGGTTCCGGAAATGCTATAACGTACCATAACTACAACCATGAATCGCCCTATACAGGGTGAGTCTTAAATAAGTGCAAATATTTTTAGAGGTAGTATATTTTAGCCCCAGAAATACTTATGAGGATTTTTCTGCGCAATATTTTTTTTGAAAAAAAAATCTGGAATTTTTTTTAGTTTTTAGTTAAAAAACATAATTTCTTCATAATATGGTAACTAGGGTTCATAATTCTAAATTAGGTTGAATGGCGGAATAATGTTGAAACAAAAAATGTAATATACCAAATACCCTGCGAATGCGATAAATTTTACATTGGTGAAACATCTAGACCCTTATCTGTGCTTAAATGTTAGAATTAAAGAACATAAAGATTATTTAAGAAAGGGAGATTTTCACAAATCTAAGATTTGTCAGCATTCATGGGACACAGGGCACAGAATAAATTTTAATAACGCCAAAATTATAATGAAAGAAGCGATAGCCTCTAAAAGAAAAATAAAAGAGGCTTTTTAATTCAATCTAATAAAAATAAATGTATTGTTCATGCATCTGTAGATGTTAGTAAAGTATGGCAATCGCTTCTTTGATTTTAAAGAACATTACATAAATAAACATAACATACGTGAAATTTAAAAATAATCATACAGAAAGTTTGGGCTTTTTGGTTTTACCTTATTAAGTAATTATCAGGTAGTAATTGTTAATTTTGAAGTCTAACTTAATATAATGTCATTTTAACAGAACGTCAACGATTTCTTGTAGACGTATCTGTTTTAAAAAGTAAAGCGTTCTCGAATAGTTCAATTTAAACATTTTAAATTGTTTTTTTCTTGATTCTTTATATTTTTTTGCTTCCGACGACGGAAAGAGAAAACTTTCCGAAACGTTAAGCATTTTTTTCTTTGTTAGGCAAATTTTTTTACTGTAAACACAACTTCTGACAAGCAGCGTCCGTTTAGGTTTAACGCAGAAGTGTTTACAAATAATAACTATTTTATTTTTTAGATTTTTCTTGCAGTGCAGTGGCGAAAAATCCATAAGGATTTTTTTTTGGATAGGGTTCATAACCGGAAATTCCCGGTTCTTTTGAGATATCAAAGAACCGGGTCTCGAAATTATTAATTCCTGGTTCTTTCGGTACCTTCGGGACTCGGTAACAATAACTAAAAAAATATTCTTTTATTACGTGAGAAAGTAGGGATGCTATTTCTCATTGTTCTTGCTTTTTTTCTTTTTTGAAATTTCTGTAATGTTTATTAACAATAATTATTGAAGTTTAAATATGTTATTTTGTCATTTAGTACAATGTGTTGTTCAATGTATTAGTTATCCAGTGAAAATCACTTAACCAATATATTACAAAACAAACACATTAATGTTAAAATTAAACTTGTTTTAAATTAAAAAAGAGTTGTAGAAAATTTTGAAATGATGACCATTTTAGCAAAACAGGAGTAAATATTACATTTACCTAATTATTACATATAAAAATATGTCATATATTTTTTCCGCATTTCTTCCCATCAGAAGATTTTCAGATACAGAAGAATTGTTACTTACACGAAATGTGAAATTATTCTGTTTTCAAGCAAATTTTTACTCGATGATCAATTTCTTTTATTTTATTTTATTGTGAACTCATATTTTCCTAAATACATCTCTGTGAAACTATGGCGAGTGCCACGACTATACTTTGCCTAGTTATAGACCACGACTATACAGGTAAGTCAGTGGTCACGGGACGCGAGAACAAGGTCATATAAAGTGGCAGAAAAAGAACAAAGGATTTGACAAGGAGTGAAGCTACTAGTTTCCTCATACTATGATAATATTACGAATGTTCTGACTTTAATTGGCTTGGATTTTTTATATCTTCTAGCGTCTTTATCTCTTCTGTATGAAAGGGATTATAACAATTCGCAGAAAGAATCCAGACGAAAGAACATTATTCAGAGGCAACAATAACAGGCATATTTTGGACTACAAAATTATTAAGATTCAGGTAAAGCTAGAAAAGACCTTAATTCATTTTATGCTAATTTGCAAAGTAAAATTAGGCACAGCCATTAAATAAATTCGGAATTACCGTAATGCCTGTTAAAAAGTAAGTATAAAGCACTTAATAAATAGCTGCTAATTTACGACAACTAAAAATTGCTTTCGCTTTACATCTTTACAGGGCTGTTACATGTTACATAAAATAACTGTTTTTTTTAATAATTAATTAAATTATTTTTAAAATTTAATAATTTTTTGGTATAATAGAGATATAAGGTTTTCTAAACATATTATTAATATTTGTCTAATAAGACGAAATATATCGGAAGCATTTTTTGCCGACCTATTTTATTTCTATACAGGGTGTCCCAGAAATAAGTGCAAGTATTTTAAGGGGTGGTAGATCTCGATAAAAGAAACATATTTTTTAGTTTTTAAGTCCAAAATAACGGAGTTATTTTACTTTGAACGCACTTATATCTGGGACACCCTGTATATAGCGCGAATAACTTTTTTGTATATAGAAGATATCAGGGGCGCATATACGGGAGGGATAATGGGGGTAATTACCCCTCCCAGAACGAAATTTATAAATATGTTCAAATGTTGTATAAAATAAAATCGTCACAAAATGAATTAATAATACCAGTCAAAATGGAAAGTCCAGGCCAATCCAAGTTATTTTTTCCGCAGTGATAATACCTTTCAGCGCAAATTTGCTTAACTTAATCCTCGTGCTTTACTTAAATACTGCCACTACCCCTCCCAGACTCAATCTCTAGATGCGCCACTGGAATATATGCTGTTTTGGTACGTATGTAGTTCTTAGTAATTTGGGAATGGATAATTACATCGACAAATACTATATATTAAAATTTATATGTATAATTTAGTGGCATGTTAGACCTAAACTTGGATAGCGTCTCTTATTACTTGGTTTAGTCACTTCATCTGAGTTGTCTGTATTTTAATGCATGCGACAGGAAAAACTTTGTAGAATGTAGAATGTTTAGGAGGGGAGTTAATCACCGCGACCTTACAGTACATCTATTGTGTGTTCCCCTTGCTTGAGTTATAACGAGTTATAACTCATCATACCGTCTCAGGGCTTTAACAAAAACCAGTACCTACCTGAGACGGCTCCACAGGCCAACTCTCCATCCCCGACATCAGCCCAGGAAAAACTTTATTATTGACATTTTGGGAAAAAATGCATTCTTCATAAAAAAAATTTTCATTCTAAAATGGTCAATCCCGTTTATTCTTTTCAAAATTTCCATACAGTTTTAGAGAAAATAAAAAAAAAACTGAAAATAGAGTTGAATTTTTAGGAGAAATCTTTGAATAAGAAGACTAAGGAAGGAGCATAATGCTATCCATGTATTCATGCATGGTGGGCGGAAAAAGCACTCTAGGATGAGGATCCTTGACAGTTCTGTTTGACGATTCATTTGACACATTTGAATTTGATTTGAAATTTTATGGATTTGTCAGTCTTTACGGAGCTTATTTTATGTTATTTATTATTTATTCTACTACTGATAGTTATATAAAGGTATTAAATCTAGATGGAAATTGTGGCAGAATTTAAATTAACAGTGACACTATCGCGATTTATCGAAAAAGACTCTAAAATAGTTGGTTGTGTAGCGTGCGGTAGATCTCGGCAACAATCGAGTGAAATAATGGAACAACTTTTCGCTAGTAAGTGACTATATAATATACATACGTGTAGTAAACCGATCATTTATGAAATTCACTTAAATTAACTAATTATATATTTTTTCTTGCATTTTTGCTTTTATTTGCTACTTGTCAAAGATTAGATGTCAAAGAATTTAGATACGTCAATTTGATTTATCAGATTTACCTGCTTCAGTAGCGTATCGGATGTTTATGTTAATAAATAATTATTATAACTTATCTATTTTTATTAGAATTATATATTTTTGTAACAATTTTAATAACTACCAACATATGGAGAATGTGCAAATTGATTCTTATAGAACTTTTTACGTGGAATACAGTGACGTAGTCTGTTTTTCTACGAAAAAAATATTTTTGAAGATATGAACTAAAGTTATATTTTTCAAATGGAACACTGTATATTTATAAGTCATATGATCCGTCTTGCTATGAGCTTCTCAAATATGTATATCACTCTATATTTATTTTCACTATTTACTGCAATATTTAAAATATATAATTTTCTTATTAGTAGGCCGTGATAAATACCAAAAAATTAAAATGGTATTTACTAAAATAGTCATACAAATATTAAAATTTTATTTGGAATTGATATATTTTACTTTTGAACTGTTACCCCTGAATCTCTGAAGATATATACTCTTTTTTATAACGGAATTTATTATAACGGGATGGGTTTGCAATTATCTAAAAGCTTGCATTTATTTGTTCGACATTGTGTTAGTTGCCACGATATATTTCCAAAAACCCCCAAAATCAGAAATCGAGAACGGACAAATACGGGAATAAGGGAGGCCATCATACGGATCTATTGGTTTGGTAATATTCTCGTTGTAAGTTAAGTTGTGAGGAGCCCCATCTTGCTGAAAGTCTATTTCATGTAAATTTGCTAAAGAAATATTTAAAAGTCCCGATACGATAGCTTCCAAGATTTACAAACAGAGGTAGAGAGTTAAGTTTCCTTAATATAAAAGAATTTATTAGTGGCTCTCAAAATAAAACAAGAGACAGAGAGCAGTATACTTTTAATAATTCTTTAGTTTCTTTTATTATCAATCCTGGCCTACTAAATTTGATCTTTTAATATATATTTTTTTAATATTGCCCTAAATAGTCAAAATAAATATAGAGTGATATAGATTTTTGAGAAGCTTATGGCAAGCCAGATCATATAATTTATAAATATACAGGGTGTTCCATTTAGGAAAACATAACTTTAGTTCATATCTTTAAAAATATTCTTTTCGTAGAATAACAGACTACGCCACTATATTCTACGTAAAAAGTTCTATAATAAACAGCTTTCACCTTCTCCATACCTTTAACAATAACAGAGATACAGAGGGTGTCCCAAATTGCAAAATTTTCAAAAAGACCCCTGTAGCTCAGAAACGAAGAGGGCTATGACAAATTTGTTTACGGCATCTTTCGTTTGACAAAAAAAATTGTGCCAACAGCACACTTCTATCTTCGCGAATAACAGAGATACCGTATGATTTCAACTAAAATGGGACACCCTGTACATACGTGTAGTAAACCGATAATTTATGAAATTCACTTAAAATTAAATAATTATTATATATAGTTTTTCTTGCCTTTTTGCTTTTATTTACTATTTGTCACAAATTAAATGTCAAAGAATTTAGACACGTTAGTTTGACTTACCTGTTTCAGTAGCATATCAGATGTTTCTGTTGATAAATTTTTATTATAACTTATCTACATATTTTTATTAGAATAATTATATATTTTTATAACAATTTTAATAACTACTAACATTTATAGACAATGGAAAATAAAACAAATTATTGAGTACATCCTACATTATATTTTTACACGCTTTGAAACAAATTAGAACGGCACTGATAAACCGGAATTGAAGTCAACAGTCAAAAGGAACAGAAGAAAAAACAACAGTTAAAGAGGTTTATAATCAGGCTGATACTGATTTTCTAGGAGATCTTGTATATACTACAAGCGAGAAATTAACAAGTCCAAAAACATTGTTGCTATTATTTTATTAATACTATATAAAATGATACATACAAATGTAACTAATATGGTAATACCCTTGTAAAAGTATGGATTAGGATGAAAGATATGAAAGTGTAAAAATAAATAAAATCTTTTGAAAAATAATATTTATACAGCAGAATTAACTAATATGAAATTTAAAACTAACTTTTTTTATTGTAAAATCAGATCAAATCCACAACAAAAGAATAAAATTTAACTATAGCGACAAATACACATTATCGACTATAATTAAAATTTAAATTCTAGGCGTATAATTAAAAAACTACCATAATATAAAATAAAATACAGTTCATTCCACTTAAACAGTTAAAACGTTTGACAATTTTTTTTGTAGATTCTCGGTAAAAATTTTCATAGTTTATAAAAGCACCGTACATTTTTCAATTCATTCAGACTTCAGATTACCAATCAATCACAGATTTTATTAATATAAACAATATAATATTGAAAAATAAAAAAAAGTAAGTAAACAAATCCACTCCACAATTATTTAATCTCTCTTTAAAACTGGCCAATGTAAGATTTAGATATTAAGCAGAATAAAGCGATAAAAAGAAATTTTAAGCAATTAAATTAACTATCACAATAAAAATGGTATAATAAACCATACCTGATGGCTTTAATAAATTGATAAAAAATACTATAAATATTTATGTAAAATATTTTTTCTTGACATTTTTGTATTGTATTATTAAAAATTATTAAAAAGTATATTAAAATTCAACAACCATCTACCTGTTTGTTTTCTGTTTTCGCATTTTGTGTTGTGCTGCTATTTTAATTAATAAATTTAAAGAATATCTTTGTTCCAGTTGATGATGTAATCAAATTAATAGAACATGTAAGTATCTATCTACTTGATAAATAATTAAATAAAAAAACTATCTGCTTGATAAATTGACTAAGGGATACCACTCTGATGTTTCTGTTTTTAAATCTAATTCACTTAAGTCTAATTCTACGCCACCCATAAACTCATTCTCCTGCAATGCATCATAGCTCCATAATGTCGCTTTTAATATTTTTCGTTCTACCATATCCAAACCCATACGATACTCCAGCTGAAAAAATCCATTACATTAAAATACCGTATGATCGAATAAAAACGGCGTCTATGAAATGAAGGTCGCTGTCATTTTATATGTAAATTTATATGGGAAATGTCATCGATCGTCATTTCCCAGCCAACTGGCCGCCGTTTTTTCTCGATCATACGGTATAGTCATTATACAGGATGGCGCACCTCATTCGCCTCGGTTGATTATACGAAAACGGAAAAAAGTAGAAACAAAATATTTTATGGGTATATGTGGGAAGACAATGTGCATAATTTTAAATTATTTTCCAATGTACAGCGTGTGTCAGAACTAAAATCCATACCAAAGTTATATTTTTTCTTATGGAATACCCGGTATTTTATTTCATTTTTGGATTCTTGAACATAAAATAAGGCATTTATTATAAGGGTTTAATATGTCTAAAAGCTTTGGTTTTTGATATATTTAAAGATATTTAAAGTCAACACATTGTACATTATTTTTCAGAATTAATTATTATTGTGCTGACTATCAAGCCAGAGAAATAAACATTACTAAAAAAATTTATTGCTTCCTTAAATCTATACAGGGGTATGCAAGGTGTTTAATTTTAAAAATGAAAATCCAGTTAAAACCAATGACATCGAAATAAATTAGACCCGGCGACTTACATTTTGGCGAAATCCATCATTGCCTTAGAAAATTGTATGTATGCCAAATTTCCACTTCGGCCGCATTTAAAAGGAAATCTTACCTACGTATACGTACGGGGATAGCTAACCCACATTGTAAACCAGGAATTCCGAATATAGATTACGTCGTAGAATACTTTAAACCGATAATAATTAAAGGTAGCCTAGTATAACGAACTACTCCCAATCAGCATTAGCCGTTATTTAAATCTTCTGTAATTATAATTTTTAGATTTTAAGAAATTTAACATAAAACAATCGACAACGTCGCAACGCCAGCTGATGCCGAAAACGTACGCATTTTACTATCTATACTCCTAAATTTAGGCAGCCAACAAAACATCCAGTTCGAATTCGTTCATAAATTGCTTTACGGCGTTGCCAATATCTTGTGGTTTTTCGAAATGTTTTATGAGGTGATTTCCAGATATTTTAGTGTTTTGTGGTATTATTTTTAGTGATTTTATTCAGAAACAATAAGACAATGGTGCGAACTTGCTTAATTTGCAAAAATAGAGACGACTTTAACCTAGAAGTTTGATTTCGAAGGTGTGTAAGGCTATGTTACATCAGTGCGGTGCCGAAAGTAAAATAGGAAAAAATCTTTGGAAATATTAGTAAATCACACAGTTTTGAAATGTACCGTTATAAGTAATGAACCATTACATTAAGTTAGTTTCGTCACGTTTGGTTTTATTGAATATCTTGATCATAATATTTAAATATTATCAAAACCAAGTATACAAATGCGAATTTTAATTTGTTGAAAAAATATATAAAAAAATTAAAGTCACAGTGTCACAGTTACGAAAAATGTTCAATAGTGAAATAAAATATGATCGAAAAAAAACGGCGTATATGGGGAATGTCATCGATGTTCATTTCTAAGCCAACTGGACGCCTTTTTTTAGATCATACTGATTGTTATTAGGATTTTTAGTTATTAAAGTTAATTTTTTAAGTGTAAAATCAAAATAGATTTATATAATGGATATTACATACTAAATACCATATGATCGAAAAAAAAAATGGCGTCAAAGACCGCTGGAAATAACAATCGAATATAATTTTGGCGAGGTTTATTTCTAGATGTCATTTATTAAAAATTGACATAAAACTTGTCAAAAACTAATACTGATTATAGAAAAATTATAAAAGGATAGAACGTTTCCAGAAACATAAATCGATATCCAAAAAAAAATTTTCGAATTTATATTACACCATTTAAAAATCAAATACAACCTTAAGGCGTACTACTGCCAGTAGTGTCATTAAAAAATAAACAAGAGTAGGGGCCATGACATATCACCTTGCCAAAATTATCACCGATTGTCATTTTTGACGCCGTTTTTTTGATAGTATAATTTTTGTGGTAATAGAGGAATGTATTTTTTGTTTTGTTTATTAAGACTAAAAAAAATTATATAGTTTAAAAGATGAATGCGTCTTTGTTTGATATGTTTTATAAAGCATTACTTATTTTTTGTTTGGAAATTTCGAATGAAAAGTTAATTATTTATTCAGTACAAGGTCCCGATTTTCCGCGAAGAAACTGATCCAGAAATAAGTAAATATTTTAGAAATTTTCTTTTGTTTAACAAAGATCTTTATTATTGTTGTTATATAGTAATATTTTTATACTTAATATAAAATTGCAATTCGTCATGGCCGACAGTTTTAAAATATTCTCATTTTTTACCGTTGCTTCAATCAAAATAATACCATTAATTCACATAAATGTTTTATAAAAGTCGTCTTCGGCTCGTATTCATTGAATGCTTGATGGATTATATTACTACTAGAGTAATTTACAGACATTACTATGGAAATGTGCATATCATAATTTCAATTAGTTATTTTCGTATTGAAGTGATTGGAGTATAGAATTAGTCATTTTCAAAATTTGAAGAGCCATCTAGCACAACAATATATCGTATCCAAAAATCATATTTACGAGAATATAATATTAAATTATATATTACAATCAAAGTAACTACGCCACTGGCACACATTCTCAAGATCTCTGAACAGCGTTGTCATTCTCTCGGGAATCCTTCATGACTGCGATCAGCCCGTCTTGTTCCCACTCGCATAGAACAAGAAACGAATGTCTGATTCTGATCTTTTTCTTTTTATGAATAAAATGCCGGGTCTATTTTATTTAGAGGTCATTGGTTAAAACCCAAACATCCACAGTGTAAAAAGCAAAACAACATGACCAGACTGTACGTACGGGGTCTAGAGACCAAAAATACCGCCGATGACCTCCGGGAAGTCATCAAAGAATCACTTCCACCGATAACTTCAATCTCAATCTTGGAAGCTGAACAAGGCTGGACACAATTAAGGGATGCGATTCATAAAACTATCGAAGCAGTACTGGGAAAGTCCAACAAAAAGAAACAACCAGACTGGTTTAACGAAAATCAACCTCATATACAGACCTTGTTGGAACAAAAGCATAGAGCACATCAAGCAGTCACTACAAATCCACACAATCCAAGGCTGGTAGATAACTTTAAAGGAGCCAACAACACGCTTCGAAAAAATCTGCGCCAATTAAAGGATGATTGGTGGTCACAAAAGGCTAATCAGATTCAATAGTACGCCACGCATCACGATTATGGTAAATTCTTCGAGGCTGTAAAAGAAGTATACGGCCCAACCAAGAAGGTAAGCTGCCCAATCATGACACAAAATGGCGAACTTCTAAAAGAGAAAGAGCAAATTAGAAACCGCTGGAAAGAGCATTACAGCCATATCCTTAACCAGGAAAACAACCCCAATATGGAATCACTAAACACAATACCTCAGTATAACAGCCTCGATGTATTAGATACCCCAATAACAGAACAGGAAATAATGGCATCCATAAAACAGCTTAAAAACAACAAATCAGCTGGCTGTGATGCGATCCCGGCGTATATATAGTGAATATATTTAAGCAATATATAGTGAATATATTTAAGAACAAAGGAAGTGCATCAGACTGCGGAAATAACCGGGGAATACACGTACAAAACCGCGCTCTAGTTGCAAACACGTTACAACAATTACAAGAAATGTTGAACACATATACCTGGGTATACGAGGCTTTGGGCCTTAAGCTAAACATTGACAAATCCAAAATCATGTGCACTCGCCCGAAAAATCATAACAATGCTATAAAAATCGGAGAAGAACTATTGGAATATGTAGCGGAATTTAATTACCTCTGCAGTTTGATTACGGAAAAGGCCAATATCGACTCTGCAATTCAGCACAGGATTAGCAGCGCCTCAAGAGCATTCTGGAAATTAAAAGACTTTTCTACAATCATGACATGAGTACAAAAACGAAACTTGCAGTGTACCGAGCAATTATTATCCCCACCATGTTATATGGGAGCGAAACCTGGGTGCCGTACGGCCGATACATGAACGCATTAAACAAGTTGCAACAGAGACACCTTAGACAACTCTTAAGAATCCGGTGGTTCCATCATGTCTCAAACGTATCGGTTCTTGAAAAAGCTAATTGCGAGAGTATTGGAGTCATGGTTACAAAATCGCGCTTAAGATGGGTTGGTCACGTATGCAGAATGCAAGAAAACCGCATACCAAAATCTCTGCTTTACGGTGAGCTTGTAGACGGTAAGAGGAGGCCGGGTGGACAACTCAAAGGACATTTTCCACGAAAACTTAAAGGGGATTAACATGCAGAATCATTAGGTTGAAGCAGTTCACAATAGAACTCAATGGAGAAGAGTAAACTCAGTTAACAGCGACAACCAAAAAGTAAAGAGGCAATAGAGCAATGAGATTTTTGAAGGTCCGGAGTGCGGTAGGCAAATAACATCACGTATTGGGCTTTTCAGTCACAGAAAAGCTCATGAAAGAAAACGCCTTGCGTGACCATCTTTTGATGCGTGTCGAATACTCGTCAGCGAGTAATGGCGATATACGTATCAGGGGTATCAAAAATTGCTGGTATTTTAAGTATCTATTTTATATAAAAACTTCGTTATTTCAAATGCAACACTATGTATTTTTTAAACAAGTCAAAGCAGATTTATATGCTCTTTTAACTATATTAGGGTTTCCTATACCTATCTGGTTCAGATTTTGAATAAAAAGTGATTTTTCAATAAAATTGTAATCAAGATGGCTGGTGTCGCCATGGCAATTTTCTAGTGATACTTAGTAGCTATTTTCAAAATCGACATTAATTTATGCACTTTATTTAAATTTATAACAGGTTATTTTTATTTAATTCAACGATTTGAGTTCCTTCTGAAAGTTTGTTTTTGTAGTATATTTAGTGGATAAATAGATATTATGACTAATAAATATGTTAAGGTATGTGAAACTGCCCGCAATAGGAAAATAGTCTTATCCATGGCTGGGAAACTTAAATGGAAACAACAGTTCATTAAAAAAGCTTGTCCTTCAATTCACACAAAACTGTCAATATCAACAATGAAAATGCCAATATATGTCAATAATTTGATTTTTAACTGAGACGCTTTTGTTGTGATTTTAAGGTTTGATTTTGTTTTGATTTTTCGAATTATTGTACAATGAAATCCAACTTCCAGATTCCAAACTTCGGATTTTTTTGGCAGTATTCTGTTTTAGAAAATGTTTTGCAAAAATGGTAGGACAATTTCTTTTGTTAAAATGACATCTACACAAAAGAAAGACAGAACGATTGGTCATTCAATGTCAAAGACAAAGATAAGCAGATAGTCGAATGTGGCTGGCGTGCCTTCAAAAAAAAATGAGCGAATTTACTTATCCACGAAGTTTATAAGATCTAAGGTCAAATAGAAGTTTTAAGGTGTGTCTGAGATCAGTTCATATTGTTTAGAAAATTTTAAGTACGTTCCTATACCGGGTGCGCCTCAAAAGTGTCTCACCTCTATAACTTTTTTTATTTTTTCAGATAAAAAAAACCAAATTTGGTATGTTAGTATATAACATAAATTAGGATTTATTGACGTATTCAGTTGTTTTTGGTCATTCCCTGTTTCACCGGAAATGACTATAACTTTTGATTTTTAAATGAAACCTTCGGTATTTTTGCTTTTTTCGATAGAAAATGACACTCTGAATAGAATGATACATCATATGTCAAGTTTTTACATTTTCACTTCAAAAAAGTCGAATTTTAAATTTCAATCTAGAGTGTCATGAGTGTGCTAAAAATACTAACTTTTAATCAAGCTTTGGAAAAATAGATTTCATCGTCTAATAATGTTTTTCGTGTCTTGTCCTGCTCCGTTAAAAGATGCCTAAATCGTATTTTTAATCATATCTCAATTTTTTTAGTTAATTAGCTTAATCATGTCTCAAATTGGCATATTTGAAAAAAGCATTTTTTTACCAATAATTTGGTACCACACACTTGGTATTTTGAGTCAAATTGTCGTTATGAACCGCATGTTACCATTTCAAATAAGCCATTTGTGAAATGTGAAAGTTGACATATGATATGTCATTCTATTCAGAGTGTCATTTTCTATCGAATAAAGTAAGAAAATACCGAAGGTGCTATTTAAAAATCAAAAGTTGTAGTCATTTCCGGTGAAACAGAAAGTGACCAAAAACAATTGAATATGCCAATCAATCCTAATTTATGTCATACACCAAATTTCGTTTTATCTGAAAAAATAAAAATTTATAGGGATGTTACAGAGTTACAGAGTCGAGTGTGTTACAGAGTTGCTTGGGACTGACGATAAGTTTACATATAAAATGTCATCCATCGCCATTTCTAAAGAAATTTGACGCCATTTGTTCGATTATAGAGATATTATTCTAAAACAAGTTTCTTACCATTTCCATAAAACTAGGATGGCAGTTCTTTTTCACTACCTTAGTTTTTCTTTTTGTGCTCTTTTGATTGTCCGGTTGTAGATATACTTTCACATACGTTGAAGGCTCCTGTCCGTTAGGCAACCTGGGTAAACCTCTAGCGTGATGCACCATTATTGTAAAAACTCCTTTGGTGTAATGAAGAGACAATTTCAGTTGTCCTTTTAATTTGCCACTTTCTTCTGATGGATTTCTTTTTTCTAAAACATTAAATTCAAACAGTTCGTTAAATTTCAGCAGTTGAAATGAAATAAGCTCAAATCTTAATTATATTTACCTGCAGTGTGTTGGGGATCATCTTCTTGTTGGTCTCTTAAAAGCGGATGGAAAAAGGTGTAAACTAAATCCGAATGCGTTATTTCTTGAGCGCATTTAAATAACGATTGTATAAATAACGAAATTTCAGTTAATCTTCTTTGAGCTACTTGTTTGATATTTTGTCTACCCATATGCAATCCAATTGATAAACTGAAAAAAAATTAAATAAATTAAACTTGGCAAATGCATTTTTAATAATTATTTAAAAATCTATTAAATAAGATAGCCAATACAAAACTTTTCCGACAGAATTCAAAACGTTTTTTCGAGCTTCGCAAAAACTGTTTTATCAATTTTTCTATTTGAACTTAAGCATTAATGGGTTTCGAACTGATAGACAGTAGGTTTCAAAAGAGTTTTTAAAAAATACAGGGAGACAGGATATCCCCAAAGCTGTTTACAGCATCACTAGAAGAAATCTTCCGTCAACTAGACGGATTATCAACAAAAAATTAAAAATAGATGGAAAATATCTTAACCATTTAAGATTCGCTGATAATATAGTCCTAATAGCCAATAGTCCTGAAGAACTACAAACACAAATTAACAAACTAAATACAGCCAGCAATAAAGTAGGTTTCAAAATGAATTTAGCAAAAACTAAAGTAATGTACAACGAACTAGTAGACAGAAAAGACATTCTAATAAATAACAAAAATCTGGAAATAGTAGAAGAATGCATATATTTGGGACAACTAATACACACTTCGAGATCTCTACTACCACAAATCAACCGAAGAATTAAGTTAGCACGGAATATAATGGAGGAAACTCAATCATATTCAAATTTAGAATGCTACTTTAAATAAAGAAGAAAACATTCGACCAATGTGTGCTACTAGCCATTACCCATGCATGCGAAACCTGGACACTTAAAACGGACATTATAACGAAATTGCTGGTCGCACAACGCACAATGGAAGGAAATATGCTGGGAATAATCAACAAAAATGATAAAGATGCCATCCACAGAATCAAATCCCTCAAGTGGCAATGGACAGGACACCTGGCAAGAAGGACGGACAACAGATGAACCACAAAAGTGACAGCATAGGATCCACGAGGAATTAAGAGACTTAGAGGAAGACCAAACCCTGAGATGGTACCATGAATGCGAAACCATTTTTTTGTGACAATCGGAAAGAGGATTTTTTATATTTTTTTTTCTATATGTTAAGGTTTTTTTAGCAACTACAAAAACATGTGTATGTACGAAGTCGAAGTATGGCAAATGTAACTTCATCAAAACTTTTTTATCATAATTGGAAGGAATAGATTTTCTTAAACATTTTTTATACAAAACTACAAACTTGTACGCTTCTTTCAGGATTATTTTAATTGTGAACCCTATCTTCTTTACTCATTATTTTCATGAATGAGCATTAATCCATAAAACTCTTTAAAATAACTACATATTATTTCGTAATTTTTGGGTTGAATTCGAATTTTTTATAATTCACCTGTAATAAAAACTGTTACCGAGGAATTTTTTAAAATGGTGTAATTTTTAATGTAGATAAAAAATAGTATTGTTGTTTGGGTGTTTAGTGATTAAAATGATTAATTTACCAGGTTGCACTAAGTTGTAAATCGATCTATGGTTTGAATGCATTTATGTAAAATGTATATAATTACAATACATTTTACATAAATGCATTCAAACCAGGGTTGGCTTGATTTAAATCAAATGATTTAAATCATGATTTAAATCGTGATTTAAATCAAGTGATTTTTTTTATTTTAATCATGTGATTTAAATAAAAAAAAAATTATTGAAACTTTATAATAAATAAAAAAATAACTGTAAAAGTTATAAAAATGTGTCTTTGAAAAGTATAAAAAATATTTCTATAACAGATATAACAGATAATAAATCGAAAAATAATTGTAAATGTGATAAAACTATATAAAAATATCTGTTCATCAATTTAAATGTTGGACCAATTTTTGAAGTAATTTCGTGTGAATCCATTAGATCGCTAAACTAAAATTTTAAAATTTATGTATAAGTGACAAAAAGTCGCTGTTCGAATACATATCATTCGCAGTGTAGTGCAGAATAAGGTTCTTCTGATATAGAGACTATATCTTCATTCCCGAGTAATTATAATCGTTGTCAGAAAATACAGTAGAACTCGGTTATAACGATCCCGGGTTATAACGAACGCTTGGTTTTAACGAACCATTGATAAAGTACCAATTATCTTTCGATATAAACACGTGCTTTTTATGGCTGGATATAACGAACACATTTATAACGAACGATCGGTTTAAACGAACTCTTTTATCGGGAAAAATCGCATTCGGATCGGTTATAGCGAATAAATATGCATATGTTTTACTGTCCTGACCAATCACGTAGCAGTAATATCACGCCACCCACGGCAATAATAAATCGTAGTCAATTTTAGTGATTAAACGAATTTCGGACGCCTAAGTCGTTGGTGTTTGGTAGTACAGATTTTGTATCAATCGATGAAAATGTAGTAACCACTGAACTTCCAAGCGATGTTGAACTAATGACGCCAGAGGTTGACACCATTGATCTCGCCATTGATTCAGAAAATGAAGATGGAGAAGATGAACCAAGTGAAGAAGTACCAACCGTTTCAAAAACTCCTCATTCAATGACTGCAGTCTCATAGTTCTTGCACTATTTTGGTGCCGATTCTAGTGTAGTCAGTGCATATGATAAATTGTATTCTTACATAGAAAAACAAGCTTTTACGAAAAATAAAGTTCAAAACAAAATGACCGACTACTTTTTACCAAAAAGTAATTAGGTAATGTTTAAAGTTTCGCAGGTTCTTTTGTACATTAGAATACATCTGATATATATCTTCTCATCTGTATTTTCCTACATACCTTAATTTGCATTTATGCGTTTATATTTCTCATTATGTGCGCCAGTTTGTTTTCCGCATTATGAATACCTACATAACTTCATACAGTTTGTATGTTCCTGCATTTTTTTTTAATATATGTACTTATGTAGCACATATGTATACATTTTTGAAATACAGTTTTTTTATGATGTTTAATACGTATGTAGTTTTTTATTTAAAAAAAAATACAAATTAACAAAAAACTGGATATAACGATCACTCGGCAATAGCAAACAAATGTTTTGGTCCCTTCAAGTTCGTTATAACCGAGTTCTACTGTATGTTGTTTTATATATTTTTTTTTCAAACGGTGTATTTTTTTTTGAAAATGTTTCCAAATTCCTACCGACATTTTGATGTAAGTTCCTTACACTTTGACATTAGATAATATCTTATTAATTTCATTCTCGAATTAAGACTATTTCCGAACAATAGTGTATTGTTTTAGTAGGAGTAAAAATTATACCTTTTTTGACGAATTGAAGGACCATCGTAAAGTTATTCCGACGTTACAGGACAGGAAGGCACAAAAAGTACCTTTTTACTCCGAAAAGGACATACTCTTTTCTTAAGACATTACAAATAATTTTTTAATCAATTTGAAACATTGCTAATAATAGAAACAGTAATCGAGCAACAATTTGTACCCTCGTTGAATTTGACACTTAATAGTTTTTTTGTTTGATAATATATTTTTGTACTTTTGTGCTTATGCGTAACAGTGCTTTACTTTTATGCATAGGCATTAAAATTACAAAAATTAATACTCTTGAGACGTTTGAAAAAAAAATCCTTTTGATCTGAAGCGAGCGAATTTTTATGCGGAATATATTGGTGACCGATGTGGAAAAATGACACGCGCCGTAAAATTGTTAATGATATCGGTATCGGGCAGAATTATAAAGATTTAGCCATTTAGGATAGGACTTTAATTGGAAAATAAGTCCTAATCATCTGGAAATCCGATTTAAATATTGTTTTGAATTAAAATCAACAAAATCTAAATTAAATAAAAAAAATCTGATTTTTTTGATTTTTTAAAAAAAATCATGATTTTTTCCAACCCTGATTCAAACCATAGACCGGTTTACAACTTAGTGCAACCTGGTAATAACGCAATCATATTCAAATCTTGAATGCCACTTTATCTAAACAAGAAAACATTCGACCAATGTGTACTACCAGTCACGACATATGCGCGAAACCTGGACACCTAAAACGGACATTATTACAAGGAAATTGCAGGTCGCACAACGCTCAATGGAACGAAATATGCTGGGAATAATCAACAAAAACGGTAAAAGATGCCATCCACAGAATCAAATCCCTCAAATGGCAATGGACAGGACACCTGGCAAGAAGGACGGACAACAGATGAACCACAAAAATTACAGCATAGGATCCACGAGGAATTAAGAGACTTAGAGGAAGACCAAACCCTGAGATAGTACCATAGATTTAGGAAGAACAGATATCACATTTTGCATTTTAACCCGATCAAACAATCGGAGGTTGACTACGTACTGTAAAAACCAACTGAGATAGAGAAGGCGATATTGCCACATCTCAAATTTGCGCCTATCTACATAGTTTGATTTGCAGAAAAGGTGACTTTAAAACCTTCACCGGATATCAATAAATCTCAATTTCTTAATTAAATTAATAGTTTATCTTTAAAGAAGCATGCGTAATAATATGTTATTAACCAGAGGATATATGCGTTACTGTTAAAGGACATGTTTACTGTTTAATGTGCTGAAACGTCTAGAACCATTGGCAACGTCGCTGCTAGTCTTCCAGAATGAAATGAGCCGTCCGTCCCACCACCCCTCGCGACGGCCCTTGGTCCGTTATAGCGTACTACGTTTAACTTACGGTGTGTTTGAAATCGGAATCAAGTCCGAAGTGAACTTTTCAGTGTTTTTCAGTAGTTTTTGCTTTTGTTTAACGTACTTTTGAATCTGCGAATTTTCAATATGGTACGACAGTGTCAAATGTGTGGAAAAATAAGCTCAAATTACCCGAATTTGTCTTTTCACAGGTAGGTATTGTTTCCGCCGCGCCGTAATCGCCGCACATAGGCGTCCCACAAGGGAGCCTCTCACAATTAAAATAATTTCTAATTATATTTGTTGAATTTTGAGCTATTAAAACAAGTAGCCGGTAATTGAATTATAATTCGTCTCAATTACTACTTAACTGTTGTAAATCATAACAAATTTGAATATAAACGTTGCATTTGAAACTTTATTATAAGCCAGAAAGTGACATTTTTTTTCTTAAAATTGCGTCATATTTTGGTCATCATATACGATATTCTAAAGGAATTTTGCTCAACAAATAAACAAAGGTGTTTACCAGCCCTTTTTTACATTTTATTGCATTATTATATCTGCCCCTTCGGCCTCGTTTAATAAACAATTTTTTACCACCGTACAAATACGTCTTCCTAGAGTTATTTGTACGGTGTGTTTACCTTTTTTTTAGAATGGGACGAACTGTAAATAATTCTTAGGCTACTAGTTTTATACATACCTATATACAGAGTGACCCAGGCCTCCAAAAAAGCTTTTTACCTATTACGTTTTTGGTTTGTAATTTTTATTTCAATTTTTTACATAAGATGGGGGCCATTGTAACGCACATTTTCAAAATATTTTTGTCAACATACAGGGTGATTCAAACCGCTATACATATGCTTAATACAGTTCATGAAGATTGGGACATTTAACTAAAATTTGATTGTCTGATGAAGCTACCTTTAAAAGTAATGGATTTGTAAATAAACGCAATATTCATTATTATGCGACAGAAATCCCATATTGTAGCACACAGATTTGATACTTTTAATGATAAATGCCTTCTATTGAGAGACTAAAAGGTAATTGCCTCGTATCAGAGCCATCATAATACAAGAAGAAGACCGAAAGTCAAATCTTGTCTTATATTTTCAAAAAAACACAATTTTCTTATTAAATATTGATTTTAGGTATAGGAAGTTATTAATAATACAAGATTAAACAACTATTACACAGTACTTTACAGGAAGCTATCGATTGCGAACTAACTAAATCGTTACTAATTACTAATTTTAAAAAGTTCTTTTTAAGATCAAAAAGGTAAAACTAAAAACCTAAATTATCATTTGAGATTAAACGGAAGTTCTAAATAATGTTGCCTATTCTAAACAAGAAAAATTTATTTATAAGTTTTATAACATCTCTAATTAAATTTGGACGAAAATAATATTTCTGTTTGCTGTAGGTAATTTTCTCAGGGAAAATAATGTAATAAAAATGACTTTTAAGTCAAAAAAGTCAAAAGGACAAGTTATTCCAAAAAAGGACTGTCCTTTTCAAAAAAGGACAGGTGGCAACCCTAGGTATTTCTGGAATGGAAATTTAATGGCAAATCTACAACTTTAGTTTGAAAATATGTTCCGGCCAGCTATGTTTACAAAACTGTCTAAAATGTGCTTTACCATTGCCTCCATATTCTGAAAAAAAATTGAAAGAAAAGTCACCAACCACAAACCTAATATAGAACTGTTTCGGAAGCCTGAGTCACTCTGTAAATATTCAAAAGTAACTGAAAGTTTATATAGAATTAACTGAAAGTTTAAATTGAAAGTCGACGTTGGAGCGATTTTCGAAAACTACCTACTAACGTTTCAACATAAGTATATGTGGGATATTAATTATATTATTATATTAGACCTTATAACAAAACTCATCTGACGAAAAAGTATTAATGTAGTATATTAATATGGAGTAAACACTTTACTAATTACTTTACTTTTACTTTACTAATTAAATTCGTTCCAAAAAACGATACGCTACTGGCCATTAGAACAATCCAAATGCGCCTAGTTGCCGGGGTCGGAAATTTTAGACTTCTCTGTCTCTTCTGTCCTTGTTTGACACATTGGAATGTTTGATAAACTACCAACGAGTATTTATGAATGAGATGTTCGGTCTATATTTATAATGTCTTTGGATAGTACCATGATCTTAGGAAATTAGCAGAGATAACTTGGGTCCGCATAGCCAACAATAGGCAACAATGGGCTCAACTACAAAAAGAGTATCTAAGGGGGAGGCTAAACCATAATTGGAAATGGTTGAATAAGCTAATGAATGATGATATAATATATATAAAACGCTGTAATTTCACAGTCAATTTGATTCTTTTTGACAATATTTTTGATAAAATATAACAAAAAAATTATTTTTTTATTTTAAAAAAGTCGGTGGTGCACAGGCCAAAATAAAAAAAATCGCAATTTCAATTTTTTTGATAATACAAAAATATTTCTGGTGGACATTAGGTTATGCATACATTTTGTGATTACGGATCAAAAAAAATATTAATATTTTTGTGCTTTTAAAATTCTGAATTAAAATAAAACCATATTACATATTCGCTTATTTTTATTATTTTCTTACAATCCAAATATGAAAATCTATATTTAGTTGTACATAACGTGAGTTGTTTGTACCTTGAATGCTTAGTTGCCTTATCAGGACGTATTTAGATAGTTACGCACAGCTAAACGAATCCGTATTCTATCTAACATGTATTTTTTTAAATCTCAATAACCATTATAATAAAATATCGCGAAAAATAATTACCTTTTAATGAACAATTGAAATTTGAAAAATTATTTTTAACCTATGATATGGTAGCGCGATAATGTTATTTGTACTATTTGTAAGAGTTTAGATAATTCTGTAGGTAGGTCTTACCTATCATTAAAACAAAAAAAATCGTTTAAAAAGATAAGGCAAGATAACATATAGAATACTATCAGAACCACTGATAACTTTTTTCTTATACATACACCGCAGTTTGATATCCCGAATGCATTGATTTGCTACTTTAACGTCAGATTTTCGTTATGGGGCTTTTCGGAGGTTTTAGAGCAAAGTTTACAAGGGAATCCACGGCCAAACCATCCAAAAATACACAAGATACCGGAGTTGTTTGTGTGGGATATAGAATTCGATCGGAGTTTGACGATTTGCCTTCAAGTAAGAATATTAAATTACACTCACAGGCACAGAAAAGAGGCATCTTAAAATTTTGGTGTATTTTAAAGTTCAATATATTTTGTTCTAGTTGGCCGATTTTGATGATTTTTTAAGCAATATATAGCTAAATTATTTGACTCTTTAGTCTCTCTTTCTAAAATAAAAATAAAGTTTCCATCCGTGAATTATATGAAGGAAAACAAAATGTTGATACTTTGGTGAAAATTTAAAACACCCTGTGGAATATGTTAAGACAGCAAGGGATTTAAAAATCATCTAGGTACATCCTTTTTCGATAGTTTTTTTTTTGGTTCATCTCTGATAAACTGATTTTCAAATTCCTTTCTTTTTTAACATATTTCAAACTTCCACTAAAATATCAACACTTTGTGTTCCCTCGTATAATTGACAGATAGAAACTTTTATTTTTAATTTAGAAAGAGATACTAAAAAGTCAAATAATTTATCTGCAAATTGTTTAAAAAGATCATCGAAATCGGTCAACTAGAACACAATACAAGGTGTATTCCGGAAACTTCGGCAGCAAATAATACTGCAGATAAAAATAAGTAATCATAATCCAATCGTTTGAAAAGTTCATATAAATATACGTCCTAGAATGATCAGTTTCCGATATACAGGGTGTAAAAGTTTCATTTTTATTTCGATTTTTTTCAAATAATTTCTGAAGTAACGTCAATATTTGGATGAAAATTGGTGTCTGGGAGTTTTTTGACATAAGAAATTTGATTTTGATATCAATATCACTCCTACTTGTAGAGGGCGTTACCTACTTATTTTTTAACTGGTTTGAAGAGTAATAACTTTCCGTCCGTACCTGTATAAAAGTACTGATTAAAAAATATATTATATTAACGACGTTTTTTACGTAAAAAGGTCTTTTGGTAAAAATCGCTACAAGTAATGGTTCTCGAGATATCTGGAATCGAAAATATCAATACCTGTCATCATCGACAAAGATTAAACATGTTGACTACATAGTTAATAGACTGAAATCCTAAATTTGAAATTATTTTGTGTCAAAAATTCAACAGAAACTGTTTATCATATTTATTTCGAAGAAAAATTTATGATTAATTTAAAAAAGTTTCCAAAATCATTTCTGTCAAATAACTATCTACTCAACATGATTATTTTTGTCAATAATGACCATGAATTGATTATGTCAATTCTAAATATCTTGAGAACGGTTGCACGTAGCGATTTTTACCAAGAAACATACATTTTTCACGTAAAAAATCACGGAATTATATTAATATATAATATATTTTTTCACTCAGTAGTTTTATACAGGTACGGACGAAAAGTTATTACTCTTCAAAACAGTTAAAAGACATACATACATGCAAGTGGCGCTCCCTACAAATAGGAGTTATATTGACATCAAAATCAAATCTCTCATGTCAAAAAACGCCCAGACACCAATTTTCATCCAAATATTGACGTTACTTCAGAAATTATTTGGAAAAAATCGAAATAAAACTGAAACTTCTACATCCTGTATCTCCGAAACTTAGCATTTTAGGACATAGATTTATACTAACTTTTTTACTTATTTTTATCTGCAGTATATGCTGCCGAAGTTTCCGGAATACAGTTCGGACTACCGTGTATATAACTTTAAAATACATTAAAACTTTAAGGTGCTTGTTTTTTGTGCCGGTGACTGTAGGTACAAAATTAATCATAGAATTGATAATATTTTTAATTAGATGCAACAGCTACTGTAAGAGTACCTGCCCTCAGGCTTCAAAACTACAATGAGGAACCACCGAGTGAAGACATCCCTTCAAAATCATGTCCTGATTCGAAAAAAGAAAAATCCCCGAAGAAAAAACTTCCGCCACTTCCAGACAAATTTTATGCTAATCTAAATGACAAATCAAGCAATAAAGTGAAGTCTAGTGCTACTTCTAATATAGTAAACAAACCAGTTTCGACTGAAGATATACCTTCGAAATCATCTCCCAATTTGCGAAAAGAAAAATCTCCAAAGAAAAATCCTCCACCACTTCCAGCCACGTTTCATGTTAATCAAAATGACAAATCAAGTAATAAAGTGAATACTAGTGCTACTTCTAATACAGAAGCCGAACAAGCTTTAACTCAAGCAGAATCAAAAACAAGTGAAGAATCAGAATCATCTTATGTGAGAGGAAAAACAAGTAGTTTCAACCCTAACCCAAAAAAACAAACCAAATCAATTCTCAAAGCTACAAATTCTCCTTCCAAAGAGATTCGAAGACCGGTAAGCGATGGTAGCGTTACAGTAGCAACATTAAAGGAATCGAGAAGCGTCAACAGTTCTTATGCTTCGCTATCTTATACGAACCACCAAAACACCAGTACAACTTCAGGGTCACTGACTACATCACGGTTTGTATCAGAAGATCAGAGGGAGGAAGTAGCTACACTGATTCATACAGAAGTAACAGAAAGAAAAATTGTTAATAATAATTCTAATTATAGTTCTACTCCTAACTTATCATATGGAAGTAGATTGAATAATACGAGTAGTCATGCGGCTAGTATATTTTTCGATGGAGATGATGAACCAGAAATAGAACAGAGACCTAGAAAATTGGATTACGAGACAGATGATGACCGCAGAGTAAGTGCTGATTGTTAGATTATTATGTCTATCCAATACTCTAAGTCATAATGAAGAAAAGAAATAAAGTGTATGGTGACTTGATTGTTTGTTAGTTCATGGACTTGAAATACTGTTTTTAGAACTCGTATGTTTTGCAAGAGATAGTTTCGAAGAAATTAAAGTTTGATTGCCAGAGATCTATTTTTCACATACAAAGTGGACAATTGTGCGGCTTATTAGTTAAGTTTTTTTTAATCCCAGTGATTAATCCCAAAGAAACAGACTACTCAGTGGATGTGCTTTTAGTAGAAGCCTTAGTTGAGGATATGTAATGTTTAATACACTTAAAATTGTTATTTACAGTTTTCACAAAGAATAATATGATATAATTTAATCTACATAACTGTAATAGTATGCTTTTGACAAGACTGATATTTATAATAAAATAAAATATAATTTTATTGAAATAAATATCTACTTTTTTCCCGACTCGACTGATGAAAATCATATACAGTGTGACAAAATTTTAGTAGCATGCCCTCAGCAGTCGAGTTAACTATCAGTCCTTAGGACCTATTTTTATATATTTGGCAAATATTTTTCCCCTCCAAATACTCATACCCAATAGAAATCGTTTCTTACTAACACTTTAATTAATCAGATACTAATTAAAACATACTTATATTTGTGGAGTTAAAATTTTTTTATCATAATTGGAAGGAATAGATTTTCTTAAACATTTTTTATACAAAACTACAAACTTGTACGCTTCTTTCAGGATTATTTTAGTTGTAAACTCCATCCTCTTTACTCATTATTTTCATGAATGAGCATTAATCCATAAAACTCTTTAAAATAACTACATATTATTTCGTAATTTTTGGGTTGAATTTGAATTATTTATAATTCATCTGTGATAAAAACTTTATCACAGGAATATTTCAAAATGGTGCAATTTTTAATGTAGATAAAAAATAGTATTGTTGTTTAGGTGTTTAGTCATTAAAATGTTTATTTTACCAGGTTGCACTAAGTTGTAAATTGATATATGGTTTGGTTTGGTTAGGTTATGTAAAATGTATTGTAATTATATACATTTTACATAAATGCATTCAAACCATAGACTGATTTACAACTTAGTGCAATCTGGTAAATTAAATATTTTAATGACTAAACACCCAAACAACAATACTATTTTTTATCTGTATTAAAAATTACACCATTTTGAAAAATTCCTCGGAATTCTACTTACTAATTCTACTACTATACGTTAATCTTGAATAATCCATTTTGAACTAATCTGGTTAAATACTTTGAAAATTAGACAATACCTAAGCTTAACAATTTTACAGTTTATATATACCGGGTGCGTCTCAGAAGTGGCTCACCCCTATAACTTTTTTATTTTTTCAAAAAACGAAATTTGGTATGTTAGTATATGACATAAATTAGGATTGATTGCCGTATTTAATTGTTTTCTGCCACTTCCTGTTTCACCGGAAATGACTACAACTTTTGATTTCGGACCCTCGATATTTTTTTACTTTATTTGATAGAAAATGACACTCTGAATCGAATGACATATAATATGTCAACTTTTGACATATTCGAATAAATTTCAATCTAGAGTGCCATGGCTGTGTTAAAAACACTAATTTTTAATCAAGGAGCCTCGGAAAATAGATTTGATCGTCTAATGTTTTTAGTGTCTTGTCCTGGCCGGTTAAAATATGCCCAAATCGTATTTTTAATCATATCTAAATTTTTTCAAATGGAACGGGGGTGGCTCATTAGCATATTTGGAATGATCCTCTGTTACTTTTTTACGAATAGTTTGCTACTACACACTTGTTTCGAGTCAAATTGTCGTTATGAACCGCATGTTACAATTTCAAATAAACCATATGCGAAAATATCAAAAGTTGACAAATGATATGTCATTCTTATTCAGAGTGGCACTATCGAATAAAGTAAAAAAATACCAAGGGTGCCATTTAAAAATATTAACTAACCTAAAACTTGAAGTCATTTCCGGTGAAGCCGGAAGTGACAGAAAACAATTGAATATGTCAATCAATCCTAATATATATCACATACTAACATACCAAATCTCGTTGTTTTATCTGAAAAAATAATAAAATTATCGGGGTGAGCCACATTTGAGGGGCACTCGGTATAGGGTGACGACACTATCAATGTTCATTGATATCTCAGAAAATACGAGAGTCGATTTAATCGAATGAAAAAATCGTTCGCCAATGTGTACAGTGTGTCCCATTTTCATGTGTTTTATGAAGTACGTAGAATTCAGTGGCGTAACTAGTTTTTCACTGTATGTTGTCTCATACTTGAAATCTAACCCAAATTTGATTTTTTTAAATGGAATACCCTGGATATATATCTTATTTCATTTCCCTTATCATGAGCTTTCTAAAAATCATATACTCTAATATACTCTATATTTATTTTCATAAACAAGGTAAAAAAATGTATGTCTTTATTTAACTTGTTAATATAGGCGGTCGGTACAAATTAAGTAAGAAACGTCAAAAGTTGATGTCGTCCGATCGCGACCAAATTTGGTGGGTAGGCTATGGAGCAACGGTGTACACGGTTCCACCCTGCAAAGTTGGACACGACGTTTAGTTTACATCTTGATCAGGGTGGGACTAAGGATTTGATATTGAAAAAGAATGTGGGTCGATTTCGGCATAATTGGGGACGGGCTACAGGATGATGCCCGCGACGTTTCGAATTGATGCCTCTAAATAAACAAAATTATCAAGATTTTTCTTAATTATGGATCGACTGGAACCAAACTAGGCGCCCGAATAGAATCTTCAGATACAAATTTTGTGAAAGTGAATCAAATTATTTATTAATTTTTAATTTATTACTTTTTCAACATTTCAAACTACACTTTTTCAAATATGTCCTTCAAATTCTTCAATTTAATAGCTGTTAGTAAGAAGTTTCACTTCAAATATGCGCGCACAGTGTACACACAATTTCTTTATAGTTAAATTATGGTTGGTGCTAACCATTTTTACAGATACGCAATAATTTATATTGTTTTGGACTAGCGCATAGTTGCTTATCAATAATTAATTTTGTCCTACACAACGGGTATTGGTTTTCCAATTTTATTTACTTGTTTATGGTTAATACCTACCTTATCACACTTATGTCAGACTATCATAATCAATAACAAGGACAATTTAAATATGTGTAACACCTAGAAATATTAGATTTCTGAAATAATACATTTGTACCACAAAAATATTTTAGGTATTCTAAACACATATACTTAGTGCATTACAAAAATAAAAAAATACAATTTTTGATATTAACACGGCTAGTAATTTTCCTGAGTGACATTTTTTTAAATAATGCAATTTAGAGAAATTGCATTAAGGATTATAGTTTAAAGATATAACGGGAATTATGAATCACCGATATCTGATTGACATGACATATTAAAGTAGTACTGTAATGCTATATCTGCTTTGAGTATTCATTTTGATCGCATCAAGGTGGGTATACAAATTTAGTATAGCGATCACATCAATACCAGTTATTAAGTGAAATAAATTGTACCTAAGTAAATACATAAAAATAATATGGATATATTACCGCATCTTTAATCAGCGACTTTTAAAAATATAATATTTTTGAGTAGTTTTTACAGAATAGTTACAAAATTGTGTAGATATATTTAATGATTATTACCGTAGAATACTAATTTCACAATTAGCTTTACGTATTTACAAATTAAATTTAAAAGGGGTTTTGAGAGATAAAAGGTGAATTATAAAGTAAACAAGCATAAATTAACGAAATAAATACAGTTAGCAATCAAGTAGGTCTCAAAATGAATTTAAAAAAAAAACTAGTTGTTGGATTAAAAAATGTACAACTAGTAGACAGAAAATACATTCTCTAATAATAACACTGGAAATAGAAGAATACTCATATATTTGGGACAACTAATACACAGCTCGGGATCTCTAAATCTCTACTACCAGAAATCAACAGAAGAATTAAATTAGCATGGAGTACATGAAGAAACGAAATCATATTTAAATCTTGAATGCCACTTTATCTAAACAAGAAAACAATCGACCAATGTGTAGTACCAATTATGACATATGCATGCTAAACCTGGACACTTAAAACGGAACAAAAGGACAATGGAACGAAATGTACTGGGAATAATTAAGAAAGACCGTATAAGAATAGAGTGCATACGATAACAGACCCACATAAATGTAATGTCATCCACAGAATCAAATCCCTCAAGTGGCAATGGGCAGGACACATGGCAAGAAGCAAGGAACAGAGGATCATAAAAATTACAGCACGGTACTCACGAGGCATTAAGAGACCTAGAAGAAGACCAAATCTGAGATGGAACCATGGTATTAGGAAATTAGCGGGGATAACTTCGGTCCGCATAACCAACAATAGATAATAATGAGCCTAACTACAAAGGAATTATCTAAATATATGATGGAGTCTACACCATAATTGGAAATGGTTGAATAAGGTGAAAATAATGGTGATGATATAAGAAAAAATTACAACCTTAAAAAAAATTTTTAGAAATATTTTTAAATAATTATACTGAATACAGCTTTCTATAAATTATATTGTTATTGTAATACATTAAAAAAAAAATTTTCAAAGAATTAATAATTATAAAAACTAAACGTTCTCCAACCCAGTGTGAGTACATATCAATGTAAAACCTCTGACGAGAGGCAGGGGACTCAAAAAACTCACAATCTTTTATGATGTTTATTTCAAAATTTAATTTGATTTAAAAATGGGGCGACATGTTTCGGGATTCATTTAATTTCCATATTCAAGCCCATAAAGACACAAGTCACATCAGGAAGCAATACTACTCGGAAGAAATAAAAAAATTGGCTTGTTAAAATTCAATAAATAATTGTTCTCATTGTAATTGAAATTGGATTTTTGCAATTACACTGAGAACAATTGTTTAATGAATTTTAACAAGCCAATTTTTTTATTTCTTCCGGGTGGGGCTTCCTGATGTGACTTGTCTTTCTGGGCCTGAAGATGGGCATTAAATGAATCCCGAAACATGTCGCACCTTTTTTAAATCAAATTAAATTTTGAAATAAACATCATAAAATATTGTGAGTCCCCTGTCCCTCGTCAAAGGTTTTACAATTATAAAAAGTTAATTATCTGGTTTACTTTTCAAAAATGACATACGGTCGTAAAATTGGACATTTATATCTGATATTTTCCGGAGTTTAGTTATCTCAATACATTTTTTACATATTTAAAAACCTTTTTATTTTATCATGATAGTTATCACATGACGTATGTAAAAATTATTTCTTATCCAATAATATAACTCCAATTTTAGGAAACTTTCTTACTGTCACTGTATATAAATATAAGTTTTTATATTAAAAATAAGCACGTATCATAACAGTGTGATTTAAAAGAAAAAAAAAATATCATGATATAGATTTGATTACAAAAATTCATTCATTTGCTATGTCAAACTACACATACTAGATTAAAACAGAATTAAATTTCTAATCCTAGTTGAGATCAGCTATCTTATCGTTAATACCTTGCAAGTAAAAAAATACGCACTTCAAACTTTTCAGGATTAAAAACAGATATTTCATAATTGTTTAGTGTCGTAACATAAATTAGGAAAAATATTCTGAAATATGAAAGTTGAGTATCTACTGATTTAATTTTACACTGTATATTCAAGATAGTTAGAATAATATGTTTGCCTATTATTCTATCTTGAACACTTTTACAAGTTCCTCACAAATTTTTAAATAAAAGTTTTGTATCTTTAGTTTTTTTATCCTGACGAAGAAAAAACGTTACATAGTGAAAGGTTAAACAGTGTATGTGTACTAAACAATTTATATATTAACAATCTATAAATATATTTAAACAACAACTATGTTTTAAAAAGTAAAATGTTAAATATGTAACAAAATTAGAATATCTCTCATTTGATCATATTAATTGGTTTAGATAAGGCTATCAGCAATAATTAAAAATAATCATATTTACATATCAATCCAATATAGAAAGTGTAATGGTCAGTATCTATTTTTATTATATTTAAATCTTTGAATAAAAAGATTACCTATAAACATTTAGAGTAACCATATCAACATTTGTGCTCGCACGGCAACTACAGTATGATCGAAAAAAAAGTGAAGATCGCTGTTATTTTATATGTAAAATTTATATATGGGAAATGTCATCGATCGTCATTTCCCAGCAACATAAATGTAAAAGAATAATCTACTACTTCGATTACTAAGTCCACAGTATCTAAATAAATTTAGTGCACTTAAGAATAAAGTATTTTAATAGCCTTGGTACATTCTCCGCCGGTGCTGCTACCAATGGAGAATATCGTAAACAACTGATACACAGGATGTTCCAATATTCCGTGGACATAGAACTACTACGTATTTTTGAAATCAAAATAAGTTCACTATACAAAATTTACCTCTAATTAAACTTAAATTCTCCTCGTTTGTTCGCTAGAGGGCACCAAACTTTCAAAAAATAAACATATTTTTTCAGATATTTTAAGAACCGTTATTACAATTTGAATGAGATTTTAGGTGCTAAATAAACTTTTTAGATGAGTTCTACGGCAGCGAGCATAATTTTACGCACCGGTTTTGCTAGTGGAGTCATAATTGGAACTATTTCGGCTGCAACGAAAAATTTTTTAAAGGTACATAATTATAATTTTAGAAAATGTTCATAAAACATTTAATTACTAGTTGATTAAAAAGAGTATAACAACTCGCTCTCCTTTACGCGCTAATATTTTTTCAAAATTTTTATAGCATATTGTTTTATAGTTGCAATAATTGCACTAGTAAAAAATCAAATACTTAAATATTATGACAAAGCCACGATTTTAATATTATTTCAATGCGATCTACATAAACGGTAACGGGACTGCTTGAAATATTTTGTACCCGGCACTTCTAATTTCTGCCGTTCGAGGGCCGCAGTCGGAATTTTTAAAATGAACTGAAATGCACCAAACCTATAAATTGAATATATGTTGCCGTGCAATTGTCAATTCATAATTACTATATAAGTAAAGATGTCTAACAATAACTGGTCACTATTTAATGTTGAATAGATGCTTCCATAGACACTAACTGAAGTAAATGACTTGTTTTGAAATATTACCTTTATCCTAAAAAATATTTAGAAATAGAACATATTAAAAAATATCTAAAATTATTCGAAATATGATTGCTTAAGAATCAAAACAAAGCTTTTGGTGAGAATGGGAATAGTGTAAAAATACTAACAAAGCGAAAAAAATGTGTTAAATATTTGATTATATTTACTGTCCTCCATTCACGCAGTTGTGCAGCTCAGAACTGTTCAAGAACGAGATACTCTCCTTCCATTCAATTGAGTCATAAAGTTCAGAACTATTCCGCGCCGAGATCCCTTTTCCCCTCGAGCACCTTCCTATAAATTAGTACTCGGAGGCACCAGTCTGTCGCGCACAGCTCCTTTCAGAAACGTTCTCGAGTATTCCAGGGCTTAAAGCTCTGGAACTTGAAATTCGTGAATGGAAGACAGCAATTGAATAAATCGACAGTAAACATATGGCAAAATATCGAATTGAAAAACAGTTGGATCTAAAATAAAAAAAGTAAATTAAATCTTACCTGTGTAATTTCGCCAAGGGAAAATTTAAACAAAGCTTCTGATGTAACTCGCAGAATTCTTTATATGTACGCTGGATTTCCATAGGTTCAGTTTGATCCTCTCGATGTATTCTTAAAATATATACGTAATATTTATCAGGATCGTAGCGTTTTTTAAAACCCACTACTTCTACTTCGGTTAAACGTCCATCAGTAGCAATACTAAAAAAGGTTTAATTAATTTTATTAATTTTGAGATATTTTTATTATATATGTAGCAAAATAAAGATATAAAATTTAAACCATTAATTTTTCAAAAAAATATATTTCAACAAAAAATAGTGGGTAAAAATTAGACAGCCAGTCGATTTTGCTATTTCTTGACTACTCACGCTTAACCTGCTGAGCCTGTTCTCGTACACATGCAGATCATTCGAATCAGAGCACCAGTCTCAACATAGTACCATACGACCGAAAAAATAACGGCGTTAAAGGCCGCTGATGAATGACAATCGATAATAATTTTGGGAAGGTCAAGCTCTAGACGTCATTTACTTAGCCCGTACTCGTCGTTATTTTTTAATGGTGCTTACCGCGGTATTAATTTTCACTGTTCCTTTGATACATTTCTTGGTTTTTTTTTCGCTTATTATTCGCGATTTAACTTTTTAATAATACAGGTATAATTAATAATACAGGTGTACTACAAGTAATGCACAACAAACTAGTAGACAAATTAATACACAGCTCGGGATCTCTACTACCAGAAATCAACAGAACAATTAGGTAGTAATTAAGTTAGCATGGAATACTTATGGAAGAAACTCAATCATATTCAAGTCTGAAATGCCACTTTATCTAAAGAAGACAACATTCGACCAATGTCCTGTCATGACCTATGCATGCGAAACCAGAACATTGTAGCGAAAATGCAGGTCGCACAACGCTCAATGGAACGAAATATGCTGGGAATAACCAAAAAAGACCGTAAAAGAATAGAGTGGATACCAAAGTAATAGATGGCATCCACAGAATCAAATCCCTCAAGTAGCAATGGGCAGGACACCTGGCAAAAAGGACGGACAGCAGATGTACCACAAAAATTACAGCATGTTACCTGCGAGGAATTAAGAGACCTAGAAGAAAACCAAACCTGAGATGGTACCATGATATTAAGAAATTAGCAGGGATAACTTGGGCCCGCATAGCCAACAATAGAGAATAATGAGCCCAGCTACAAAGAGAGTATCTAAATATGTGAGGGAGGCTACACCATAATTGACTGGTTGAATAAACTATAACCTTCTTAAAACCCGCTGACCTTAAGAAGGTTGTAATTTATTTTTACAATGAGTAAAGATGATTTTTAAATGGTGTAGTTTAAACTTCGGGAACAAACAATTTTTTGGAAATAGATTTGTATCTGGAAACGTTCTATTCTTTTTTAATTTTTCTATAAACAGTGTTAATTTTTGAAAAGTTGTATGTCAATTTTTAGTAAATGACGTCTACAAAATAATCTTGCCAAAATTATTATCGATTGTCATTCTCCAGCTTTTTTTTATTATACGGTATTTATAAACGCAGCTTCAATGAAGCTTAAAATTGACGACTTATTACATAACATAAGATTAGGGAATTATCTAGGTAGGTACGAAAAGTTCCATTAAATGATAATAATAGGCTGTTTAATGAGTAGACTTAAAATCAAATTCTGAACAACTTTTCTCTGACATTTTCCGATATTTTGTAATCTAACCCCATTTTTTGCATATGCATAGAAGATTTTGGCCATTACAACTATCGTATGAAATAATTAAGCATAAAGTTTTTTCCATTATTTGAACAATAATTTTTTTAAAATTGAAAACAAGTCTATACATACAAAAGTGAGGTTAAATGACAAAACCTTGAAACAGGAAACTTTTTTAGAATTTAATTTTACCCTGTGATTTTACCTATACAGGGTTTCTCACCGTAGCCGTTCGTTAGAAGTTTTTGAAGTTAGGAAAAACTTAGAAGTTTAAAATTTTGGAACTTAGGGTTTTTTTAAATTTCCTTTCATTTAAAAATATTTTCAAGGTCATACCACTTCCGGTTACAACGGAAGTCGCCATTAACTTCCTTATTTTAAATGGAACACCTTGTGTATTATTTTATTTTTGGATTTCTAAGGAAATTTTATGATGAGTTTCATTAAATTTACCTATACCTATTTTCAACTGTTTCTCAGATATCTTGATTTATATGAAAATTTTTACAGTTTTACCCCTATTTTTAACAGTGGGTCTTTTACTCATTTTGAATTGGTGATAAACGCTTCTGCGGTAAATTGGAGCAGAGGACTAATACTTTCGAAGTCCATATTGACAACTAATTTATCGCATATAGGGTGTCCAAAATTTGATAACTGATTAAATTATTTTCAAACTCAAAAAAGTTCATTTTTTCAAATGAGATACCCTGTATATTTTTCGATAGTTGGATGCAGAATTCAATTTTGCATCGATTTGCTATAACTTTCCCTATACCCCTTTTCAACGGTTTTCTTGTTAATCCTTATTTTTTATTTTAATTCAATTTTTGGTAGAATCGACAATATCGTTTGTGCGTTTTTTAAAATAAAATAATTATATTAAAGTAACGAAATTGAATGTAATTAGAACATACTAATCAGAAAACAGGAACAAAACAAAAGTGAAATCATATAAAATATAACATAACATAACAAAACAAACGTATAACAGTAACGGTGAGGCATTAATTATTAACCACTAGACGTTAGTGTATCCCTACCGTAATAAAAAAAAGTAAACACAATAATTACAAAAATTATTGTTCGAAGTGACCGCTATTTTGGTTGAAACATTGAAAGCTCTGCGAGGCACTCTCAAACAGACCTCCGGATTTTGTCTGGGCATAGATTAAGTAAACACATGGTTAACACGGTTTAATAACTCGTCCCTAGTACGTACAGACGTAGAGTACACCAGCTCTTTTATACGCCCCCAGAGGTAAAAATCGAGGGGCGTTAAATCGGGTGACCGTGGCGGCCAGTTCCAGGGTCCTTGTGGACCAATCCAGCGATCTTGAAACATTAATGTCAACTGCTGGTGCATATTGTCGATTCTGCCAAAAATTTAATTAAAGTAAAAAATACGGATTAACAAGAAAACCGTTGAAAATGGGTATAGGGTAAGTTATAGCAAATCGATGAAGAATTGAATTCTGCATCCAACTATCGAAAAATATACAGGGTGTCTCATTTGAAAAAATTATTTTTTTTGAGTTTGAAAATAATCTAATCAGTTATCAAATTTTGGACACCCTGTATGCAATAAATTAGTTGCTAATATGGACTTCGAAAGTATTAGACCTCTGTTTACCGCAGAAGCGTTTATCACCGATTCAAAATGAGTAAAAGATCCACTGTTAAAAATAGGGGTAAATCTGTAAAAATTTTCAAATAAATCAAGATATCTGAGAAACAGTTGAAAATAGGTATAGGGAAACCTAATGAAACTCATCATAAAATTTTCTTAGAAATCCAAAAGTAAAATAATATACACGGTGTTCCATTTAAAATAAGGAAGTTAATGGCGACTTCCGGTGTAACCGGAAATGGTGTGACCTTGAAAATATTTTTAAATGAAAGGAACTTTTAAATAACCCTAAGTCTCAAAATTTCAGGCTTCTAAGTTTTTCATAACCTCAAAAACTTCTAACGAACGGCTACGGTGAGAAACCCTGTATACACTTTTAAAAATAGAGTAACTACTAGAAACTTCCAAAAATATTATTTTTTGAACATTTTCCAAGAATTTGAAAAAACTTTATTTACTAAAATTACACGAAAGAAGAAAACTTTCTAAAGCGGGTTATACAGTTGATAATTTTACTTGCATGCAAGAAAGGTTGGAGTAATTTTACTTGCCGCAACAAAGTTGCAGTTCACTTAACAGTCAGCAATTATTTCTGCATCCTGTGTTTGCACCTGTGGTACATTGACATTTCAAAAACACTATGTTGTCAGTTGAGACGCCGTATTTATTAGAAAAATATAAATAAATGTTAATTAATGTAAAATGGCAATTTTTTATGGCTCATGGCATAGTTGAACTTATAGTTAGAATTGCAAGAAAGGATCAGATGTTTTTGAACTTGCCGAAGAAAATCTTGCCAACTGTAAGACGGCCTTAATTGCTTATATTTTGTGATTTACCTCTTTTTGCATATGTAAAATTGATTTTTATGACAGCTATTACATAATGTTAAAATTAGTTTTATTATTTTTAAACTTTGTGAATTGATTCCGCATAATTGTTTTCTTTTGATAACCCAGTAATAACAATTTTTCCACCACAGATTGGAAACATAGTATTTGGCGCATATAAAAAATGCTTATATTTTTACCTGTATGTCTTTGGTACAAATGACAACAAATTTCCCGACTGATTGTCCGACGTGAATTTCAACTGAGCCAAATTTTGGGCTAGATTGTGCAAGAAGAAATTGAATTGTGTAAACTTAGTTTTTAGAGATTCTTCTATAAGTCTTGTAAAGTGAGCAGCGGCTTCGGGATTCGACATTTCTGGCAGCAAAGCCCTGTGCATATAACCGATTGATTCAGGTGTAATGCTACAAATTCCTGACGAAGTCATCTATAAAAATATAATAGATAATAGAATCTCTTTAAAAAACATAAATATAAAGAGGGAAATTAAAAAAAAAAACAACTTTGGTTGCACGTCATCAATGACACCATGCGTCGTCTTATGGAGTTTGCTGCAGGGTGGTCGTATTATGATGTGCAACCAAAGTTATTTTAATTTCCCCATATATATGACTACTTACCAGAAAAAGAAACAGATTTCTGTTATTTCTAATAATATTAAATGCTTGACAGCACAGATCTACAAACTGATGGAATTTTTCTGTTGGTCTGTCACCACCGTTGATTACATATGCCATATCAGATGTGAGAACAAAAGGAGCGCGATCCCTATAAGTTTTTAATCAATTAGAAATATTGAATATTAGATAATTTCAAAAATATAAGATGTATTGCTAACCTTTTAAAGTTACCAAACATTTGAGCATCGCCAAGAAACTTCCCAAAATCGATGTGGAATAAATGTCCAGATGTTTTTAGCATAATATTGTCATTGTGCCTATCACAAATACCCATTATATATGTAACGACGCAGTAACCAGCACAGGAAGCTAAAAGCAATGTTTTAGAGAACATAATTACAAATCACATTTGTATATTTGCAAATGCAAGATAATATAAAGAGGGTAAACAAATATTCCAATTCAAAAATATTAATTTATTACAAAAAATATTACAAAACACATACCAGGTGGTGCATCGTCGTCGTTGGAAACATCCATGCAAATTTTGAAATGTCCAGATATTGGCTCCCCTGTTAATTTTACAGAAAAAGTGTATGCTAAATACATATAGCAAATTTGAACAATTTTGAAAAAAAACGATTTTAAGTAATTTAAAGAAAAACTGGATCTATTTTTAAATTAAAACTGAACAGGTAACTATGCAAGAAAGAACAGGCAAATGCCGACGTACCTTAAATTGTCATCCTAGAATTTTGTCAATGTCAAATTGTATTTTCTAAACGTTAGGCTTTTGCCCCATTCGAACCAGTTTAAAATTACAAAAAATACATTTCGGTATTGTATACATTCGCATACATTACACGTAGTAATGTAGACAGGTAGAATGTCAAAATCATAGGTTGACAACTTAAGATATGTTGATATTTTACTAGTTTTGCATTATTACCTGTCCAGTTTTAATTTAAAAATAGATGCAGTTTTTCTTAAATTCCTTAAAATCGGCTTGTTCAAAATGGTTCAAATTGTATTCAGCATAGGCAGACCTTTAAAAAAATTACGACTTAGCTATCAAATTAATAGGGCAGCCAGTATTTGGACAGTTCAAAATTTGCATGGAATTTCCTATTTTCCAACGACGATACACCACCACGTATATAACAAAAGCAAAAATGTAATATAACATAAGCAACTAAACACTGAATTATAAACTCCAAAACTCATTAAGAATGGCGGGAAGGCGTTTGTTTATGGCTCAGGGTCCGAATTCTGGAACTTTGACATGAAAATGTTACGCTTTCAAAGCGGTAAGCGAAAGTATTCGATTAGCGGAACGCCAAGCAGTCGATTTTGGTATTCTCGTTGCCGTGGGAATCGTTTTCTGGATACACGTTGAACACATATTGGCAGCATCGCAAAATCTCAGGTATCTAAAGCTTGTTTCATATAGACGCGAATTGCGAATTGCGAAAAGCGATTCGCCAAAAAATATTCGCAAAATTTGGACCTATTTCATACAGTCGCGAATTTTTAGGGACATTTCATTTTTGCTCCACTGAAAGTTACCAAAAAAAATCATAACCTGAGATAACTTAATTTGTTTTATACATCTTTATTCGTGTTTACGATCTTTATTTTATATTTTATAGCATACAATATGAGTTTAAATTTGTTTAATGATTATGAATATCGATTACGATTGTGGGATTGGAACAGAATAAGGCGCAACATTGCCATTTACTTATTGTTAAAACGTAGAAGAGAACGGGTTTATAGCACAGGTTTATAGGTCATTTATGGGTCATTTGGGATTTGGGACATGTGAAATATTCAAATTTCGTAAGCAACAAGGTGCTTATCGCAATATAATTCAAGAAATAAGGACAAAAGATGAGAAAAAATTTAGGAATTTTCACAGATTGTCTGTATAGGAGTTTGATAACTTGGTTGAAGTGGAAAAAAATTGTCACCATGTATATCAAAAACATATTATGCACGAGAACCCATTTCAACTGGAGAAATGCTTTCAGTTACTTTGCGGCAGCGTCGTCAAAATAATCGATAACTGGATCACAACACCATTCTGCGTAAACGCGAACCTTAAAATCGCGCGAATATTCGCAAAAAGTTGAAAACACTTTAACTTTAACGCGCTAAGCGAAAATTAAAGTCATATACGCTGAGCGTCTAAAAGCGCTTAGCATTTTCTAAGTTACAGAAATCGGGCCCTGTAACGTCGAGGATAGCTGTGTTGTCATATTAGTATGTTACAGAATTCGAATTTTAGATATCATGAACAGTTTCAGTCCTGAACAAACATACTGTGCTGCGTCATTAGCAATTAAGTTTGGAATATAAACCAGATTTAAGATCCGTTTTGGACTTGGACTACCTTGAACGGAAGCTTTTCTTGGCAACAATGTGACCATGAAAACAGTGTGTCTAAAACATCAAATTATTACCTATTATATAGGGTGAATTACGGCGATGGCACGTTAGACCGATGATAGAATTTTTTCAAAATTTCGATTTTTACATGCTCCATCTATCTAAAATATTTTCAGTGTGTTACAATGTTGCCGCATCATTTGAAACGTGGTAACATCTTTCTTATTTTAAATGGAAAGCTCGGTATATTATTACATTTTTGGAAACTACTTTCAAATCTAATAATGTTTCCATTATCCTAACCTATAGTAGTTCCAATAGTTTTTGAGATAAAAAACAGAACATGTCTAAAATTGGCAAAAACATGATCTTGAATAAGCGTTGATAAAATCATGAACTGAACATTTTAAAAGTTAAAATTTGCATTACAAGTTAACGAAAGTCGATATATTTGTTCTGTCTAAACCAATTGATAGAGTAATAGACAGAGAGAGAGCAAAAAATTATTTATTTCTGTTTGATCCCTATGTATATTATTTAGAAGATCAAATTACTAATAAAATTGCTTTTCAACGATATACGTTTCTATATCTAAAGCTTCCGGTTTCTTAAGTAGAGCTATTTAAAAATTAATAATTCTATATTGTCAAGGTGTACGGCTACATCTGTCGGGGAACTATTGTAATGTTGGTACCAGTAACTGAGTTTTGGCCACACCATATGTATTGAAAAAAAAGTTAAATTCTGTTAAGTTTAATTATATATATATATATCCCTTGAAGAGACTAGACCATCCTATCATAACCTTATATTATCTTGCAACTGTAAATAAGTCGAAGTAATATGTTTAAGTTTTATCATCCTACCAGTAAAGTTTTGGACGGCTCTGCCATATTCAAGTTCTGACGGATTATGTTTAGCTAACCATTCAGCTATTGGCTTGTCTTTAAAGGAACCAGTTAGTCCATGTTCTGTTTGAATCTTTCTTAAAGTTTCCGCTTTCGTTACCATTTCGATCATTCCTAAAAAAATATTATATTACTAATCCATCAGGACATATTTAATGTTTACCTTTCTTTTTAGACGTTGGAATGCACATAAAAGCTACCATTTTTAAATCTATTCCATGTTGAAGCCATAACTTATCCATAAGTCTAATCATTTGTAAAGTTAACATATCTTGTTGCAAATCGTCGCCTACTTTAAATATAGCCGAGTAGATGGAGCTATCCTCCATTATAAAGTTAATTTTTAAAGGTAATGTATTTGAGGCAAAATAAAAGGAACCTATAATGTTTATATTGTTATACAAGCAAAAATAAAAAAGGCCTGAATTATGTACCTTTAACATCTATACCATTAACTCTGAGTGTAGGTGACAGAGGTAAGCTTGTCGGATTGTCATTCAAAGAACCATTAATCATTTCAAGATCTCGATGCATATGTACTATTTTTTGTGAATCTTTGGATTTTTGCACGACTTCGGCAGTATCGCTAAGTTGCTGTCAGGGAATTAAATAAGTAGCTTAAATGATACTTAATAAATAACAATGACTTACTTTCACCAGCAACTGTTGGGACATAAAGCATTTCCTTAATGATTCTCCGCACACGGCGAGTAATGCTCTTAAAAGTAATTTCATTCTCCTGTGGTACCTTACTTCGCTAATACTGATATCGTTTAAATCATTTTTGTTTTCCTTAATATCGAGACTTCCATTCTAAAAATTTAAAAAAATAAGATATTTTTTCAACTAATTTACTGTTCAAGGCTTAATATACCGGGTGTGTCTTAAAAGTGGCTCACCCCTACTTTTTTTTCAGATAAAAAAGCCAGATTTGGTATGTTAGTATATGACATAAATTAGAATTGATTGACGTATTCAATTATTTTTCAGTCACTTCCTGTTTCACCGGAAATGACTACAACTTTTGATTTTTAAATGGCATCCTCGGTATTTTTTTACCTTTTTCGATAGAAAATGACACTCTGGATAGAATGATATCGTATGTCAACTTTTGACATATTCGCTTAAAAAACATCGTATTTTTAATTTCATTCTAGAATGCCTGGCTGTTGTGCTGTGAAACACTAATTTTTAATCAAGGAGCCGTGGAAAAATATATTTGATCGTCTAATGTTTTTAGTGTCTTGTTAAGGGTGGCACATTAGCATATTTGGAAAAAGTATTTTTTACGAAAAATTTGGTACCACACACTTCGCATTTAGAGTCAAGTTGTCGTTATGAACCGCATGTTACAATTTCGAATAGACCATATGCGAAAGTTTGACACTTTGCCCCTTGATTAAAAACTGGTGTAAAATTAATGTTTTAACACAGCCATGCCATGGCATTCTAGATTGAAATTAAAAATACGATGTTTTTTAAGCGAATATGTCAAAAGTTGACATATGATATGTCATTATATTCAGAGTGTGATTTTCTATCGAATAAAGTAAGAAAATACCGAGGGTGCCATTTAAAAATCGAAAGTTGTAGTAATTTCCCGTGACCGAAAACATCTGAATGAATCAAATCAATCCTGCAACGACTTTTGAGACGCACCCGGTATAATAATATTTTTATGTAAATTACCTCTTTACCAGCCATATATACAAAAAATTTACGTGTTATTTAATACATATTTCTAAGGGGTCCAGACCAATCAGACAAAACAGAAACATTCATGTTTTACGACAAAATTGCGGCAAATCCAATACATTTCTGCGACATTTTTGTCTCATTTTTGTTTTGTTTAAAAATTCGGAGACTTCAATGTCCCGTCTTGAGTCGGTAAAGATCAAAGTGCCTATGTTTTGTTTGTATAATTTACAAGTAGTCGGCGCAGTATGGATGGTGTATGCTGCACACAGTAGGAGACCAGTGAAATCACCCATGGTTAATAAAGCTCATTCGCATCAACTAAACTTTTGGCTTTGCTGTACTTTTGTCCTTGCGGTGTGGACAATTTGTCTCAAGTTTGTCTTGTCAGAATTCCCCATTTTTTTGTCACAACTTTGTCTTGTTTTTGTCTCAAAACCGTGTTTACCTTTTGTCGCCTTGGTCTGGACCCGGCATAAGATAAATTGCTACTTTTGATCATATTAAATAAACACTGATTAATTTACATTTCGTTTGGTTAAAATTTTTTTAGTTATTTTAAAAATATTTCTAAAAACTAAACTCACCGGCAAAAAATAACCGGCCACTAAAAACTAGTCCCAATTTCAAAGTTGGATTTCTCGCGAACCACTCATTACATTTTGATGATTTTTTTTAAAATTGTAAATTAATTCCTTCTTAACGGATGCTATGTCAGAAATTTTTATTACAAATTTATTTTGAGCATATACAGGGCACAACAATAAGACGAAGTTTTTTGCCCGAACTTTGTAACACTCTGTAGGGTGCAGCAGCTGTACTAGCTATTGCTAAATCAAATCACATTGTAGCCTCATCTTTTGTGAGCATTTTGTTTTTTTAATCACGACAGTATCTCTGTTTGTATTGGAGATACGCTGCTCTAAAACCAACGTCTCGAAAAAATGCTTCGCAGGCAGAAAGTTTTATGTGTAAATAATCAAGGCGACATCATTGTCAAATTAAAAAATACCATTATCTGTGACGGATGTTGCTCGTATTGTGGCTTTAATTGAGGATGGCCGAAGTCAACGTTATGTGTCCGATACCCTGAGTATACCACGAACAACAGTCCAGGATGCCTGGAATCGGTATATGGAAACGGGAAATTTCACCAGGCGAGTGGGTTCTGGAAGAAAACAGAAGACAAATGCAATTGACGACGGCTTTATTGTCCTGAATACTTTATGAAATCATAGAATTGTAGCGTTACAGAATCAACATCTGCTACAAGCCCTACGCACGGCTTGTGGCACGGTTGTGTGTAACTCAAGTCAGTGGGAGAACAATCCGACAAAGACTAAAAGAAAACAGCTTGTCTGCAAGGAGGCCTGCCACAGGACCCCAGCTACTTCTAAGACATCGTCGAGCACGTCTTCAGTTTGCGCGTTTACATGTGAATTGGGAATTAAGCAATGGACTAACTAGTTTTCACGGATGAATCGCGGTTTTGTCTGCAAAGCATTTTTCCGAGACTGTCGTTTTAAAGCAGCGTATCTCCAATAAAAACAGAGATAATGTCGTGATTAAAAAAACAAAATGCTCACAAAAGATGAGGCTACAATGTGATTTGATTTAGCAATAGCTATTACAGCTGCTGCACTCTACAGGGTGTTACAAAGTTCGGGCAAAAAACTTCGTGTTATTGTTGTGCCCTGTATATGCTCAAAATAAATTCGAGATAAAAATTTCTGACGTAGCATCCTTTAAGAAGGAATTAATTTACAATTATTTTATTATTTATTAAAAAAAAATTATCAAAATCTAATGAGTGGTTCGCGAGAAATCCAACTTTGAAAGTGGGACTAGTTTTTAATGGCCGTTTTTTTTGCCGGTGAGTGTATAAACCAGATAATGATTTAAATAATCAATCCTCATTTTAATTAGTGATAACAAAAAATTTTGTTTAATAAAATTAATTATTGACTCTTTAGTGCAACGTTTTATGTTTCCAAAATTTACTTGTTTTCTACAATTACCAATATAAAATTTAGCTAACCTGAGGAATTGATCCAGGTAAATTATGGCTAAGCAACCAAAACAAGTAATGAGCAAATCTCGGTGATCTCAAAGCCCGGTGTAATATAAATTCAGCCAAAGAAGAACTTTCGTAAGTTTCATATCTTAATGCCACAATAAGTTGCGGAAGATAATCAACCAGTTCGTCGTTTGACAATGCCACCATCCATTTTACAGCCATTTTTCTTACAAACATATCTGGATATCTGCAGGACATGCATTAAAAAATTATACGTTTATGAAAAATATGTAAACTTTTATATAGGGTGTCTATATTCTGTAGACATAGAACTACTACGTATTTTTGGAAAACAGTTATCTACAAACGAAATTTAAAAGAATTTTGTGCAGTGTTGCCATTGTGTAATTTATATTGTAATACTTCCTGATAAAGCCTACCTTCAAATTTGCTACATCATTTAAACATATTAAAATAGATCAGAGCTCTTTTTTTAAACGTTTAAGTATTTAACTTCCCATGTTAGTTGGAGTTAAATCTTACTAGCTGAATTACAATCAGTTCCTGACGTTTGATTGGGCTTTGATATATACTTGCGTATGTTTGATGACACTGCAATATTATGGTACCATGAAGCATATCAATAAGAGGTACCATAATGTAGTACCATATTACGATACCATTTCCTGGCGTTCGATTGGGCTTAAACTTGGTATACTACGGATCGTCGATGACATTGCAATATTATGGTACCTTGAAGCATATCGAGTGGTACCATAATATAGTACAATATTATGATATCATTTTCTAGATTTTGATTGGGCCCAAATTTGGTATACTTGCGTTTCTGTATAAAGATTTGTTTAATTAATCATTTTAATTTATTTTACGAATTTTAATTTATTGTACGATGTCGTGACAGTAACTTTCATGCCGAGTATGATATTATTAATAATTGTACCTGTGTCACTTTTTAAAATCTACCTAGGTCTATATAAATAACATGGCAAACAGAAGAAATTTGTTATTATAGTATTTTTTTAGGAAATTAACATTTTTTGTACTGCATTTTAATAAATTATTTCCATTATTATTAAACATATATTTCATTACTAACGTTCCATCATTAATAAATATCAATATCAATCGCCCTGTACATGTTTAAAGATAATTAAAGGTATTTTCTTAGTTAACAATATAAGGTAGTGTATATTAAAAATGTATTTTATGAGTATATGTTTTGTAATAATATACTTAAAACTATTTTAAAAGCCAAACAAATAATTAATTTAAGTGTGTCTGACAAGAAAATAAGAATAGAAAGAAACTATTATACGCCAGAAAAAGAATGGGATACCAATTAAAGTCTTGTTGAATCTGACAACTGTGCATATTTGGCCGAGCTCCAAGACCGTCGACGTGCTGACGATCCAAAACCGAAAGTTCAAAATTTCCAATTATATTCTGATTATGATATTGTCGCGCCATCTAGTATTTTATTTGTGCAATTTTAGCTCTTTCATTTCGAGTATTTTTCTGTTGCGTAGCTAGATATTCTGTGCTCCTACTATTTACTACATTTTTTGTCTCACAACACAACACAACGCCTAGTTCGAATCTTTTTTCATTTTATTTTGTTAAGCCTATATAAACTAAGTGAAATTAGTTAAAAAGATAAGAATAGGCTATAACTCATTTTTAGAAAATAAAATTTCGTTAACTAATTTTTCGAAAAAAAAAAAACATATTATAGCTTATGTCGCTGGAAATTGAATTGTGTCATATGTCAAAAATGAAAGGCTTTAGAAAAAAACGGAAAACATCTTTGAATAAGAAGACTAAGGAAGGAGCATATCAAAAATCTTAGGTCCACCGCGATGGGCCTCAAATATGGCCGACTTAAATTCCGGTTTATCAGTGCCGTTCTAATTTTATTTAAAAAATGTAAAACTATGATGTAGGGTAGACGTAGGGTAGACTCATTATTTTTTTTTATTTTACGTTGTCAATAAATGTTGGTAGTTATTAAAATTGCTGATAAAAATATAAAATTCTAATAAAAATAGATAAGTTATAATAATTATTTATAGCCATAAACATCCGATAGGCTACTGAAGCAAGTAAATCAAATTGACGTATCTAAATTCTTTGACAAGTAGTAAATAAAAACAAAAGTGCAAGAAAAAATATATAATTAGTTAATTTAAGTGAATTTCATAAATGATCGGTTTGCTACACGTATGTATATTATATAGTCACTTACTAGCGAAAAGCCATTATTTCACTCGATTTTTGCCACGATCTACCGCACGCTACACAACCAACTATTTTAGAATCTTTTTCGATAAATCGCGATAGTGTCACTGTTAATTTAAGTTCTGCAACAATTTCCATCTCGATTTACTACCTTTATACAACTATTAGTAGTAGTAGAATAAATAATAAATAACATAAAATAAGCTCCCTAAAGACTGACAAATCCACAAAATTTCAAATCAAATTCAAATGTGTCAAATGAATCGTCAAACAGAACTGTCAAGGATCCCCACCCTAGAGTCCTTTTTCCGCCCACCATGCATGAATATATGGATCAAGGATACTATAGAGATAAGGATAGTTCGATTTCTATCTTCCTGCACCGTCAGTTTTTTTACGTCATCTGATGACCGAGTTGAAGTTGGCGCTAAAGATTTTAGACAGTGACAGTTATTTTTGCATTTGACGGACGAGCGCACAGTGCGTTGGAAGATGAATTTAGCGGGACAAAAGCGTTTGGTTAGAAATAAGCCAAAAAATGTGTACTGTAAGAATAAATAGTAGACATTCCAATTGATATAAAAATGCATGAATATTCTTTGTATTTCGATACATTTTTATCAACCAAATTTGGTCGTTTTCTGCTCAGCAAGACAGAGATCATACGAAAACAAAATATTTACAAGTGCTTATACATTTTATTCCAAAGCCAAATTATGTTGATTGCCAAAGGTATGTACTTTTCTACTGTACGTATATCATTTGTTAAAATCTTTCGTGCCTTTGTTCTGCAGATATCAAACTTTTACTTTTTTTCAAATATCGATATATTGAATGATGTAGATCTTTTGAATTACCAATAGTTACCAACACAGGTAGTCACAGTCACAGGGAGTTCAAGCTTAACAGGTAAATGCCCAAAAAGTTTCATTTCAATCGGATAGTATAAAAACAAAACAACTCCATCAAAAGGCACTGAGTTTAAAAAATTGTCTTAGATACTTACTATATATGAATTTACAATTACCGAGTGTTAAAATTAAAATTAAAATATCTATCTTAATTAATATTTTTAAAATAAAATATAATTTTTTAAACTAAAATATAGAGGGTGTCACAAGATTACAAAGTAATTAAAAAATAACTGCTAAAGAGTTTTTGGTAAGTATTTCATCTGATATCATAATTTTATGTATTTGGCAATAGTTTACAATACGGTTTTTGTGTGTCATGTACGAATAATATCACGTTTTATTATCTTGTATTTATTTATTAATAAATTAAGTTGTTCTCTTTACCGTTTTTCAAATAAGTCCAAAATAACGGAGTTATTTTACTTTGAAAATTTTCAAAAACAATGATTTTTTGTTAAAATTTTGAGACCACTGGATCTTTTCTGAATTTTCTTTCTTGTAAATTTAATCTAATACCTATGTTACCATATTATCAAGAAATTATGTTTTTTAACTAAGAACTAAAAAAAAATCCAAAAATATTTTCAAAAAATTTCGAATTTTCAAAATGTTCTTTCGCGGAAAAAACTTCATAGGCGCGTTTCTGGGGTTGAATTATACTACCAGTTAAAATATTTGCACTTATTTCTGGGACACCCTGTATATTAGACCATTTGCTGCGTTCTTAGATTTTAAGTCCCAAACATTGCTCTTGAGATTTTGTCCCGCTAGAATAACCATCCGCCGCACTGTTGAGCGCTGGTCAGCGCGTGACGTAGTATCCCACGGCGACTACGACAGCGACGATTTGACGCGATCGAACAGTCCTTTAGAATATATACAGTCCTTGTACATGGAAAGCATTATGCTCCTTCCTTAGTCTTCTTATTCAAAGGAAAACATAGTCTCATTAAGGATATGAGTATCTACAACTTTTATCTAAAAACTTTTTGTTTAGAATAGATTACGGTGGTATTAGGGAGCATTTTTAAAATAGCCCAAAATTTGTTTTGTTTTTTTTTGGTTTTAGTAAGCCATTAACTTTTTCAAAAATCCAAAAAGCGGATATGTTTGTCCTCACAAAACTGCATGTTTTCCCATTTGACCGACACTCTAGCTCCAGAGAAGTTTCCAAGATACCCATAAAGAACATCGTAGAAAACTCACCCTGTATTTGTTCGGTCTAGTTATAAATAAATATCGGTAGATTCGCCGTGAAAAATTATTTTTTCAATTTTCTTCAAAATATATTTGGCTATTTCGCCACTAGAAGAATATCTATACTAATATAAAATCCTTAAGTGACTGACATACTGAATAATCACGATCCTGTTCAAACCACTCAATGTAAGAAACTCAATTTTGGCATACAGGTTTATTCTAGGGTGTAGAGGTTCGATAAGAAGGGATTTTTCGAAATTCCAGTTCCAAGAGGGTGAAACCACCCCTCAAATATTACAATATTTATTATATAAAAAACGGTTTAGTTTCCGAAAAAAACGCTTAAACACGTATATTTTATTTTGTTTTTTTACATATTTTAAGATTGTTTAAATCACTGATTAATCACGATCCTGCTTAAAGCGCTTGACGTAAAAAGCTGATTTTTGGAAAACAGATTGACTTTAGGGTGTAGAGGTTCGATAAGAAGGGATTTTTCGAAACTCGAATTCTAAGGGGGTGAAACTATCCCTCAAATATTAAAATATTTTTTATTTAAAAACCGGTGAGTTCTTCGGAAAAACTCTTGAACACGTATATTTTATTTTGTTGTTTTACATGTTTTAAGATTTTTTATAAATTTATACAGGGTGTGTCATAAAATATGACCACTGAGTAATCACGCTTCTGCTTAAACTGCTTGACGTTTAAAGCTGATTTTTGGCAAACGGATTGATTGTGTGGGGTGTAGAGGTTCGATAAGGACGGGTTTCTCGAATCTCAAATTCCAAGAGGGTGAGAACGCCCCTCAAATATTACAATATTTGTTATTTAAAAAACGGTTAGTCTTTCGGGAAAACGCTTGGACAAGCATAATTTATTTGTTTTTTTTTACATATTTTGAATTTTTTTTAAAAATCATACAGGATATTCCAAAAAGTTGTATTCCAAAAATGTATTAACCACGATTCTGCTAACGATTACCATACATTACTAACATCTACAGATGCATGAGCAACAAAAAGTTCATGTTAAAACAAACATTTATTTTTATTAGATTGTATTAAAAAAGCCTCTTTTATTTTTCTTTTTGAGGGTATCGCTTCTTTCATTATAATTTTGGCGTTATTAAAATTTATTCTGTGCCCTGTATTCCATGAATGCTGACAAATCTTGGATTTGTAAAAATCTCCCTTTCTTAAATAACCTTTATGTTCTTTAATTCGAACATTTAAGGGTCTAGATGTTTCACCAATGTAAAATTTATCGCATTCACATGGTATTTGGTATATTACATTTTTTGTTTCTTGTTCTGTATTCATTGATTTAGTATGTGATAAAATGGATCCAAGTGTATTTAGTGTTTTGAAAGATGTTCGTATGTTATATTGTTTTCCAACATATTTCTATTTATTTTTCCATATTTTTTTTACATAACATACGTAAAAATTTAATAAAAGAGGCTTTTTTAATACAATCTAACAAAAATAAATGTATTGCTCATGTATCTGTAGATGTTAGTAATGTATGGCAATCGCTTTTTTGATTTTAAAGAACATAACATAAATAAACATAACATACCAAAAATTAAAAATAATCATACAGAAAGTTTGGGGCTTTTTGCTTTTACCTTATTAAGTAATTGTTACCAGGTAGTAATTGTTAATTTTGAAGATTAACTTGATATAATGTCATTTTAACAGAACGTCAACGGTTTTTGTAGACGTATCTGTTTAAAAAAAAACTAAAGTCTTCTCGAATAGTTGAATTTAAATATTTTCAATAGTTTTTTTCTTTATTCTTTGTATTTTTTTGCTTCCGACGACGGAAAGAGATAAACTTTCCGAAACGCTACGCATTTTTTGTTCGTTAGGCAAATTTGTATATCTTTATTTTGTAGATTTCTTGCAGTGGCGAAATACCCATATATGATTTTTGGAGAGATGAATCCGCCACATATGTAGGTATAGATATTTTTTAAAGTACTTAGCTTATACACAGGCAGTGTATTATTTTTTTAAAGTTTGATGCGCTAATGGACAAACGAAGCACTTTTATATAGAGGTAAATTGTGTGGTAGTTCTATGTCCACAAAATATTCGGACGCCCTGCACTTACACTGGCAACAGTAACTCCAAAGCTTGTCTTGGTTCTAATTTCTTCCACAGATGCAGTAGACCATGTAAATCAGAAAGATACATATACGCCCAACTATTTGCTGCTAATAATACTTTTGGTAAAGCTTTAGGCATATCGTGTAAGTAATGTCTTTTTTCCCATAAAATTTCCCTAAAAATGCAAATGCGATTGTAGTATTAATTGAATTAAATTAGTGTAGAGCTTAGACAATTAACACACTCTTTCAGCGTAAATAAAAATGCGAAAACAAAAATCTTACCTTACTTCACATGGCAATTTATAAAACATATCTTGCTCACAAGAATCACTTAAAAGTTCTTGAGTTTCATTATCTAGACTGTTAAAGTCAAATTCATTTGCTGCTCTAGATGAATTCGACTCTATTTTAGGAAACTCTATTTTTGAGGGGCTCACTATTTCAATACCTATTGTAAAATAAGTAATAAATATAATACAATAATTACTACAAACCAAAACTTACCGATCATTGGGTGATCTATTTGTGGATGAGAGCCCATTGCTGGTGCAGGACCATACATATGCTCATTAATATGGTTTGCCTCTCTAGGCCAAACAGATAAAAGTGCACCTCCATGAATCATCACCCTATAAACAAAAGTATTTTTTCAGACTCGATCCATAGCATATTAAATTGCAGTATTAGTAGTATACTCTTTTTTTTTAATCAACTAGTGCTTAAATTTTTTATAAATATCTTTTTTAAATGAATCTTGTTTCAATATCTCTTCAAAAAATTTCGTTATAGCCGAAATAGCCTAAGTTATGTCCCCACTAGCAAAACCGGTACGTAAAATTATGCTCGTTACCATAGTTGAACTCATCTAAAAAGTTTTATTAGCTTCAATAATAAATTATAATACAAGTTAGACTTTCTGAAGATATCAAAATATTTACTTTTTTATTATTTTTAATAATTTTGATTTTTTTCTTGATTTTTTGTTATAATTTTTTAAATAATATTCATAGGGTTGAAGTTAAAATAACAAAGATTTGAGTGATTTTATAATTAACGGAAATAATTATTTTTTCGGACCTCGTTTGATATCCAATCAGTTGATTTAGATAGATTGGATATGCCGACTTTCCTTAACCTATAAATCAAATTTCATCTTTCAAAATGCCGAATTTATAATTTAACCGATGCTTATTCAAGATCATGTTTTTGTCAATTTTATTTTTTATCTCGAAAACTATCAAAGATAGGTATAGGTTAGTATAATATAAAAATGATGAGATATCAAAGTAGTTTTCAAAAATGTAATAATATAAGCCGTGGCTAACGTCATATTCAAAGCCTGACTGTTTTGACAGTTCTACCGAAGTGGTCGAGAATTAGTAGTCGTAAACAAACTAATTGTTTTCATTAGTTTCGCAACCAATCTGTGTTTTTTATGCGTTTCTATGCTAATAAAATTATACTAAATAATTTTGGGAGAATAGTGAACTATCTAGATCCGATTCATAACATCGTACCCACGAAAAAAACCATACTTTCGGTAAAAATTATAGTAACACCGGCGATGCCGGCTGTGTCCGGGCTAGGCAAAAGTTGGGGAATTTATATAAAAACATAATTAATAGCGTTAGTGTTAGTGTATAGTGTTAAACCAACGTAAGTGACGTGTATTTTTAGGTAAAACAGTTGTCGTTTCTTTATTTTTACTTTGTGAAATAAAAAATGCCGCGACATTGTTCTGTGCCTGTGCCTTCTAGCAGCAATTATAATAAGTACTCAGGATCTGTCTACATTCTCTTTCCCAACAATATTAACTGTAACTAAGTCACGTTCAAAACCTACAGAAGATGCTGTGCCTACAATTTTTCCAAATCAACCTTCTCATATGACTGTGCATGTTCCCATAAAGAGAAAACATCCCGATGAAAGAAAACGAGATTTGGAAATTCAGGATGAAATAAATATTGAAAATTATGATTGTTATTATGAAATGGCAATATATTTTAGAGAAATTAAATGAATTGTACTTTATTTCAGTATTTTATATAAAAAAATATCTTTATCTATTTACGATTTATGGAAATGGTTACATGAACATCGAACTACAAATTACTTAATGATAATAGTTAATTCTACCTGATATCCACATTTTTTAAATATGTTAGGCAAAATTTTACAATTATTTTTAATTAAACTTTAAAATGTATTCTGCCCTTATCATATACAATACATTTTCTTAACGTGTCGATAAAGTATAGTTTTCAAATTTTTTAATATTTGGAAACTTTATCACAAGGTATATTATTACTAGCTGCTAAATACTCGCTAACGCAATTTTAGAACATGCTTTTTATTATCTGGATTTTATTCTGTTCATCTAATGCTGTTGTTTATTTCATATTAATATTCGTGTTTTAGATCTAAATTTTAATGCTTTTCAATTACTTTAACGCGATAAAAAGTTAATGTTATTTTTTAATACCTTTGTATATAATATTTTTCATATTTATATCTGGGAAAACTATCAATAAATACTATTATTTATGCAAAAACTATACGCAGTACCAACAGCAACAACAATACAAAAGCCCGACTATTGCGGTGACGTCACAAATCGATGTCTCTGGCCTGTATCTTATGTTGGTTATGTATAAGCGTAATAACGTGGTTGTTGGGTGCAATTACATTCAACTTTTCCATATATTCAACCGATTTGATCAAAAGAAAAAAAATAGATTCAAGCAGTTCGACGAAACAAATGAGTAAACAAAGTACTCATTACATAATCAAACAATTAAATAGACATAATATTGTTACGTTTTTCGTCGGTTCCGTGTGGATAGAAAGTCACAATTTATTTAAACACTATTTATTTAACACTAATTAACAAAAACAATAACGATAAAAGACTTATAGAACTATTTACAAACGATTTATAACTAAGAATTTATTTTGAATTTTCGCGCGTCAACTGCACTGGTATATTTATAACTGCCCTCTCTAGGCCACTGCCGCCGGCTTTTATACCGACAGGTAAAAGAAATCTAGAATAGTCCAAAGATCGTTAGGCGCATAGAGAAGGTTTTCGAATGTTCTCGTATGTACGAGTCCATTCTAGTGGGTCTCGATTCTTCTCGAACGAATGAATCATTGCGGTGTCTATGCGATGTTAAGGTCATCCGAGGGCGGGCCATATTGTGAGGTTAGGTCGAGTCCACACCGGCTCGCAACACTGCCCCCTTCTTAGGCACATGATCGTCCCGAGATGTATACGTGAATGAAGGTATTTGCAAAGCTGGCCCCTGGTACATTGCGAAGTCTGGTAGAAATAGCAGTCTACAGTTTTCTCTCCCGATCTCAGCTTTGGGTTGTAGCAGCAAACGAGGATCTCGATTCCCGTAAATCTGAACAAGACTTCAATCATGTTCCGGATTGTACGCCAACTCAAACCATCGAGTCCACACGCCAGCTTCGGAATGGCTAATCGTGCAATGTTGTTGTTTAGCAGGGCTTCTCTCAGTTCAATCAGGGTCTTCCATAGATTGAGATAAGTCGGCTTACTCGGGGACCATTCCTTGGTGACCAGGTAGAAGATGTGCCTTGCTTGACCATGTGCATTGTCGGTTAGCCTCAAGACGCTTCCAACCTCTGGATCCTGTCGGCGTAGTTCTCCGACACGCCCAAACTTCTCATTGAACGTCGCAGCGATTCCTCTGGACATCCGCAAATCTCGAGCCACACAATGAGCGAGCGAATAATCAGGAGGCACGGAAAAGAGGTCTCGTTGATCTTCTTTGGTTACACCATAGCGAGCCTTCTCACTGCTGTTGTATCGGGCCATGAAATCGTCAAAGGACATCTCCGAATCAGGGGGATCAAAGCTGCAGGTTCTCACGGTCCCAGCACGATCTTCTATTTCGCCTTGGTAGGGGCTCAAACGGTTGAAATGGACTACCCTCGGTTTTCCTTTTGGCAATTTTCTGATACGGTATACGACGTCATTAATTCTATCCATGACTTCGTATGGCCCTTCCCACGAGGATTGTAGCTTCGGAGATAACCCACGACGTCTCTGCGGGTTATATAGCCACACCAACTTCCCTGGTTGGTATCCTCCATGCTCAGCTTGAATGTCGTAGTGTTCCTTCATTCGGTCACTAGCACTTTGAATATTTAGGCGGACTCTCTGATGAATGTCGTCCATCCTTTGACGTAGTGTGTGGACATAATCTTCTCCGGCGACTTCTTCTCCCGGTCGGCAACCAAATTTCAGATCACAGGGTAGGCGCACTTCCCGTCCCATAACGATGCTGGCTGGAGTTTGCCCTGTAGATTCTTGGACGGATGAACGGTAGGCCAACAGGAACAGGTGAAGAAATTTGTCCCAGTCTCTTTGGTGGTCAGAGACTACTTTGGCCAGATAACGGTTGATAGTTCTGTTCATGCGTTCAACCATCCCATCGGATTGTGGATGTAGAGCAGTCGTCCTGGTCTTGCGGATGTTCAGGACTTCACAGACGCCTTGGAACAGATTGGACTCAAAGTTTCTTCCCTGATCTGAATGAAGCTCCATGGGAACACCAAACCTGCAGATCCATTCTTTAACAAGGGCATCAGCAATCGTGGACGCTTCTTGATTTGGCAACGCGTAGGCCTCGACCCATTTGCTGAAGTAATCCATTACTACCACAATGTATTTGTTGCCATCGTTCGTCTCCGGGAAAGGACCAGCCACGTCGATCGCTATTCGTTCGAAGGGACTACCAACATTGTACTGGCGCATAGGGGCTTTACCACGCTTTTGTGGCCCATTAATGGCTGCGCAAATGTCACATTTCTTACACCAGGCCCTCACATCTTCTTTGCAGTTCACCCAGTAGAACCGTTCACGCAGCTTGCCAAGTGTCTTGGTAACACCAAGATGTCCTCCGCTGGTTCCATTGTGAACTTCCTCCAAGACTTCTGGGACACTCTTTGCTTTGGAATGACGATCTGTCTGCTTCTTCTTGTCCCTCCGGTCTCTCGATCACACGGCGAAGTAGTCCGTTATCTATTACCAAGGAATTCCACTGGGCCCAGTACGACTTTCGTTCGCGAATATCTGCAAACTTCCTCCCACGTTGGTCTCTGGTCCGCGTTTTTCCAGTTAATCACCAAGCCCAACTCTGGATCACTGATTTGGTCATTTGCAAGATCTTCGGTTTGCCAACTATCACCAACCACAGTCGTCCTTAAGACTTTCACTTCTTTCTCTTCTTTGTAACGATTTCCCATCTGTCCGCAATTCCAACAGCGAATCGGTCCCCCCTTCTTGCTCATATACTGATCCAGTACTTTCCGCACAATCCTTTCCACTTTGGAATCGTCGGAACTCTCCTCAACAGCCCGTACAAATCCTAGAGACCTAGAGCATTCTTTCGCGGCCTCAAATTCCAGGGCACGTGCTAGGGCATCTCCCAAATGCGTTGGATGAGCTAAAAGAAGTGTTTGCCTTGTCTCGTTGTCACGTAAACCATCAATAAAAGCCTGTACTGTTAAGCGCTCCATAACATTTTCGGGCATAGCAGGGTACGCAAGGCGAACGAGGCGGGCTACGTCGGCTTCAAACTCCTGCAGAGACTCATTTGACTTTTGAATGCGATTTTTTAGCTGGGAATGATAGACATGTTCCAAATGAGCTTGGCCGTACCTCATTTCTAAATGTCGTACCAATTGCTGATAATCTCCCTGTTCCGATGGTGACAATGTCTGCAGGATATCAGTCGCATCTCCTCGCAGTGCGACAGTCAAAGCGGTAGCCTTTTCAGCGATTGTCCATCCGTTCGCTCTCGCAGCGGCCTCAAACTGGCAAAAATAATTGGCCCAAGCGGTTTTTCCGTCAAACTGTGGAGGCTTAATAACTGACTTTGAGATATACTTATTTCCGACTAGCTTCGGTGCCTCTGATGTTTCTTGACATTTTGGTGAATTGGCCTTTTCTATTTCTTGTTTAAAAATTTCGATTTTTCTATTTACATCTTCCTCAATCTCCGTTATTTTGTCTTGTAGTTCCGTAGAATTCTCTATAATCTTATTGTTTAAACTTTCTTCTAAATTAAGTATTTTGTCATTGAAACTGGCTTGTAGATCTTTAGAATTTTCTATGATTTTATCCTCTAAAATATTAATTAAATCCTGGGAATTTTCCATAATTTTATCTTTCAAACTGTCTTCTAATTTTTGAGAATTCTCTGTGATTTTATCACTGATTTTATCTTCTAAATTAACTTCCAAGTCAATTATTTTACTATTCAAATTGTCGTTTAAATTGTCTTGCAATTCCCGGGAATTTTCTGTAATTTTAGCTTCTAATTTTTGTAGGCACGAGTCAAGGTCACCTTCGAACTCAAAGCAAAATGTGTCCGGATCCTCGCCTTCCTCCCTCAAAACGTCTCTCAGTCTGGTTTGCAAAATGCTTTTCTTTCCATCTGTCTCGCACTCTCTCTCTTCCAATATGGATTTCAGTTCGGACACTTTCAAGTCTTTCAACAATTTCTTCGGAGCCATTGTTAGTCTTTTTATTTTTCTAGTCTATCACACACGCCACACCTGACACCAATTGTTACGTTTTTCGTCGGTTCCGTGTGGATAGAAAGTCACAATTTATTTAAACACTATTTATTTAACACTAATTAACAAAAACAATAACGATAAAAGACTTATAGAACTATTTACAAACGATTTATAACTAAGAATTTATTTTGAATTTTCGCGCGTCAACTGCACTGGTATATTTATAACTGCCCTCTCTAGGCCACTGCCGCCGGCTTTTATACCGACAGGTAAAAGAAATCTAGAATAGTCCAAAGATCGTTAGGCGCATAGAGAAGGTTTTCGAATGTTCTCGTATGTACGAGTCCATTCTAGTGGGTCTCGATTCTTCTCGAACGAATGAATCATTGCGGTGTCTATGCGATGTTAAGGTCATCCGAGGGCGGGCCATATTGTGAGGTTAGGTCGAGTCCACACCGGCTCGCAACAATATACTAAGAGAGGATAAAATATAATTTGCAGTATTAATAGTATACTCTTTTTTTAATCAACTAGTACTTAAATTTTTTATAAATATCTTTTCTAAATGAATCTTGTTTCAATATCTCTTCAAAAACTTTCGTTATAGCCTAAGTTATGTCCCCACTAGCAAAACCGGTGCGTAAAATTTTAAATAACGAAGTTGCTACTACTTTTTAAATGATCCAAACCAAACCAAACACTGTAATGCTGAAAATAATTTAGACAGATGGAGATAGACAAAAATATCCTATCGCCATATCACCAGTTCTCTATAAACGTCTAACGTGCCATGATCGTGAATCATCCTGTATAATAATTTACATTGTTGTAATATAAAAAACATGACATGATTAAAAAGACAATGATTAAAAACATATATATTTTATACTCACCCTTCATAATCAAAGAACTGAACGGCAGCCCAACCGATTTCCTCTTCTTTGAAAATTGGCCCGTTTGAGTTTTTAGAATCGTCATTTTCTGGGTTCTCTTGAGTTCTTCCAAAAATCTGTAATACTAATCTGGACTCCCTCGCTAAAGTGTTTATTGGTATGTCTTCAAAATCTAACCTATATTAAAGAATACAATTTATGTAAAACCAATTCAATTGAATAATTAAAAGTGATAAAACATACAAACAATACATTTTTAGATTATATTACAAATTCATACAAGGTGTGCCAAAAAGTTTGCTATACTCTGTTTTTTTTAGGTATGATTTCGACAGAAAATGACAGCAAAAAGCAGATATTACGTATTTATTTCGCTAAAAAAGTTACTAATATTTTTTTAAGTTAACTATAGATGGGTTTACATATATAAATCTGCCGGCGTCCCGGCGTCCCTGTTTTTAACCAGTGTTATTGTTTATTTCAAAAATGACAGATCATATATCAATATTATTAGAGTGACGCAACAATGAACGATGCATGGGCGCTGAAGCGTATTACAAGGCTTGTTACGGTCTTGCCAACTTATAGGTTACAAATTTGTGTTCAATTATGTCAAATAACCTGCCTTTTAGAAGATTATAAATATTTGTGAATTGCTTTTGCATTCTGGTTAGTGTTATCACGTGTGTTTTGTGTCTTTTGAAGTTAAGTGGAGAAAAAATCGAGGGAAAATGAACTGTAGGCCCAAAGCACAGTTTATAATTAATATTCGGTACCCAGACAGAGTTTTATACACCAATAAGGTTTGTATACCATCTCGCATAGTGTACTAAAAACAGGAGTAGCTGTAAAATAACGACATCACACGATAGGCAAATAATAAATTTTAGTACTGCAGAAAGATAATGTTAAAAGTAGTGATAACAACGGGTACCCGGGTACCCGGGTTACCCGAAATGATTCCGGTTCCGGGTAACTTTGCTTAGTACCCGATACCCGAATGTTACCCGATCCTACCCGAAATAATACCCGTTACCCGAAAATTAGAAAACCCGATATTTGCTATCATCGATTGGCATCGGATTTTTTCGTGCCCTGTCGTCTGCCGCCATGCTATACGTTTTGTTTCGTTTGTAGTTCCGTAGTCGTAGTTTGTCTGCTGGCTGGATATTATGTGGTGTGATCGATACTAGTCGATAGGCCGTTAAATTTGGAACGATATCGGCAGCGTATGATTTGCAAGTTGCAAAATGTCCGAAAAACGTAAGCGCTCGGCAGTGTGGGAAAGTTTCCACTTCTCTCCAAAGAAGTCTCACGTGATTTGTAATTTGTGTGATGCTAAAATTGTGTATGGTCGTTCAATGAACAAACATTTAATAGGTGTTCATAAGCGTGAAAGTGGCAACACAGGTAAAGAACAAAAACAAACACAAAATAAAGATATTGAAGCTGCATCTACGAGTTCCCATTCCCAAGCTCGCATAACAGACTGTTTTAAAAGGAGAACCATATTTCCCCAATCTCGCCAAGTCAAGATAACCAATTTAATTACTAATGTAGTATCTGAAAATGCGTTACCCCTACACTTTACGGGGAGTGCATCTTTTAAGAAACTTATGAATTATCTAGAGCCAGATTATAGGGTGCCTTGTTACGAAACTATAGTCCAAAATTTGAAACGCGATGAAAAGGAAATTAAAGATATGGTCATAGCCGAACTGAAAGAAGCTACACATGTTTCATTAACCACTGATGCTTGGACATTGAACAGCAATGCATCATATTTAGCGCTAACTGCATCGTACTTAACTACTCAATGGGCAATTAGAACCCCAGTTTTAGATACAATTTTCTTGGAGGAGAGGCACACCGGTGACTATTTGGCATCTGAAATTAAAAGTTGCATTTTAAACTGGCATATTTACGAAAAAATTGTGGCTATTGTTCACGATAACGATTCTAATATTCGTCATGTTGCCTCCTTGATAAATGACCAGTGGGTAGATGTACCCTGCGCTGCACATACCCTCCAACTGTGTGTTAACGCAGCTACCGGATTGAATACTGCAGATTCTACAAATCCTGTTGCCAAGTGTATACATGCAGCTAGCAGATTAGTGGGACATTCAATCACAGTGTTTTGGCAACAAATGAGCTATTGAAACGACAGGAAACAATGCTTGAAAGCACAACAAAAAACACAATTGGTAGGTTTTACAAAAAAATATCCATCCACCCATCCATATTTACCTAAATTGATTTTTCTAGTTGATGAAGATGACCACGAAGAAATTCAACAAATCGAATCAGGTGAAGAAGGAACATCTCAACCGCAAACACCCTCTTCGAAAACATATAAGCATGGACTGAAATTAATACAGTACTGCAAGACCAGGTGGGATTCAGCTTTCAGTATGCTAGATCGATTGAATACTTTGCGATGGTGTGTGTGTGCTGTTTTGAGTGACTCAAAGGTAACAAAAAGAACTGACGCAAAACATTTAGAACTGAAGGATGAACAGTGGAAGTTAATTGGCGACATCTTACCTATCCTAAATTTGTTGAAAATTGCCAACAAAGTTTTCTGTGGAGAAAAGTATTGCACAATTACTGAGGTACTTTATGTGTTACATAAATTAAAAAGCAAACTCCAGCCAAGTAAAGACGATGACGAATTACATGGAGTAAAATTTCTAAAAGAAGAACTAGTTAAAAATATAAACACCCGCTTTGTTGATAAACTCGATGTGAAAAGCTCTGTTTATGTAAAAGCAATGGCTGTTGACCCGAGGTTTAAAAAGTTGTTAATCTTTGAACCACATGAAAGGAAGCAGGTTTACAATGAAATAGAAAAAGACGTGTTTGAAGTGCAAGTCAGGGATGCAACTGTAGTAATGGAGACAGACTCAATTCAAGGACACAAGGTTCCAAATAGCAGTGGCAGTGAAAGTGATGAATGCAAAAATTCAGATAGTCCATTATTCGGAGATGACGATCTTTTGAACGAATACAGTAATACTAAGATCACTGAATTTCAATCGTTTCTTGAGACAGAGGCAATTGGAAGAACAGAAAATGTATGTGTTTGGTGGAAAAAACACGAAAACGCCTACCCAAATTTAGCCAAAGTGGCAAAATATTATTTATGTATACCAGCCACCTCAGTTGCTAGTGAAAGACATTTTTCGGCTGCAGGACGACACATAACAAAATCTCGCAATAGACTGAAACCGTCCACAAACAGTACCTTGCTATTTGTAAACGCCAACAGAATCAAGTATTTTCTGCAGCACTGAACACGATACGTATGTCTTGTTTATTCCTTATTATTCTTAGTCCTTTTTACTTTTTACACTTTTTGGTTTCTGTTTCTAAAAATCCTGTTGTGTTAGTCGTTATTATGATTGTTATGTTACCTAACTTTTAGGTATATAAAAATAATATAATATTATTATGTTGTTATGTTTAGAATAATGTTTGGTTGAGTATTAACTACAACACTAAAAAACAAAAACAGTATTAACGAGTAACGACATATTATTTTTTTATGTAGTTTGTGTAATAGTATGTAGTTTGTACTTTTGTATTTTATTAAACGATTACGACCCTATTTTAATAGTTATAATATTTTTTAAACGGGTAATTTTCGGGTATCGGAGTCATTCTCGGGTATCGGGTCATTCTCGGGTATCGGGCCATTTTCGGGTGACGGGTCATTTTCGAGTAACGGGTGATACCCGGGTAATAGTTTCGGGTATCCGGGTAGGAATAATTTCGGGTATCGTCATCACTAGTTAAAAGGCACTGGTTAAAAAAAATAAAGTTAAAGTTAGTTAATCAACTTTTAAGGTATAAAATTCAGCAAGTATTACTATTAATAAAAGATTTTGTTTTATTTATTCCTACTTTATTAAAAAAAATATATATTTGTACATAAGTTACATTGGTAAATATAATAATAAATGCAGGAAGTTTCTTGAAGCTTGAAAGTAAAAATAATTCTATTTTTAATTAATTTATTATTTTTTTATTTTCTTTAAATTTTAAATTAATTTCTTAATATTTTCTTTATATATGTAAAAGCCTATAAAGGTATTTATCGCATATGTCAAAATTCAAAATGCTTTTTTTTTGTTATTTGGCATGATGCCCACAATTTGATTATAAACCTTTTTCCAATAAGTCGATAATAAAAAATTTCCTATTTGTTGTGAACTTTTAACAACACCCTGTACAAACCTACTTACCAATTTTCAAATACTATTCTTGCGGGCCATAACTGATCCCGATCTTGCTTATAATACGCTTGTGTAAACATAGGTCTGCCTATTTTTCTTGTTCCATGATATATTTGACCTGATATGAAATAAGTTTCATGTTCCCATTTTGCACTTGGCCTGTATATTGCGCATATTCTTACTATTAAAGAGTCTGCGATATCACCTACCATCCTTGCTGCTAAAATTAAAGAATATATCGGTATATGAATTGGAGAAAAATTAAGAATCATATCTTACGTTCTGAAGCTATAGATGACTTAACCTCAAAATTAACTGCGAATGTTCTACAATACATTTCAATCAGACTCTGAATAGCAAACCGAACTTTATTGCAGCCCGTCCTAACTGCATCAGAAAAGCTTTCACGAATCTAAAAATAGTATTTTGTTACAATATATTTGTATTTACGCAAAAGTTTGGTATATCTGCTACTGAAACAGAAATAAAAATACACAAAATAATTATTATAAAGAAAGCGACAAAAAAATCGCCTCACGTTATTGAATGTAAAGGTTTAAGCAGAATTATTTTGGAATGCCCAGCAACAAACAATATTATGACATTTTAGAGGTGTGTAGTTCGTGAACGAACTAGTTCTAATGAACTATTCCAACCCCGGAACGAAAGGATCTAGTTCCAGGTTTCTTAAAAGACTAGTTCCTCAGGACCTATTCCGAGGACCGAGATAGTATAATCACAGAAGAGGAGATGCGACGCGACGGTGACGTAGCGGCCAGCGTGATCGTAGCTCGATGCTAGGCGGGAGTGGGAGGTACCAGCTGTATGTTATCGGTCCCGGACTGAAAGGACCGAGAGGAACTAGATAAAAGACTAGTTCACGAACGGATCGGCCAGCGCGATCGTAGCCCGATGCTAGGCGGAAGTGACGAGTGTCAGCCGTATGTTACAGGTCCCGGACCGAGGGGAACTAGAGGAACTAATTAAAAGTCTAGTTCACGGGAATCTATTCAGTCCGTAGCGTCGAGATATAATACAAAGCGACGACGACGGATTCGGCTTTGTCTATGTCCGCGGAAGGCATAATTACCACAGAAATTTATCGTGGATACTGTTTTTAATTTTTAGTTTGTTCTTTGAATATTTTATGAGAATGTTTCATTTTAGATCTGTTTGAGTTTCTTGTTTAATTTTTTGTTTTTATCTGCAATAAAATTTACCTATACTCTGTTTTTTTTTCTCAGGTAAGATTTCGATAGACGATGGCAGAAGAAAAGCAGATGACGTCCCATACCAATCTATTTATTTTACTAAAAAAAGTTTCTAATAATTTTTAAATTAACTATGGATGGGTTTAAATATAAATCCGTCATGCGTCGCGTCTTGTTGTTTTTAACTAGTTTTATTGGTTTATTTAAAAAATGACAGTTCGTATTTCAATTTTATTGGTTTGACGGAACGATGAACGACAAACGGACGCCGATGCGTATGAACTCGCTTTTAGATTTTTGTCATTTTTGACGCTTGTCAAAGTCTTGCCAAATTATAGGTTATAATTTTGTGTCAACTTTTGTCAAATACCCTGCGTTTTGGAAGATGATACATTTTGATTTGTATTATTACGTGTGTTTTGTGTCTTTTGAAGTCAAGTGGAGGAAAAATGGAGTGAAAATTAATAACTGTAGACCCAGAGTACAGTTTATGGTTAATACTCGCTGCCCAGGCAGAAAGCCTTATACACCAATGAAGTTACCATCGATAAAGTTTGTATACCATCTCGTCGTAGATAAGTGCATCTCGTATATGGTAGAAGGATCATACTAAACACATACTAAAAACTGGAGTAGCTGGAAAATATCGACATCACACGATAGGTAAATAATGGATTTTAGTATTGCAGAAAAATAATGTCAAAAGGTACTGGTTTAAAAAAATTAAGATTAAAGTTAATTAATCAACCTTTAAGGTATAAAATTTGGTAAGTGTTATTATTAATAAAACAGTTTGTTTTATGTATGTTGTTTTATTTATTCCTGTCTAATATTACAAATTTGTATATGTACAAAAATTATATTGATAAACTAAATATAATCATAAATGTGGGAAGGTTCATGAAGCTTGAAAGTAAGAAATAGTTCTTTTTAATATATATTTTAATATAATATTTTTTTGGTATGTGGTGTTTTGTTCTTGTTTGTTTTATATTATCACATACCGTTTTTTCGTTAAATAAAATAACTCGATTACATTTTTTCAGTTTTATACAGTTTTTTCACAATATTTTGAAGTAATCACTTGTCAGTCAAATTTTAAATATATTAATTTCCTGCTATGCGTTCCAGTTCTACCAACTTATTTCTTTGTAAAATAAAATAAACTACTTTGAAATTAAAATGACAGACACATCTATCACTGTCAAGGATCTTGTCGTTGGACAGACTATATATGATTTTAATCTATGCAATTACACGTCTCGTTATATTTCGTAAATTATAAAAATTATACAGATCATACTATGAATCGTTCCGACTTATAACGAAACGAGCAAGCAACGGGGATGTCAGTGTTAGTGAGGAACTAATGTGAACTAAGGACCTAGTTCAAGGAACTAGAATTCCCACCTCTATGAGATGTCATGCGACAACGTGCCAATTCAAAGAGAAATGTTATTTAGAATTTGGTTTTACATCTATATACCAAGTACCATAAATATACAAAAAAGTCTTTCGAAAATTATCAGTTATTAACTTTATTTTATTATGCCGCAATAAATTGTTGTTTATAAAATATTTGTTTCAGTGGCGATATATCCAGAATTTTGCAGTAATACATTCGACACAGATGTATGACCATTAGTATAATATCAAGATTTTAAATCTTAATAAAATTATATAAGTATTCTTGCCACTTAACTGCTGATATAGAAATTTAATTATACGCTGTGTTTGTCATAATGTGGATCAACCTGCTCTCACTACCGGTTTCGGAGCCCTACTCCATCATCAGGTGAGCTTGAGCAGACCCACAAAATGACAACCACAGCGCAGAGATAGTTAATTCCGACTTGTCGGAAAGTGTCAGTTAGATATAAGCAAAGAATATCTTAATACCCTAGAAGTCTCGTCTCGCATCAAAATCTGACCTGTCGATGGGGCCTCGCTTTGGCGAGCGAGGCCCCATCGCTATTTTGCTCGGAATTGAACGAATAGACGCGCGGCGTTGCCTTGTTTTGTGTGTACTTTCTTGAATAGTTTTAAATTATAGTTTTAAATTGCATCTATTGCTATAATCAGTCTTTCCGCTCTCCGCTCTCCGCACTCCGCAGTTTTCATATAATATTATCTATATAATTCCCGTGTTACAGTTTTGGTTACCGTACTCCTCCGGAACGGCTTAACCGATTTTGATGAAATTTTATATGTATATTCAGTAGGTCTGAGAATAGGTAGTTATATATTTTTTATACCCTTAAGTGATAAGGGTAGTCCACCCCCATTTTTTTATTTTGTGAAAAAAAAAATATTTTTTTTATTTGGCATTAAAAAATACAAACAACACTAAATTTTCACCGTTCTACCTTCTTGTTTTTACTACCATACTTGTTTTTTTAATTTTTTGTTAACATCTCCGAAACGGCTTAACCGATTTTGATAAAATTTTATATGTATATTCAGTACGTCTAAGAATAGGTTGTTATCTATTTTTATACACTTAACTGATAAGGGTAGCCGAGAGGGTAGCCCACCCTCATTTTTTTAGTTTTTGAAAAGAAAAAAATGTTTTTATTTTTTTATTTGGCATTAAGAAATACAAACAACCCTAAATTTTCACCGTTCTGCCTTCATCCCCTATTTTTTAATAGGGGTTGTTTTTTTAATTTTTTGATAACATCTCCGAAACGGCTTAACCGATTTTGATAAAATTTTATATGTATATTCAGTACGTCTAAGAATAGGTTGTTATCTATTTTTATACCCTTAACTGATAAGGGTAGCCGAGAGGGTAGCCCACCCTCATTTTTTAGTTTTTGAAAAGAAAAAAATGTTATTATTTTTTTATTTGGCATTAAGAAATACAAACAACCCTAAATTTTCACCGTTCTGCTATCATCCCTTATTTTTAATAGGGTTGTTTTTATGTTTTTTGTTGCCATCTCCGAAACGGCTTGGTCGATTTTGATGAAATTTTATATGTATATTGAGTAGGTCTGAAAATAGGTTGTTATATATTTTTTTATACCCTTAAGTGATAAGGGTAGCCCACCCCATTTCTTTTTTTTTTTTTTGAAAAAATATTTTAATTTTTTTTTATTTGGCATTAAAAAATACAAACAACACTAAATTTTCACTGTTCTACCTTCATCCCCTATTTTTTTAATAGGGGTTGTTTTTAATTTTTGTTAACATCTCCGAAACGGCTTAACCGATTTTGATAAAATTTTATATGTATATTCAGTACGTCTAAGAATAGGTTGTTATCTATTTTTATACCCTTAACTGATAAGGGTAGCCGAGAGGGTAGCCCACCCTCATTTTTTTAGTTTTTGAAAAGAAAAAAAATGTTTTTATTTTTTTATTTGGCATTAAGAAATACAAACAACCCTAAATTTTCACCGTTCTGCTATCATCCCTTATTTTTAATAGGGGTTGCTTTTTTTATATTTTTTTTGTTGCCATCTCCGAAACGGCTTGGTCGATTTTGATGAAATTTTATATGTATATTGAGTAGGTCTGAAAATAGGTTGTTATATATTTTTTATACCCTTAAGTGATAAGGGTAGCCCACCCCCATTTCTTTTTATTTTTTGAAAAAAAAATATTTTAATTTTTATTTGGCATTAAAAAAAAAAATACAAACAACACTAAATTTTCACTGTTCTACCTTCATCCCCTATTTTTTAATAGGGTTGTTTTTAATTTTTGTTAACATCTCCGAAACGGCTTAACCGATTTTGATAAAATTTTATATGTATATTCAGTACGTCTAAGAATATGTTGTTATCTATTTTTATACCCTTAACTGATAAGGGTAGCCGAGAGGGTAGCCCACCCTCATTTTTTAGTTTTTGAAAAGAAAAAAATGTTATTATTTTGTTATTTGGCATTAAGAAATACAAACAACCCTAAATTTTCACCGTTCTGCTATCATCCCTTATTTTTAATAGGGGTTGTTTTTTATTTTTTTTTGTTGCCATCTCCGAAACGGCTTGGCCGATTTTGATGAAATTTTATATGTATATTCAGTAGGTCTGGTTTGGTTTGGTTTGGTCACAACCTATTCCCAGGTTATCTATTTTTTATACCCCTAAGTGATAAGAGTGGTCCCCAACTTTTTTTTATTTTTTAGACAAATTTTTTTATTTTAATTGTTTTATAGGGAGTGCTTATTTTTTAGGGGGTGCATGTCCAAAATTTTCTTCTGGGTACTCACTTTCATCACTTATGGGACCTCTGTACAAAATTGCATACTCCTAGTCCTAGAACGGATTTTACATAAAAATTACACAAATTTTTACCCTTAGTTTTATCCCCTTAAGAAATGAATTCCAAAAATCGTTCTAATTATTCAATTACGCTACATAATAAACCTCTGTGCAAATTCTCATATTCCTTGAACAGAATTTATTGTTCCAGAACGTCCAACCCCTCATTTCACACCCTTAGAGGGCGAATTTCCAAAAATTGCTTCTTAGTGCTAAATTACGTTACATAAGGAACGTCTGCAAAATTCATACTTCTAAAACCGATTTTAACAAATTTTTGTACAAATTTTCATCCCTTATTTTTTAGGGGATGCATGCCAAAAATTCGCATCTAGGTACTCACTTTCATCATTTAAGGGACCTCTGAACAGAATTTCATACTCCTAGTCCTAGAACGGATTTTACATAAAAAATTATACAAATTTTCACCCCTAGTTTTACCCCTTAAGGAATGAATTCCAAAAATCACTCTAATTATTCAATTACGCTACATAAGGAACTTCTGTGCAAATTTTCATATTCCTTCAACAGAATTGTTTCAGAACATTCACCCCTCATTTCACACCCTCAGAGGGCGAATTTCCAAAAATCGCTTCTTAGTGCTAAATTACGTTACATAAGGAACGTCTGCAAAATTCATACTTCTAAAACCGATTTTAACAAATTTTTGTACAAATTTTCATCCCTTATTTTTTAGGGAATGCATGCCTAAAATTCGCTTCTAGGTACTCACTTTCATCATTTAAGGGACCTCTGAACAGAATTTCATACTCCTAGTCCTAGAACGGATTTTACATAAAATATTATACAAATTTTCACCCCTAGTTTTACCCCCTTATCCTTCAACAGAATTGTTTCAGAACGTTCACCCCTCATTTCACACCCTTAGAGGGCGAATTTCCAAAAAGTGCTACTTAGTGCTAAATTACGTTACATAAGGAACGTCTGTGCAGAATTTCATACTTCTAAAACTGATTGTAACAAACTTTTGTACAAATTTTCATCCCTTATTTCTAGGGGATGAATGTCAAAAATTAGCTTCTGGGTACTCACTTTCGTCACTTAAGGAAACTCTGTACAAAATTTCATACTCCTAGAACTAACATTTTTTGTACAAAATTTCACCCCCCAGTTTCACTACCCTTAGGCTATACATTTCCAAAAATCGCTTATCAATGTTCAAATGCGCCACATCTGTGCAAAAGTTTCATACTCCTAGTAGATACATATTTTTTTTGTATAATTACACCCCTTTATCTAGTTATTCGACCCCTTATGGGTCGAATTTTAAAAAATTACTTAGTAGTGCTCATCTTAGAGAACGAATTAATATTCTCTGTATTTACTCCAGTTTCCTAATACTAGCACAGATAACACATAATCATACTAGTTAATTTTTTATTGGAATAGAAGTAATTTTTATTAGAAGATACAAAAAAATTAAAAATCTAAAATTTTATTTTCATAGCTACGTTTTTATGATGCGTCGTACTAACGAATAGGAAATATATAATCAATACATATTTCTTTAAATATCGAGAAATAAAATATGTTTTGGCAACACCGTACGAAATATCGCCGCGCGTAGTCCTCAAAATTTAAAATATTAGCATTTTCAGGCTTCGATTATGTTCAAAAGCGCCACCGTATGTCAAATCACTAAAGCTTCCACACGAGAGTTCTTAAAACTATAATATTCTTTGATATAAGTCCCAAACGGGAGATAGCGGCCTGCGTGCAATGGTAGTACTTTCGTACCACCGAGGCGCACTATCAATAGTAAAAGGATGGTAAAAGGCTTTTTTTCAGGCAAGCCAAATTATAAAATAGAAAACAAATTTCTTGCAGTATAGGTATATAATAAAATTATATAAATATTCTTGCCACTTAACTGCTGATATAGAAACTTAATTCTAGACGAATCTAAAAGAATTACATTTCTATATTAGCAGTTAAGTGGCAAGAATACTTATATAATTTTATTATATACCTATACTGCAAGAAATTTGTTTTCTATTTTATAATTTGGCTTGCCTGAAAAAAAGCCTTTTACCATCCTTTTACTATTGATAGTGCGCCTCGGTGGTACGAAAGTACTACCATTGCACGCAGGCCGCTATCTCCCGTTCGGGACTTAATATCTAACCGACACTTTCCGACAAGTCGGAATTAACTATCTCTGCGCTGTGGTTGTCATTTTGTGGGTCTGCCCAAGCTCACCTGATGATGGAGTAGGGCTCCGAAACCGGTAGTGAGAGCAGGTTGATCCACATTATGACAAACACAGCGTAGAATTAAATTTCTATATCAGCAGTTAAGTGGCAATAATACTTATATAATTTTATTATATACCTATACTGCAAGAAATTTGTTTTCGATGTTAAATCTTTATACTCTAGCATTACTTAATACATATTAGGTTTTAAAAAATAGTTATATTTATGGTACATTGAGAACTAAACTTACATTATGTGGATTATGTGGACCCTGGCACAAATTGACTAATTCATCCACTGACTGCATGATATCAATCGTACTTAAATCGCCCATTAAGTTTATGATACATTTGACGGATTGTCTCACTTTGAGCGGTTGCAATTGAGGTAGAAACGTTGGATTAATACTTCTTTCAGTTTGTTCTGCTTGTTCTTCTATTTTGTTCATTTCACTCTCGAGAGTTTCTAAAATACATATAATCGTCTTGCTTCTGAACTGATCTAATAATAAACTCATTATTACCTAGTAAAATTTTTAAACTGTCATAAGTTATATTAGATACTAATTCACTTGGTACAACTTTTTCAAAGGTTAAGTCTTTATCTCTATAATCATCCTGAAGCTAAAAATTAATAATTAATCAAAATATTGCAATAATTATGGTGGTGATTACATTTGATCTAAATTCAAATGTCATACACGTATCGTTTCAGGAAGGTAACGTTTTGATCAGAAAATATTATTTAGTGGTTTTATTAGCGATGGGAACTATCGAATGAATTAGACTATAGAATGGTTACTGAATGAATGATTCATTCAGTAACCATTCATTCAATAGTTCATTCATTTGTATACTAGCTTTAGTATACAAATGCTAGTATACATATGCTTATATGTGAAAACCTCGTCGTGCGACTAAATGGTTATCAAAAATGTCTATACCTATATTTTTGAATTTTTTTGGAGAGATAAATGGTTATCGTTGAGCCACGACTATCCAATTCCTTTGGGAAATGAAATATTTAGTAATTAGTTTGATTTTTGTGTGCATCAGTGCTTTATTTTATAACTTCGCCTTGTAAATACTGTGCGATTTTTGCGTTTATTAAAATATGTACTAAAATAGTAGTTTTTTTTAAAATTGATATTTGTGTGCGTGTGCAGGTGGTCAAAATTTTTCCGAAAATTTGTGTGATTTTCCGTAGCTCGATCTTTCTATTATTTACTTTTATATGGTATATGGTCTATTTTTTTAATGAAAAATTTTGAGAAGTAGCAGTTTTTAAGAGAGATGAGATGAAGTTACAATTAATTTAAAAATACATATTTGTATTTTAGATGTTTTAATAATATGAATTAGTTGAACTTAATAATCATATTTAAGTAATGTGGTTATCGAACTCAAATTTTGGGGTCAGAAAATTAAATTGAAAGTTTTCGATTTAATAACAAGCCGAACAATTTCCTTAATTTTAAGGAGTTCTTTAAAAAGTTTCACATGTTTTACTGTAAAATAAAATAGGGAAAACTTATTCATCCCTTTTAAAAGTTACATGGAATATTTCCTATGTTCAGGTCGGAGATGCAACACAGGGTATTGAAAAGTATGAAAATATTAATTATGCGCAAAAGGATTATTACTTACCGTACGTGCAAAAGATTTATCTTTCATGACATCAGGAATAAGAATTAGAACTACATCTTCGTCTAACTTGATACAGTTATGAACGTATTCGTAATCGGATAACAACGTCGTAGGTACCAAATACTCGTTAAAACCACAAACCTTAAGAGTATAATTTTGATGTGTTGGCGCTTCGAGATCGCAGACTAATTGTAGTGTAACGTGATCAACACTAGATGTTACTAGAAAATTATTTTAGCAAAAAATAATCAAAAAATATTAATAGGGAATTTGAAAATTTAAATAATTCTTACCGTCACATGTAAAAGTAACTGGCTTATTAAAATCAGCACCCTCAAAATCTGGATGGACTTTAAGTTTTATACTAAGACCATCATTGTATTTATAATTAACCATTGGGCTTATGACCAAACCCATATTCGAATCTGGGTCATTATATTTGTAAGAATCTAAAATTAAAAAAAAAACAAACAATAAAAACACTATTATTTTAATAATGTTACAAAATAGTAATAGCATTGAATGTGGTAGACAACGATTCGGTATTGAAACTAAAAGAATTTCGAACTTCCATTGACTTTATTTATTTTTGATTAAAACAACGTTTCGGTCAGAAGGATCACTGACCATTATGAGCTAGCAACGTTTTGGAGAAAGTATTTTTAGAAAGCTCGCTTATTACATATCTTTTACTATGGCTTTGACATATCTTTTAATATGCTCTCTGGAACAGCATGCGGCCTATCTGGCTGCCGATACTCGTTGCTCACTACTGCGCATAGGGAGAAGATCCTACATTTTTTTTATATAGTCCGTTAAATTCTAGTATTGAAGAAATTTCGAACAAGCCTCCATAGCGCAGCGCGTAGAGTTTCCGACTACGAACCGAGGATTCAGAGTTCGAGACCGGGTCAGGACAAAAACTTTTTTATTTTATTTTCGTTTATATTCTGATAGTAATTTAATTAAATTTTTCTTTAATGACCAGAATTATTTAATACTTTACTATCAGAATATAAACAAAAATAAAATAAAAAAAAAGTTTTTACCCCGACCCGGTCTCGAACTCTGACTCCTCGCTTGATGGGCGGAACCTCTACATGCTGCGCTATGGACACTCGCTCAGTTTATATTCAAAGCTAGAATTTAAAGGACTAATAAAAATATAGAATCTTCTTTCAATGCGCAGTAGGGAACGCAACGTTTACCGCCAGCCAGACGGGCCGCATGCTGTTCCAGAGAGCATAGTAAAAGATATATTAAAGAGCCAGCTTTCTTAAAATACTTGTTTTCCCGACGTTGCTAGCTCTCGTACTATATTGATTACAAACTACGTCTGATTATATTGATTATTAAATCAATGAAGATGAGAAAAAGTGTCTTTAATTACTGACTGACACTAATACAATAACATATTTTGCTAGCCAGTGAAACATTCCAATTCAAATGAAAAAATATAAAATTGGTAAATGTTTCCAAACGAATTGTCCATACGTTCAATTCTTAATGCGCTTGCGCAAAGTGAGGTCCTCGGTATAAAAATGGAATGTCGTGATGATCCAGACACCCTTTCTAATTTTAATGTTATGGAGTTGATTTTTATATATGATCTAGGCTACACACCGGTCTGATACATGATACAAAGAAACCAAGGTATGATCGATAGCGGTACCAATTTCGTTCAGTTTGTGCATATCACCTGTGACGTAACTACGCCATACAAAAAAATTGACGCCGGGAGGCACGTATAGCCGCCCATACTAAAATATGTTAATACAAAGTTGGTAGGCAGTTCTTTTAGTTTCAAAGTAAAGGAATTTTTCCAATTTTGGTCCGCGGTTATTTCCCCTATCCGCCACCTGGGGTCGCGTCCGATAGGAGTTTGGCGTTCTCCACACGGATTATCTCAAAAACGGACTACGGAAACACGGAATATCTCAAAAACTGCGACTTTGACTGATTTTGATGTTATTACAAATTTTGTTGCAAATATTCCTAATCTTCAGTTTTTGGTTAAAATCGGTTTATCGGTTTTTAAGTTATCGTGTTACAGACGGACAGACAGACAGACAGAAACCATGAAAATATTTTGTATTTAGGTCATTTATGACCCAACTAACTCATTTTGAGTGAAATTAAAAAAAAACTTTTTTTTGCCGATCTTAATAGCCGACCATACCAACAGGTATGGTAGGCTATTAAGATCGGCTATAAAAATCTACATTGTTCAACTGCCACTAATAAAAAAAGACCTAAAATAGGGAAGAATTAGGACGTAACCTCAAAAGTTACTATGTCAAATCATTGAGTTTGATATTTGAAAAGTTATTTTCGCATTTAGTGTCATCAGTTTGATGATTTGAAATTGGCGACCAATGGTGTTGATATTACCTGTGACGTAGTGACCATCCTGCGCAATATCATACCTTGTTTTCTTTGAATCATGGATCTTATAAACGTTTATAAACATGTTGTGCGTACGGTGTGTACGCGCTTTAAAATTTCACATAACCAGTATTATTTCAATGAGAGAAACATTTTAGTTGCTGTTAAATATTATTTAAATTAATACTCACTTCGGACCCTGTAAACCATATTGTAAAAAGCTTTCAAATCAGGATCAGTAGTTAATGATTTGCTGTCATTCTGAACTATTTCATCTAGAAGATTTTTCTAAAACAATAAAGTAAATTCTATATTTCAGTTTATGCAACATAATGATTTAAATCAGTGACAGATTAACAAAATACCAGCTTATAATATTTATCATATACACAAAAAAATTGATTTAAGGTAAAGTCTATCCAGCAGAATAGACAACATTCAATTCAAAAGTAAATCATTTTGTTTAGTTCTTTGAATAAAAAGATTAAGGAAGGAGCATATCAAAAAACTTAACCGAACGCGATAGGGCCCAAAAATGGCCCACTTATATTCCGATTTATTTTATTCAAAACGTGTAATAATATAATGTAGGGTTGACTCATTAATTTGTTGTGTTTGTTTGTTTTACGTTGTCAATAAATAATGTTGGTAGTAAAATTGTTACAAAAATATATAATTCTAATAAAAACAGATTAGTTATAATCATTTTTATTAACACAAACATCCGATACGTTACTGAAGCAGGTAAGTCAAACTGGCGCACATAGGTCATTTTATGTATTTTAGGAATTAATAAATAAAAATATTGAATGTCGAAAAAAATATTTTTTTATATTTCATCTTGGAGCTAGGGCCCCATAGATATTATTTCTGCAATATTATATTTTAATATTAACAGAGGTGGCCATGGCGAGAATGACAATATCAAAGTTTGTTTGAATTATTTCGCATTGTAAAATTACTGTCATTAGTTCATAAAGTTTCGAATTTTGTTGTTACGAATAGAAAGTGAGTTTAAAAAGTAGTGTTGTGTTATTGTGTACCATAAGGTAAGATTTATTATTAAAAAAAATAATATCCGTGTAAAAAGCTTGTGACTTGGAAAAGATACAATGTTTTAATAATAAGAAAAAAATAGTTTTTTTTTCATAACCTTGTATTTAAAAAGGTTTATAATTCAGGATTTATACAGATTTATTTCAAGAACATTTTTTTCGTATTCACAATCTTTTTATCAATTAATTTATCCTAAATTTAGCTGCCAAGATGTGCCAAGAGAATAAATATATATTGTTTTAGGTACCATGTCAATAGAAAAATCTCTTTGGTTTTCTGCTTGGTGTGAAGGCAATTCTTTGAAGAAAAAAAATGCATCTGTTTTGCGATTTGTTCTGAATACGCTAAATTTAGGGCAACATGATGGCGACGAACATTATAATAAAATAGTGAAAATTATTAAAAAATTAAATTATTATTATTATTACTCTTTGTCTAAATGTGTGGGAGCACGGTCAAATAAGGAACCACTTATCAAAGAGGTTCTTAATTTACTTCGAGGGCGTACTTTACAGGCATCAGAGTTAGGACAAAATGATGAAAATATTAGTCAGGATGATGATGATCATTATTGATGATTGAATATTATTGTTACATAAATTTCTCTAGTAAAATAGTTTTATTATCATTTTATTTTATTTGTTAAATGTTTTAGGCTGCTTTTTTCATTGTTCAAGCTAATTTTTACTTTCAATTACTAATACAGTACATCTTCTGTAAACCTTCTAGATACTAATAAATTCACTTACAAAAAGTAAGGAACTACAGTTTTTGTTTGAGTTCGATATAATAAAATGAAAAAAAAATAATATATTTCGTAAGACACCCTGTACAAGCATAAAATGAAACAAAATATCATTATTCCACGCATTTATTTATTTTCTTACCAAACAAATTATTTTTGTTTTAAAAAATAATTTAAATTTTAAAGGTATTATTTATTACCGCCTAAATTGGCGAAAATGACCTATGTGTGGCGTGTCTAAATTCTTTGACAAGTATCCAATCTTTGACAAGTAGTAAATAAAAGCAAAAATGCAAGAAAAAATACATAATTAAATATTTTAGTGAATTTCATAAATGATCGGTTTACTACTCGTATGTATACTATATAGTCACTTACTAGTGAAAAGTTATTCAATTAAAAATAAAATCCCTGGATTTTTGACCGAGATCTACCGCACGCTACACAACCAACTATTTTACAGTTTTTTTCAATAAATCGCAATAGTGTCAGTGTTAATTTAAGTTCTGTGACAATTTCCTTTTAGATTTACTACCTCTAAACAGCAAAGACTGACAAATCCACAAAATTTCAAATCAAATTCAAATGTGTCTAATGAACGGTCAAAACAGTACTGTCAAGGATCCCCACCCTAGGGTCCTACTTCTGTTACCATGCATAAATACATGGATAGCATTATACTCTGTTTTAACAGTAACAGTTTAGCAGTCGTACGATAAGGTTGTGTTACCGTTCGTGCGTTTTGTCGGCCGGTTATTGAACGTTTGTTTTGTTTTGATTTGTTTTTGTTCCTGACCCGAAATCAACTCAAAGTTCACTGTTCGTTTAAACTTGACATTGTTTACTTGTGTTAGTTTTTTGCAACCTTAATTGAACATTTTTCGGCGTACTTGTTTCCGGTGTGCGTGAGTTTTAGCTTGTTTATATTTCCGAATTTTATTCAGCTGTCATCGACTTTTATTAATATTATTAATCATTTACATTATTATGGCTGAATTTAAGTGCGATTCTTGTCAAAAAATCCAAAAGGACAGTTATAAGGTTCGCTGTAGTGGAGAGTGTCGAAGAAGTTTTTGTATGACCTGTACAGGACTGGATAAGGCAACAACAAAGGTGCTATGTCAACAAAAGTACCACAATGTTAGATTTTTCTGCACTGTCTGCGATTCCCCTACATTAAAATATGTTCATGATAGAATTACACAGCTTCAAGAATGCCAGGTCCAACCAGAAATCATCGAAGCACTAGGATTCTGTTTAAAAAAAATATGGACATTTTTCCAGTCATAACTGAAATGTATGACATGCTGAGTGACCACGATTCCAAGTGGAAAATTTTACTCAAGAAAATTGATGACATATCCAGGATATCAGATACCACATAAGAATCCTTATCTAAGTCAATAAATGAGATAAAGCAAGACACCTTCAATTTATCATCAATTTTAATGGACAACCATGATGGGTCTGTTAAAGTCCAAGTTCATGACCCATCTAAGGAAGAAATGGCGAAGGAAATGGCTGACCTTAGGCAGAGCATTAAACAAATGTCGCTCACATTGGAAAAGCTTGTTACAAGGGATAAGACCTGTACAAATCATAATATGCAGCGGAAAAAATCCATTTCAACGCAGACGGGCCCTATAGATCACCAAAATAGTACTTTAGATAGTACTTTAGCTTTTATAGATTCGCCAAAAAAAATAGTTTCACCCAAAATAGTGTCATCGCAACCTCCTAAGGCCGCCATAAGAGAAGACTGGAATTATGTGGTGGTGTCCAGAATTCCACCTCCTTACACAGCGAATCAACTTGCGCACTATGTTAAAGAAAAACTAGGAACCACCGACTTCATCAGATGCTTTCCAATGCTGAAAAATAAGGACAGTTCCCATTCCGATTTCAAAATTGGAGTGCAAAAGAGGTGTCACTTGGTGCAGCTTAAGGACATAAATATGTGGCCGCCGGGAACCATAATAGATTCAACCTCAACATCCTTAAGCCAAGCTTCGTTTACTTCTTCGGTTGAACCTGCTCAAAATCTCAAAATAAACATCATTGAGAACCGCAAGCTACCTCACCTACTTGACCCACCACTGGCAACTATGCCAAGGGAGGTAAGAACTATTAAGATTGGGTCTGACAGGGAGGCTATAGCTGCTTGCAAGTCCCTGGCGATGGAAAATCCAGAAATTATTGTGCAGGGAAGTGCGAAGAGAGATGGTTTGGCAGTTATGGACCCGATGACCCCACCTATAGTACGGCTGTCTCAGGACTCAGATGCGGTAAATGGACGTTACGTGTTGGCCAGGTTGAGGGACCCCTCCATTTTGAAATCTCTTAGGCTATTCCTTGCCTATCTTCACGACCAACCATCCAGTGTGTGTTTTGAAGGACACACTAGTACCAGCATCAAATTGATGCTTGCATCAGAAGGGCTACCTAGTGACCTGGAGTCCTTGCGTAAGTTGTACTACCGCTTCCACAACGCCTATGGTATTGGTTCAACTGAAGTTGATGCAGATCTTTCAGCTTTCAGGTCATTCTTTTCTGCGGAGAGCCTTCTACGACTTCAAAAGATTAGGGAAAGTCATGGCAAATATTATTCCAGTGGCTCCCCAAATAAGAGTAAAAATTTTTAGTTGAATTGACGCGAACAGAGGATCAAGCACCCTCTGAAAAATTAAGCGATAGCAAGCTTGGTCTATTCCTTATTAATATTCAGTCCTTAAGACATAAAACAGATGAATTATATCTTTTACTAGAAGAGCTTGAATTTCCAGATATCATTGCCATAACGGAGCACTGGTTAAATTTTGATGAGCCTGTGTTTGTTAAAAATTATACCACAGTGGCTAGATTTAATAGAACAAATTTTTCTCATGGAGGTACTATGATAATGTCTTTAAACAACGACTTTTCCGGGGTAACTAGGTACAATGATTTGTTATCTGAAAAAGTATTCGAATTTTCCATTGTCCACCATAATGCTTATCACCTTTACATTATTTGTATTTATAGAACACCTGACTCTGACGTGCAATTATTCTGTCATAATCTACTAAGCTTGCTTGAGTCCCTGCCCTTAAAAAGCAAATTAATTTTGTGTGGTGATCTTAATATTGACTTTCTCAGTGTATGTGCTGCTCAGGAGTTTCTTCAGTCCATTTTTGATTCTTTTGGAATAGCCATGCATGTAGGCTCACCTACCAGAATATCCAATACCAGTTCTAGTACTATAGACTATGTTGTGTCATCTTTTGATCCTAACTCCATCACCTGCAACGTCTTTAGCTCGGGTCTCTCTAATCATGAAGCAGTTTTAACTGAATTTTCGATAAAGTCCAAAATCAAAAATGCCCCTCGTAAATCATGCCGTATTTTTTCTGAAAAGAATACTCAAAAGTTCAGACACTTATGTAAAATAACCAACTGGGATACTAGCTCTTATGATGCCGACACCGAATTTTCTATTTTCGTAAAAACATTAACCAGTCTAGCGTTTAAATCCTTTCCTCTTAGGCCTATAAAAAATAAGCATAATAAACCTTGGATCACTAAAGGTCTACGCATATCTTCTAAAAACATGCGTTCATTATCTCACTTAAAAAATTCTCAGACAGTCTCTTCTTCCACAAATACGTAAAACTATACAGAAAAATTTATCATAAGACTATAAGTGCCGCTAAGGACCTTTATTATAATAGGAGAATAGTCAATTATGGTAATGTTGCTAAAGAAACATGGTCTATTGTGAATGAATTGAGAAACAAAGCTTTTCTTCGTCTAGCAATATCTCTACCTCACCTGAGAACCTTAACGATTACTTTGTAAATGTAGCGAAAAACTTAACTAATACCATATGTCCTCCTCATGATCCACTTTCTTATCTCTCTAATGATATTTATTATAAACTTACACAGTTTCTTTTTTTCGTCCGTAGTTTTAGAAGAGCTTCGCAGTACAATTAATACCATCAAAAATAAATCCTCTTCTGGGACCGACGGGCTAACTTTAAAAATGTTTTCGAATCTGCCAGAGAGCACTCTGAATCACCTAACAACTTTAATAAACATGTCGTTCCAAAATGTCTTAAGACGGCAATAATTATTCCTCTGCATAAAGGAGGAGACAAAGATGAAGCTTCTAACTATCGCCCAATTGCACTCCTTCCAACGCTATCTAAGATCATAGAAAGGTTGGTTAAAAGAAGGCTGGTATCTTTTCTGTTTAAGTACAAAATACTGAATATCAATTTGGATTTCTAAGTAACAAGTCCACAAATGACGCTATGTTTTCCCTCCTTAATAAAGTTACTCTACAGCAACAATTTTCTGTGATTTTTCTAAGGCGTTCGATTGTGTAAATCATAAGATCTTAATTAATAAACTGCAGCACCATGGGTTCAGGGGATCAACTCTCGAATGGTTTAAGTCGTATCTGAGCAACAGAAGTCAACTTGTGAGGGTGGATACCACGTTGTCTTCTAGCAAGCCAATAGAATGTGGAGTACCACAAGGCTCAGTCCTATTTTGTTTCTTCTTTTTATTAACGACATTGCTAACATAAACATCAGTCGCAAAATATGTCTTTTTGCGGATGACACTAGCATCAGTTGGAGCAACAAGGACATCACGGCACTTCATAGGATTATATCAAATGACTTAATCACCATTAAATCTTGGTGCAATTCGAACCTCCTAAGTTTCAACATTTCTAAAACTAAAGCTTTGTCGTATAAAAACTCGTTGCAGCTTTTTGTACTTAACAACACCACCATTGACGTCGTCAAATCTGTAAAATTCTTAGGGCTTGTTGTGGACAATTCTCTGAAATGGGACATACATATGGAAGCTTTGTCGGAAAAATTGAGCTCTGCCTGTTTTGCATTAAGGTCTGTTTCTAAGGAGCTTAACTTGTCAGTGGCTAAAACTGTTTATTATGCACTTTTTGAGTCGCACCTCAGGTATGCCCTTCCATTCTGGGGTATGTGTTGTGCGACTCAATTTGACCGCATTTTCAGGCTCCAGAAGAGAGCTGTTCGATATTCACTGGGATTATACAGCAGAACTCATTGCCGGGACTTTTTAAAAAAATAAAAATATTGACTCTTCCTTCCTTATTTATATTTGAATCCGTTTGCCTAATACGTAAACATGTATCAGCTTCTCAAGAAAGGCCATCTCACACTTATCCACTCAGGAACGTGGAGCAAGATCATACCTACTATCATATCTACCTACCACACGCTCAGAGTTAGTTAAAAGTTCAATATTATACAACTCGACAAAAATGCACAATCACCTGCCATTTGAAATCAAATCCATAACATCATTTTTTTCATTTCGCAAAGAATTGAACTGTTATTTACTAGACAAGGCTTTCTACGCCCTAAAATGAATTATGTTTTGAAAATCGAATTTGATCTTGTAAACACTGGTCTAATGTTTGCTATTGCTATATTTACTAATGACATCGAAATAAATTTATTTAGAGGTCATTGATATTTTACTATAAACTAACTAAATATTTTTGAATATTATTTTTATTTTTTTGTTCTTTGACATTGTAAACATTTATAAATGTTTATTTTAAACAATAAGACTGACAATATTATTTGTATAATGTTTTGTATTATCTTTTGTTTGTTTGTTTGTGTACCTTGTTTTTTTACTTTGTTTGTTAGTTTACCTTTGTCTACAAATTGAAAAATTTTTTGACAATAAAGGCATTTATTTATTTATTTGTTTTTCTCAGATAAGATTTCGACAGACGATGACAGAAAAAAAGCAGATGACGTCCCATACCAATCTATTTATTTTACTAAAAAAAGTTTCTAATAATTTTTAAGTTAACTATGGATGGGTTTAAATATAAATTCGTCATGCGTCGTCTCTTGTTGCTTTTAACCAGTTTTATTGGTTAATTTCAAAAATGACAGATCATATTTCAATTTTATTGGTTTGACGGAACGCTGAACGGTAAACGCACGTCGATGCGTATGAACTCGCCTTTAGATTTTTGAGGCTTGTCAAAGTCTTGCCAAATTATAGGTTATAATTTTGTGTCAACTTATGACAAATATATGCGTTTTGAAAGATGACGCATTTTTCTTTTTGATGCACTTTTCTCCAAGTCAAGTGGAGAAAAAATCGAGGGAAAATTAACTGTAGACCCAGAGCACAGTTTATAGTTAATACTCGCTGCCCAGGCAGAAAGTCTTATACACCAATAAAGTTACCATCGACAAAGTTTGTATACCATCTTGTCGTAGATAAGTGCATCTCGTAGATGCTACAAGGATCGTACCACACATATACTAGTAGAGTAGCTGTAAAATATCGACATCACACGATAGGTAAATAATGGATTTTAGTACTGGAGAAAAATAATGTCAAAAGGTACTGGTTTAAAAAAATTAAGATTAAAGTTAATTAATCAGCCTTTAAGGTATAAAATTTTGTAAGTGTTATTATTAATAAAATAGTTTGTTTTATTTAAGTTGTTTTATTTATTCCTGTGGAATATTACAAATTTGTATTTGTGCATAAGTTATATTGATAATTATAATAACAAATGTGGGAAGTTTCTTGAACCTTGAAAGTAAGAAATAGTATTTTTTTATATTTTTTGGTATGTGGTGTTTTGTTCTTGTTTTTTTGCATTAACACATACCGTTTTGTTTTAAATAAAAAAACTCAATTAGATTTTTTCAGTTTTATACTGTTTTGTTTCACAATATTTTGAAGTAATCACTTGTTACTCAAATTTTAAATATATTAATTTCCTGCTATGCGTTCCAGTTGTATCAACTTATTTCTTTGTAAAATAAAATACTATTACTTTACTACTTTGAAATTAAAATGCCAGACACATCTACCACTGTCAAGGATCTTGTCGTTGGACAGACTATACTTATACTCCTTTCTTAATATTTTTATTCAAAGGTTTAGACGCTTCTTCAATGTCCAGTCTGTTCCCAATCACGCGTTGAATAAGTTTTTGTGTGTTAATGTTTGTAAACAGGTCACTTTTATATAATATAATCTCTCATCCGTCAGATTTACACTTGAAGTGAAACTATATTTCTTTATAATTATAAAAATAAAGCAAGTGAAAGTGTTTTTGTTTGCATTTAGTTGGAAAATACCTTTATCTTTTTAATTACACACTTAAATCTCGATTGTAGCTAAGGCCTTTTTCCTTAACACGGCAGTATACTCTATGAAATATATTATAGGGTATACTCTGACCAACAAGAAAATATATGACAGTGACAGTTGATTTTTATATCATTTTTTGCATGTCGTCTGTCAAAACGTCCCTTCTTCCAGTTGAACAGACTATTCTAAACCAATTAATCAATACAAGCCGGTCTTTAGTTTCTTTAAATATGTAGAGCATTTATTTAGCAAACATTTTATTACCTTAGTGTCTTTTGAAACTTTGTCAATGGACATGAGAGCCCTCGGTGGAATTGCAGGACTAGGAGAATGTGGAGAAGTTTCTATCACAGGCCTGTTTATAGTAGCATAAATATGATCTGATATGCTTGTGCCACAAATACTGTTATTTCCAGAACCTGTATATATGTAGTCGTAGTCGTTGTAGTACTCATTGTACACACTACCACAAACCGAGTAAGCGTCATCCCCTAAATAAAAATAAAGAAATGGCATTAAAATTAATATGAACTAAATCATTTTAGAACATATGAGAAGTAAATAGTCTACGATGATATTGTGTATTACCGTTGATTGAAGAAATAAGATGCGCAAGCTCATCGACGAATTCGTGACACAAAAGGTGTCCGCGATGTATCATGGCGTCAGGGTGTTCGAGATTTAGTTTAGGCCTGCACCGCTGCGCGCTGATCGTCGCTTGCAGCGCAGCGGGTAAAGAATACTGTACCGTAGTTCTACTTTTAGTCGACAGAGTGGGTGGTTGCCGGAGACAGTGTTGCCTGTACTACGGATTAATCCGTAGATTTGCGGATTTTAGGTACAGTACGTTAACAACACGGTTTTAGGTACAGTACGTTAATAAAAGCTAAGAATTTCCATCGCATGACTGGCCCATAGTCCATAGCGGGCAATATAATTATAATAATAAAGAAATATATATTAATCAAGATATTACAGTGCTTTTTGTTTCGTCTATTCTTTTACATGAAATAAAAAATCTGAAGGATAGAAATATTTTGTTATATTTAGAATATTTATTTTTGTTGTTTATTCTATGTATAACACGAATAAATTTTCAATACATAAACGCGGATTTTTCATCCAAAGATATTTTCGTCAAACATATTACAGATATTACACATTTTAAACTGGCGCTTTCAGTTCACTGTCGCTTTCAGTTCCACACCGTCTTCTGTATGCCTTTGCTGGCCGAATTAAAGAAAATGGGTGTTTTATGTGTTGGTCGCAGAACGAGTGGTGGCTCCACCGTATCTTCCCAATTCTTTCAATCAACGGTATTACCATATGATCGAAAAAAACGGATTCAGATCTGGCTTTGAAATAAAGATTGCTGTCATTTTATATACAAAATTATATGGTGTTTGTTTCTGAAGCTAACTTGATGCCATTTTTTTTTAATTGTACTGTATATTTGTATAAAAGCAAATTATAAATTAAAACTTTCTGTAAAGGTACAAAATCATTGTATTACAAATGTTTAGAAAACTGTAGTTATATATTTGAAAAAAAATTAAAGCAAAAATCTATCTTGTTTTCTAGACGTACATACAATATAAATTTAAAAAAAAACTATACTTTAGTTTATTGCTAACAAAATAATCAAAATCAGATTAGGCAACTAATTCAATCATTGATCGCTCCGTAGTTTACTAGTTCAATTTCCTAATGCAAGCTCAGCTAAGGATTCATTCGGACATATTCGTTTGTAAGAAGTAAATATAAAATTAAAAAAAGACATCTCTGAAAATATTCTTTTCGTAGTGTTACATAGTTTTACATGTTTACTTATCTTCATAAGTGTTGTTTCATTGTTTGTTCATTTATTTTCTGTTGTTAGACCTTTAAAAAATTTGTGTATCGAAATATTAAAAGTTACTAGAATATAGAGTGAGTGGGGCGTAATTTCTAGGTAAATTACTGTAGGTAAATTACTTGGTAACATTATTAGTGTAAGTAATCGACATCTGATATCTTGTAGGTTCAAAATTTAAATGCATCAATACTGCATATCACTATTATTAAGTTATTATATTTCTATTAACTGATTAATAAATACGCAAAGTAAAAAAAATATTTATATGTACAGGGTATCCCATTTTCCTGTATTATACAGGGTGGTCTGAAATGTATTCCGGAAACTTCGGCAGCATATTCCGCAGATAAAGATAAGTAAAAAAGTTCGTATATATGTATGTTCTAAATTGCTTAGTGTCGGAGATACAGGCTGTAGAAGTTTCGTTTTTTTTTCGATTTTTTCAAAATAATTTCTGAAGTAACGTCAGGATTTGGATTAAAATTGGTATCTAGAAGTTTTTTGACGTGAGACATTTGATTTTGATGTCAATATGAATCCTATTTGCAGGGGGCGCCACCTACATGTGTTTTAACTGTTTTGAAGAGTAATAACTTTTCGTCCGTAACTGTATAAAACTACTGAGTGAAAAAATACAAATTTCTGTGATATTTTACGGAAAAAATGTCTCTCGATAAAAATCGCTACGAGCAACCGTTCTCAAGATATTTAGAATGGAAGTAGTCAATACATGTCATTATTGACAAAAAGTAAACATGTTGAACATGAACATGAAAAGTAGATAGTTATTTTACTGAACTGATAAATTTGGGAACTTTTTATTTTTTTTAATTAATCATAATTTTTTCTTCGAAGAAATGATGATAAAGCAGTTTCGGTTGAACCGAAGTCATTTCAAATTTATGATTTCAGTCTAATAACTAATTAGTCAACATGTTTAATTTGTCAATGATGACAGGTATTGATAACTTCGATTCCAAATATCGCGAGAACCATTACTCGTAGCGATTTTTACCAAGAGACCTTTTTTTACGTAAAAAACGTCGGGAATGTATATTTTTTTACTCATTAGTTTTATACAGGTACGGATGAAAAGTTATTACTCTTCAAACCAATTAAAAAATATGTAGGTGGCGCCCTCTACAAGGAGTCATATTGACATCAAAATCAAATTGCTCATCATTGACGTTACTTCAAAAATTATTTGGAAAAAATCGAAATAAAAATGAAACTTCTACACCCTGTATCTCCGAAACTAAGCATTCTAGGACAAACATTTATAAGAACTTTTTTTCTTATTTTTATCTGCGGAATATGCTGCCGAAGTTTCCGGAATACAGTTCAGACCACCCTGTATATAAAGATGCGGTTTTCACATGTGCTTATTTTTTATGACACTAAAGTTGCTACACACAGATTTGCCCTAGCCCTCTTAGTTCCGGAAATACAGAGCTAATTTGAAAATTCTCAATTTTTCAATTCACCGTGTTATACAACGCGAAAATGGGACACTCTGTACAATTTTATTCCGGGAGAACCATTTTTTGAATAAAATTAAACAATAGCTTAATTATAAACCCATCAATTTAATATGAAAACTATATAAAACTTTCATCTCACAGACCATACTACTGAAGAATGTGGGTCATTTTTAACTTATATAAAAATATACCTGTTTTGTAGATTAAAAATAACACATTTTACTTTCATGCATTGATAATATTTTATTGTTACTCTTTCCGATAATCGACGTGCTATTGGAATTTGGCATTGAAAAAAAAAGAACTCTGATAAAATATAAAACTACGGTATAAAGATCTAAAGCCCCATCTACAAATAATAACGTTTTACCATAAAGTAAAAGCATGAGTGCAGACGAAAAAAAAAAGATTTTAATTAAATTGAATTAATCGTCTAGAGGACTACCGGGATTATTCAGTTTTATAACAAAACTGTCAGTTTGCTTACACTGAAAAGAATATAAGTAAATTTACCAAAAATAATTTAGGTATATTAGAGCATCTTTAAGAAGCGACGTTTAAAAATCCAGTATTTTTGCAGTTTCACAACATGTAAATTTCCAAAAAAAATTCTTTAGAGATATTTAATGATTATTACTGAATGATACTATGCCCACAATTAGCTTTGCTTGTTTACATTCCCGGTTTTTCTTTTCGACTTCACTAAATACAATGCTATAATTAATAAAACCGCAGGTAAAACCTGCAGCTTTGATCCCCCTCATTCAATGTCCTTTGACGACTTTCTGGCCCAATACAACAGCGGTGAGAAGGCTTGCTATGGTGTAACCAAAGAAGAACAACGAGACGTCTTTTCCGTGCCTCCCGATCTCGCTCCCGATTATTCGCTCGCTCACTGTGTGGCTCGAGATTTGCGAATGTTCAGAGGAATAGCTGCGACGTTCAATGAAAAGTTTGGGCGCGTCGGAGAACTACGCCGACAGGATCCAGACTTTGGAAGCATCTTGAGGCTAACCGACATTGCACATGGTCAAGCAAGACACATCTTCTACCTGGTCACCAAGGAATGGTCACCGAGTAAGCCGAGTTTTCTCAATCTATAGAAGACCCTGATTGAACTGAGCTGATTAAACAACATTATACGATTAGCCATTCCGAAGCTGGCGTGTGGACTCGATCGTTTGAGTTGGCGTACAATCCAAATCATGATTGAAGTCCTGTTTAGATTTACGGGAATCGAGATCCTTGTTTGCTGTTTTCGAGCTCCTTGTTTGCAATTGCTATTTTCGTCGTATCGTCAAGTAATTTGAATATACCACATATTATTTAGTAATATACCACATACTATTCCAAATAAGATCGGAAAGACATACCAAAATCTGCCGATAGCTCTAGCCCACGGCCACACAGAAAGCGATTTTTACGTTTTTAACGTGAAGCGTCTTTAGCGACTAAAACAAAATAACAGGATTATATGGGAGTGGCCCCACCATAAGCGTGTCGAGTTCGGCGTGTCTCGCAAAAAACGCAAATGAAAACAAATCAGTTTGTTTTCTGTAGCGTCTTTAGCGATTTCTAAGATGACACCCCGTCATAGGCGGACGTTATATTTATTAATACAAGAAAAATAAATTAAATAGTATGCATTTTTTTTTCATTTTAGGGTATTATCTAAAAATGTTTTTATAGAAAACATCTACTGTTTAGGAAGATTCTATTAAATTCAAAAATTGGAAGGAAATGTTTGAAAAAGTGTAGTTTGAAATGTTGAAAAAGTAATAAATTAAAGAAATTTTTTCTTACGCGTAAAAACTAGTTTTTTATGTCTAAAAAGTGTTTTTTTCTGCGTAAAAAAGTTTTTTTAAGAGAAACAAATAGTTTTTGACGCGTAAAAATAGTTTTTTACCTGTAACAAATAGTCTTTTACACGTAAATTTTTTTTTTTTGAGTAAAAAAGTTTTTTTCCCAGAAACAAGAAGTTTCTGACGCGTAAAAATTAGTTTTTTACGTGTAGCATTAGTTTTTTACACGTAAAAAATATTTTCTTTGTGCGTAAGAAAGTTTTTTTACCAGAGACAATAAGTTTTTTGCGTGTAACAAATAGATTTTTACACGTAACAAATAGCTTTATACGCGTAAAAAATATTTTTTTACATGTAACAGCTTTATTCGCGTAAAATAATAAAAATAGTTTTTTACGTATAACAAATGGTTTTTTACACGTAATAATTTGATTCACTTTTAAAAAATTTGTATTAAAATATCAAAATTTTTGATAAACATGTGGACTGCTCACAAATACACGTCGCGTCACTACGTATTTCTAAGCCGTTAACACGTTTCGTTACAACTAACTCGTGTGTCAGGGCCATCCCGCTAGCTCGTATATCACGGGTTTGAATTTTTACTCCCAGCGCGCGTAAAGAAGTCGTTTCACTCTCAAATGTTTTCAATGACCATCACGTCCAAAAATTGCATTAGCAACTAGAAATATTTATTATTCTATTATATAATTATAATTATTTATTATATTATATTATAATTATAACAAGTACGAACCACAACACTACAACATAAAAAAACTATGCACATATAAACTAAGATTCGTAAAATAAATAACAAATAATAATTATTATTTTTACACACACTAATGGCACTAGCAGTAGATTGTGTTTGTCTCCGAATATATACCCCGGCCCGTCCACAATTCAATCCCAGCATCTTTTATCTTCGTCTCTTCAACGCTAACGGCGCCGATCTCGCCTATCTCTTTCTCATAGGATTGATTGTTGGACGGGCCGGGAATTCACGAGCTTGCGACGCGCGACTTTACTAATTGACATCTTGATAGAAATTGCAGACCTGCCGCGTCTTTTGCGTGTTTTTAATGGACACAAATCGAAAAAAAGCGCTTAAAACGGTAAAATCGCAAAAAGCACTTGAGACGCAAAACGCTAAAAACGCTTTCTGTGTGGCCGTGGCCGCCGGCGCCGTGGGCTTATTTTGTTTTAGTCGCTAAAGACGCTTCACGCTAAAATCGCTTTCTGTGTGGCCGTGGACTTTAGTCAAGTCAAGTCGATTCAGTGCGCATCCTCACTGTCTAGACTCACGTCTAGAGAACTACCGTGAGTTCTCTAGACGGTCTTGTTTTAACCGACAGGCAAACCGTAAGATAAAACGTCATGTGTAGACAAGGCTTAACATCTAAAATATATAGCGATAAAACGTTGACACACACACATAGGCTTTATGAGCTGTTAAAAATGTATCTATCATAATAACTATAACTATAAAAAATTAATAATAAATACTTACGATAATAGTCGGGGCTCATGGATGCGCCATACAAACTGGGATAGAGGCTCTGCGAATCAGATAAAATAGGATCAAATTCTTGTAAAATACTAACTCTAACGCTATTCTTATCGTCTACGGCGGCGAGATCAATTAAATTAGTTTTGTTTAGTTCGCGTTTCTCTACCGCCTCATCTTTAGAATCGACTTCCGACGTGTTCGTCGGCGCTTTCGGAGCAGTCGATAATTTGGAATGTTTACTGGATGATTTGGGAGGTAGTAAGATGGGCGGTTGTCTGTGCTGATTTTTAGGTGGTAAAGCAGGTGGAGGCGGCTAAAAGAAAAAAGCAACCCATAAAACATTTTAGTAACAGTGAAATATGTTTTAGGTACACATACACACAATCAGATATATGAAAATTCAAACTTTCTGAGATATTCCTACTAAACACTGAAGAAACAAATTATTCCTTAAAAGTAATAATATTGACATTTTGTGCTGGATGGATATACAATTTTGGATATAAATACCGTATGATCGAAAAAAAAAACGGTGTCTCTTCGTTAACAGCCACCTGACTTTAAATTATCCACACGAAATCCATAAAAATAAGATAATTATTATTAAAACAATTACAAGTATCTCTCTCTTGCATTTGTTTTATTAATATTCTCAGTAAATACATACAATAGAAGTTCGACATAACGGTTATCATAATGTCACTTTTTAAAAGAAAAAATACTTTGAATTTTTATAAACAAATATATTTATTTAATTTAACAAAAAGATAAAAGTTACTATACCTGTTAAAATTAGTAGTAAATATTTCAGAAAATTCAAATTAAAATAAACATTCCAAAGTAATATATTTATACTTAAAATCTTTAAGTTAAATAATATTTTAAATCTGCAGAAGTTTTAATAAGTTTCCTGTTAATAAACAAATAACAACATTACATTTTATTTTATTTACAGTAAAAAGTGATACAAATTTAATTACAAATTGCTGATAATATCGACTGGGAAATTTTGTGAACTGATGTGTATACAGGGTGTCTTTGGCTGAAGCTTGCATCAGAAGCTGCATTTAGAAGTCTAGAAAATTAAAATACCTCAGTAGGTGTTTTTTTACATATCAGTGTATCACGATTATCTTTCGATTAAAAATATTTTTAATATGGCGGCACTTCCGGAAGTACCGAAAATTGAGAACAGCCTTCTTATTTTAAATGGATACTACTATTTTTTATTAGATATTAATTTTTAAATTAATATTTCATGAATTTTGATATCACACACTCTACAGGGTGGTCCGAATTGTATTGCGAAAACATCGGCAGCATATTCTGCACATAAAAATATGTAAAAAAAGTTCGTATAAACTTATGCCCTAAAATGCTTCGTTTCGGAGATACTGACTGTAGAAGTTCAATTTTTATTTCGATTTGTTCCAAATAATTTTCTATCTAATAAGATGGTATTTGGATAAAAATTTATGTCTGGGTGTTTTTAACATGAGAAATTTGATTTTTTGATTTTCGATGTTAATTGGACTCCTACTTGTAGGGGGCACCACCTACATCTTTTTAACTGTTTTGGAAGAGTAATAACATTTCGTCCGTCCCTGTATTACACCATCGAGTGAAAAAATATACATTTGTGCCCTTTTCTACGTAAAAAGGTCTTTTGGTAAAAAGAGCTACGAGCAACAGTTCTCAAGATATTTGAAATCGAAATAGTTAATACATGTCATAATTGACAAAAATAATATACGTTGGCAGGATAGTTAGTAGTCTGAAATTATAAATTTGAAATGTTTTTTACCAACGACACAACAGAAACTTTTATGTATTTTGTTTTCTAGAAAAATTGACAGTTGGGTTTTAAAACAGCTTCTGTTGAACCTTTGGTATCAGAACGTTTCGAAAATTATTAATTTACTCAAATATCTATCTACTGAACATGTTAATTCTTGTCATTGATGGTATGTATTGATTATTAAGAAACCAAATATTTTGAGAACGATTGCTCGCAGCGACTTTTACCAAGAGACGTTTTTTATGTAGAAAGGGGCACAAATGTAAATTTTTTCACTCAGTGGTGTAATACAGGGACAGACGAAAAGTTATTACTCTCCAAAACAGTTAAAAAAGATGTAGGTGGCGCCCCCTACAATTAGGAGTCATATTGACATCGAAATCAAATTTCTCAAAATGTTAATAAACCCCCCAGATACTAATTTTCCAAACTGACTTTCTGAACTAAATTCCTAATACGGAATTTAGTTCAGAAATTATTAGGAAAAAATCGAAATAAAAATGAAACTTCTACACCCTGTACCTATGAAACGAAACATTTTAAGACATAAGTTTATATGAACTTTTTTTACTTAGTTTTATGTGCAGAATATGCTGCCGAAGTTTCCGAAATACAGATCGGACCACCTTGTATATCTAAAATTAGCCGTTTTGGAGAAGAAAAATAATTAACTAAAAACTGTTTGTAAAAAAATCTCTAAATATAGCTTAAACGTCAAGTTAGTTATCGATACAATGTGGTTATTTCAAAAACATTGCAAAATTAAGCATCAAACAACATAAAACAATAGGTATACAGACCGGACCACCGTAGTAGTAACATAGGCAGAACCGGACGAATTAGCGTATACCCGTCCGCCGGATAAAAAGCAGGCGAAAAAATGCGATAAAATAAAAATAGGTCGATATGAGATAAGAATGTTTCAGAATTTGTATTTATTCGTGTTTTAATAGCCAAAACGAATACGTAGATTCTCGCGGCAGTTCTCGTGTAAAATTTATTTTTTAAGTAAAATAATGGATGTTTATGAAGTTCGTGAGAAAATTCAAATTGTAAAATGGTATTTTTCCACAAACTTTTGTAAACAGGCCAATTCCATCTTTATCTACTATATCAAGAGTTATTAATAATTTTGAAACACATGGGTGCGTGTTCCCACAAAAACACAAAAAGCCTGATGTGTTGATTAATGAAGAACAGGAGTTAAAGCAAGTGTTCGTTTGTGCTACAGCGGATCAAAATCCCACGTTTTCAAGTAATCAAATTTCAGATTTCTTTTTGTGGGGTTATGTAAAATCCAAAGTGTATGGTCATAATAGGGCTAATAGTCTGCTAGCTTTCCAAACTATTAGCCCTAATATGTTAGCCAATGTCAGACAGGGATTTTACGACCGCCTAGGCTTCTGTCTAGCACAAGAAGGTGGTCTTTTTGAACACTTGTTATAACTTTTTTTTATTTAGAGTAATATTATAGTTTTTTTTTTGGGTTTAGAGAATTTATTTATTTTTAGTTTTGGCTTGTAAACACACTCAAATAATAAATATTTAAGTATTTTTAAGTAGTGAAGGTAAGTAGTGTAGTTCCCTTAAGTAGTGAAGGTAAACACTTAAAATGAAAATAATAAATACACGGCACTCCTCGCGTCATATTCCCAGTCTGTCACGACCGACCCGTCCAAGCACAACTGCAACTGCGTACTGCCTGACCAGCCGACAAGCCGGCAGTGACTCTCGAGTACGAACGCAAAACGGGTAAACGTAAATTCGTCCGGCAACTTGCTATGTTACTAGTAGCCTGGTCTTCTCTGTATATCTGTTATATTTTTATTGCTTTGTTAAAAAATCCAGAAGGGTAAAAATGTTATTACAAATGTCTGTAAGATTGATATTAATACTAATCAACAGCAGGTTTAGTCGTGACTGACTAACTTAAGAAGAAAAAAAAATCAATTTTAGTGATGTTTGGTTAGGTTAATAAATCACCACATAGGCTAATAAAACTACTTTTTAAATTTGTCAAGCTTTCGACAAATTTATTCCCATCATCAGGACACTTTCTAAAATGTATAAAAAGACACAAAAATTTTGCAATTGTATAAAAAATACGTTTAGACGTTTAGAATTATATTTGAAAGACATTTTTTGGCTCAAAAATTTTTAGATATAAAGTAATTTCATATAAAATTTCATAAAAAAATAAATTTTACAGAGAATTATTATAAATCTATAAGAAAAAAATAGATACTATATATATAATTTAAAATAAGTAAGTTGCTATCAACTTCCCGTACGTAAGCTCAACCGGGGACATACGTATATGTGTGTTTCATTTAGACTCAAATTATTTAGGAACCTACATGTTTATAGAAAACAACAGCCAATCTTCTCGTTATAATTTTTAAAATTGCATTAAAATTATTCACATAGTTGAGTTCATTACATTATAGTTCAATCAGCAAAGTAACTAATGTAAAAATTAACAAAAATATATAATTAATAATAAAATTATTACCTAAATTACCTCTCATTGTTCATATCAGTTATTATCCGGCATATTATAATTAATATGAAGATTATTAAAGTTGATTTAACTAAAATAATGTCAATACTTTGGTGAACACAAAACACAACTAGCTGCAATTTAAAGTGTTTATTAATTACCCCAAAAGTAAATGGCATAAAGTCATTTCAAAACTATTAAAGTGAAAGCGCCATTAAAAATATACACCAATTGTAAGTTCTTTTGCGTTAGAAATCGATAAAATTAATTTTCATTTTATAGTCTGGATATTTATTACTGAACTAAAATACGATTCACGTCGCGTCGTGAAAAATTAAAACCACATGTGATTATGTGTTCGTAATGTCGTATTTATACTGAAAATTAAAACAACTACTTCTCTTTCAGAAAAAGTAATAGCATAGAAGTATCAGAAACAAATATTCAAAGATACAAAATTCAGTTACTCAAAAAATACATTTCCTAGTAGAGATAGTAGACTTTGTAGAGTACTTTTTATTAATTCATTTTGGAATACTCTGGATTTGAATATTCTTAAACCAAATTATGATTTTTTTAAAGGAAGAACAACAACCTATTTACTAAGCTTAAAAATATGAGTTAAAAACAAGTAGACCGGATTACTATATTTTAAAAATCTGGATTTTTGGTACAAAGAAAGAATGCTTTGATTTAAATGCACAAATTATTCAAATACACTTTTTACATAGTTATCCGATACTTAATCTAAGATATGGGTGTGTAGTTTTAAGAAACTCTATTCTAAGAGCAAAAATGTATTTGTTAATGAAATTAGTTACTTGAACCAAAATACCAGAACATCGACATACCGGGTGCGTTTCAAAAGTGGCTTACTTCTATAAGTTTTTTTTAATTTTTTCAGTTAAAAAAACGAGATTTGGTATGTTAGTATATGAGATAAATTAGGATTGATTGACGTATTCAATTGTTTTCTGTCACTTCCTGTTTCACCAGAAATGACTACAAGCACAGA